ATTTGGCGGCCCCTCGGCCGGCTATTGAATTTCTCTTCTGGGATCATTGGGAAACGGCCGTTTTTGCCAAAACCTGGCCGCAAGGTTTTACACAGAGAAGTCTTTACTCTAAGGAGCTTTTGCACACAAACGTCTAGGAGCCTTTGCACACAGAAGCTGTTCCACGAAGAAGTCTTTACACAGATATATAGCTTTCATTCACAGACGCGTTTACACACAGAATCTTTTACACAGAGAAGCGTTTACACAGAGAATTTTACACAGTGAAATCTTTACACAGACGCGCTTTCACACAGAGAAGCTTTCACACACAGAAGCTTTTACACAAAGAAGTCTTTACACAAAGTGGTTTTTACACACAGCAACTTTTACACGCAAAAGCTTTTACACAGAGAAGCCTTCAGCCAGAGGAGCTTTTACACACAAAAGCGTTTACACACAGCAAGCTTTTACACACACAGGGGCTTTTACACAAAGAAGTCCTTACACAAAGGAGCTTTTTACACACAGAAGGTTTTACACAGAGAAGTCTTTACCCTAAGGAGCTTTTGCACACAAACGTCTAGGAGCTTTTTCACACAAAACTTTTTACACGAAGAAGGCCTGACAGAGAGGGTTTTTACACACAGACGTGTTTGCACACAGAAGCTTTTTTTACACAGAGAAGCCTTTACACAGAGGAGCTTTTACACACAAAAGCATTTACACACACAGGGGCTTTTACACAGAGAAGTCTTTACACAAAGGAGCTTTTTACACACAGAAGGTTTTACACAGAGAAGTCTTTACTCCAAGGAGCTTTTGCACACAAACGTCTAGGAGCCTTTACACACAGAAGCTGTTACACAAAGAAGTCTTTACACAGATATATAGCTTTCACACACAGACGCGTTTACACACAGAGGCTTTTACACAGAGAAGCCTTTACACTTTACACAGAGAGTTTTTACACACCGAAGCTTTTACACACAGTGAAATCTTTACACAGACATTTCACACAGAGAAGCTTTCACACATAGAAGCTTTTACACAAAGAAGTCTTTACACAAAGTGGTTTTTACACACAGAAACTTTTACACACAAAAGCTTTTACACAGAGAAGTCTTTGCACAGAGGCGTCTTGACATGAAGTCACAAGTTGAAATTGGCAGCAGTTCTTCGGGAAAAACCCTTGGCAGGAGCTTTCGGGCACTCACTTGCTCCCCAAAAAAGCCGTCTATTTCCAACAAAGTTCCTGTTCTTTTTTTTTCAAAAAACGTAAGGAATATATTTCTGAAGCAGGTCCCCATCCAAAAGCTTTCCAGCCCCCACACTGCGATGAAATGGAGGGCCGAGAAATCCGGCGGAGCCGACGAGGGGCGTTAGCCCTTAAATTCGGCTCCGCCGGCTCCCCACGAGTGGCTTGCCCACGAGCGTCCCAGAGCGACTAGAGCTCTAAGGTGAGGCGCGCCCCCAACCGCCGACCCTCCGACGCCGGGCCCCGAAAAACACCAAAAATCCTTCAGGAGGGTGGGGGAGAGCTTTTTGGCCGGAATCCGGGTCGCTCATAAGCGTCTCCAAGAGCATTCCCCCCCCCCGTTTTGAGGGTACCTAAAATCGGAAAAAAGCGCCGTTTTGACACATTTTTCGGACGATTTTTCGCTTTTCGAAAGTCACAAAATGCTGTAAATTACAGCATCTTTGCGTTTTGACGTCTTTTGCGGGAGCAATGAAAAAAAGCAGAAAATGCTGTAAATACCAATACTTTTTAGACCGGAGATGCACAAAACACCGCAAATACCAGTGTTTTTGAAAGCCAAGCAAAAAAACACTGTAAATTACAGCATTTTTGGCAAGTTGATCGCAAAAAATGCTAGTATTTACACTGTTTTTGCAATTTCAAGAAAACGTGGAAGGCACGAAATACTGTAAATAGCGGTGTTTTAGCCACTTTTGGGCGCTGAAACGTTGGTATTTACACGGTTTTTTGCCCGTGACGGCGCCAAACCCCTGTAAATTACACAATTTTCTTCCCTTTCTGAACCGATGTTTTGCCTTGATGAATGCAAAAAACGCTGGTATTTACGCGTTTCCCAAAAAATCGAAGATCGTGACGTGAACGAAACCCTGTAAATAACAGTGTTTTAGCCACTTTCGGGGACTAAAACTGTGGTATTTACGCGGGTTCTTGCCAGCTGACAGCGCAATATGCTGTAAATTACAGCACTTTGTGCGCTGTTTATGTTCAATTTTTAAACGTGCGATGCTTTCACATGTTCTTTGCATTATTTTGCACTCTTCCACAAGAAACAACGTTGCAGATTGAAACTGGACGACAGCGTGACCCGAAAGAAAGCTGGAGGGAGGAGACGCACAGAAGCTTTTACCCACACACACAGGGGCTTTTACACAGAGAAGTCTTTACACAAAGGAGCTTTTTACATACAGAAGGTTTTACACAGAGAAGTCTTTACTCTAAGGTGCTTTTGCAGACAAACGTCTAGGAGCTTTAACTCACAGAAGTTTTTACACGAAGAAGTCTTTACACAGAGGGCTTTTTGCACACAGACGCGTTTGCACACAGAAGCTTTTACACAGAGAAGCCTTTACACAGAGGAGCGTTTACACACCAAAGCGTTTACACACAGCAAGCTTTTACACACGCAGGGGCTTTTACACATTTACACAGAGTAGCTTTTTACACACAGAAGGTTTTACACAGAGAAGTCTTTCCTCTGAGGAGCTTTTTCACACAAACATCTTGGAGCTTTTACACACAAAAGCTGTTACACAAAGAAGTCTTTACACAGAGAGCTTTAACACACAGACGCGTTTACACACAGAAACTTTTACACAGAGAAGTAGCCTTTACACAGAGAGTTTTTATACACGGAAGCTTTTACACACAGAGAAATCTTTACACAGACATTTCACACAGAGAAGCTTTTACACAAAAAAGTCTTTACACAAAGTGGTTTTTACACACAGAAACTCTTACACACAAAAGCTTTTACACAGAGAAGTCTTTGCACAGAGGCGCCTTTACACGAAGTAACAAGTTGAAATCGGCAGCAGTTCTTTAGGAAAAACCCTTCGCAGGAGCTTTCGGGAACTCACTTGCTCCCCAAAAAATCGTCTATTCCAACAAATACGTTCCAAAAAACCTAAGGAATATATTTCTGAAGCAGGTCCTCATTCAGTAACTTTCACGCCCACACTGCGATGAAATGGAGGGCCGAGTGGTCCGGCGGAGCCGACGAGGGGCGTCAGCCCAAAAATCCGGCCAGGGGCCCCCTGGCCGTGGCATTGCCGTACGGCAGTTCTCTCCTCTCCGTAGGAGAGAGGGGCTGCACCCCCTGCCGCCGACCTCCGGTAGGGTGCGCGTGTCGACAGAAACCCCTGTAATTTAGTGTTTTTTGGCCCTGTGACATTCAACATGTTTTTGCACAAACATCGCACATATGGCTCAAGATGGGTCAACATGGGCACCCATAGGCCTCAAGATGGGCCAACATAGCCTCAAGATCGGCCAACATAGCCCCCAAGATGGGCTAACATACCCCCAACATGGGCCAACATAGCTCCAAGATGGGCCCACATAGCCTCAAGATGGGGCAACATAGCCCCCAAGATGGGCCAACATAGCCCCAAGATGGGCCGCCGACCATCAAAATATCCTGCGTTTTACAATGTTTTTTTGCTGTTCCCATTTTTCGGATCTTTTGGCTCAACATGGGTCAACATCGGCCTTAAGATCGGCCAACCTAGGCCCCAAGACGGGCCAACATAGCACCAAGGTGGGCCAACATAGCCCCAAGATGGACCAACATAGCCTCAAGGTGGGGCAACATAGCCTTAAGATCTTGCTCCCAGCTAGACCCATATCACCTCAACATGGGCCCCTGGCCGGCTGTCGCGCGTAAGCGCTTAAATCCGGCGATGCCGTCCGGTGGTGGTGGCTAAGCATAGCTTTAGCTACCCGGGGGCGCGCCCCTGCCGCCGACCCTCTGCCGACCCTCCCCGAAAATCATTCAGCCTGCTGGGGTTTTCACGTTTTTGGGGGTTCGGGGTGGGAAAAAAGATGGTAAAATTTGAAGATGCGTTTTGGAGGTCCTAAAATCGGAAAAAAAAATGCCGTTTTGACACATTTTTCGGGCGATTTTTCGCTTTTCGGAAGTCACAAAATGCTGTAAATTACACCATTTTTGCGTTTTAACGTCGTTGGCGGGAGCCATGCACAAACGCAGAAAATGCTGTAAATACCAGTACTTTTTGGACCCGAGATGCACAAAACACTGCAAATACCAGTGTTTTTGAAAGCCAAGCAAAAAAACACTGTAAATTACAGCATTTTTGGCGTGTTGATCGCAAAAACTGCTGGTATTTACAATGTTTCTGCAATTTCAAGAAAACGTGGAAGGCACGAAATACTGTAAATAGCGGTGTTTTGGCCACTTTTGGACGCCGAAACGCTGGTATTTACGCAGTTTTTTGCTTGTGACGGGGCCACTCCCCTGTAAATTACAGCATTTTTTGCACTTTTTGAACCCATTTTTTGTCTTGCTGCATGCAACAAACGCTGGTATTTACACGTTTTTCAAAAAATCGAAGATCGTGATGTGAACGAAACTCTGTAAATAAGAATGTTTTAGCCACTTTCGGGGACTAAAACTGTTGTATTTACACGGGTTCTTGCCATCTCACAGCGCAAAATGCTGTAAATTACAACACTTTGTGCGCATAGGCATAGGCCAACATAGCCTCAAGATGGGCCAACATAGCCCCAAGCTGGGCCAACATAGCCCCAAGATAGGCCGCCGACCCTCAGCATGTCATGTTCGCAAGTTCAGATGACATCCCCCTCTCTCTTTCCCTCCCCCGACCCCTACCGGCGTCGCCGGTGTGCGAAGCTCTACAATATACATCATTATACCATTGTATAACCCCCCCAAAGTGCCAGGAAAACAACAAGAACATGGTCATTAACCAATGGAATTCTGAATTCTTTGGATACCCGATTTTCAAACTGCCATAGGACCAAGCCCGTGCCCTTCATGCAAGTTGCTAATGACACCGTGCAACTCCTCCTTCATGAAGCTCTGCTCCTGGCGCTGCCCTGGTGAAACCATTAAGATGTTGTGGCTGTTTTTCATCAACACTGGAATCATCGTTCTACAGAGATGGAAACACAACATGATCAACATATCTCGACATATATATATATCATATCATATATATATATGTAATATATATATATATATTAAAATATGTTTATATATATATATCATAATATATATATATATATAATATATATATATCAACATATATCCTTATCTCCTGAAAGGTCCGGACATTTGGACTGCCCGACACAAATGCTACAGCACTCGCTCATGAGCACAGCAGCGGGCGAGAGATCATTTCGGACCCAAAAGCGCCGCTCCTTCAATGAAGCTCTATCCACCTGTGCTGGCAACCGAGCTGACTTGAGAGGATGAAAGATGTTTTTGTTTCCACAAGACACTGCTGTCCTTTAAAAAGTCAGGTGACAGGTTCAAAAAACATTCCAGCTACGAACTCAGGGCCCACATTAGGGTTTGTCCAGCCCCAAAGGAGTACCAGAACTCATCTATAGAGAATCTTTCTTTCTCTCTCTCTCTCAAGCCACATCCTGGGATGGGAACTTGCAAAAGAAAATCGCCTGAGGATTCGCCAAATAGTTGCCAATCTTCACGTTCATGGCCTCAGGTGTGATGGAAAATGGATGAAAATGGGCTGAACATGGGCTGTTTCCATTGGAAGATACTGGGTCTTCCAAGTGTTTTCCACCGAATCCTGCGGTTGCTGTGTTTGGAAGATCTCAATCAGGACTTAAATCTGGCTTTCGAACTGCAGAAGTGAAGTGAAGTCGGCTTGAATGGCCACACTTGGAGGGCAGGAATTGGAGTGACAAGTCAGGTAACCCTGGGATATCATCGGACTTGAACTACCCATGGGGAGATCCAATTTTTCAACACTTGGGTAGACCCACCTGTGGTACAGTGCTTGAACGGGATCATCTCACGCTGGGATATCATGGATGGGGTTGACAGACTATCCGTTACTATCCCTATAGTAGCCCTACTGTACTAACTATGCCCTTCATTTCAACAACATTTATTGGACACTAGCAGCAACTGCTTCCCCGTTTGTCGCTGTCGGGCTTCCACACAGCCATCGGCTGAGTGATGTGTGCCTTGGACGCAAATCCAGCTGTGTCCGCAAACCAAGAGTCCTGGCACATCTAGACCTCTTGACATCTCTCCAACCGGATCTTCCCACCGCTTTCTTCGCTGGGTCAACCCCGCTGTGATGTTTGTGATCAACGTTTCACAGGCGGACTGAGCACAGAAGGTGAGTGAGCAAGGCGTTGGCATTGGATTTTTGATATGGCACATGGAAAGGGGATGAAAGGGGTGTGGTTTCCCTGTCCAAAACTAAGATCGAAACCTATTGGGGCTACTATCTAGGGGATCATAGTTCGTTTCTCGGGGTATGGTCTCTTGTGAAGGTTTCCGCCATCAGGATTCAAATGGATTCTGAACCATCAACAAGACACACCTTGTCTCAGACAGGGTTCTCTAAATTCCATCTTTAAAAATCGCCTAAATTGGGTGGGATTATCTTTTTTTTTGCCACCAAATCCTGACAGGGCCCATGTCAGAAACCTTTCAGTAACCTGTCCCAAACCACAAACGCGAACAAAAACACGCACAGCCTTCAACTCAGACTCGATGTCCTTCTTGCTATCCACCTGATCAGCAGCTGGAATGCACGCTATAGGAGGCTTCACCGGAATGGAATCGTTCGAGATGCACCGAGGAACACATGACTAGATTTCATGTATACTAATCCATGAAGTGAGTTTCAATTGAGCAAATCTCTTGAACTATAATAGTAATAGAGATACATCTAGTAGATATTATCCAATGGATCTAAATAGCCCATTCTAAGTGATTTCTCATCATTTCCACAATTTTCCAAGTGCCAAGTCCTGGTGCCGTGGCCTCTGCATGGTACATGGTGGGCTTCAGAATGCCCAGGATGCCATCGGGGAGCTTCAGATTCAGGGCCTCCGACGCTGGAGATGGCCCCAGCTGGCGATATCACGTGATAAATGTCAACCAATGAACCATGATGGGGTGAAGTTTAAGCTGGTTCAGTGATATCTCAAAATCCTCCTGCATACAGAAAAAGAAATTCCGCAAATGGCAATTTGGATATCCCGTGTCAGCCACCATTTTGCAGCAAACCAGTATGTCCATACTGTGCGTTAACTAAAAACGTGTGGATTTGGAGTTTCAAGTACTATAATCCCTATCCCCTAAGATTGGATACCCCCTAACTAGTTTAGTATTGGATGTGTTCATTTTCCGGCCCGTCTGGGTGGTATTTATAATGATATTAGACCAGAACTAAGCATGGCTCACATCATCTCACATCTGTACATCCTGCTTGCTCAAATGTGCACTTGGGAACAGGGATTTGCTAATCCACAAACAACTTGCCTTTGCGGATGCCTTTTTCTTAACACTCAAGTTCTTCTTCTCAAATCTATTCTTCCTTTCATGTTTGAACGATCTGAACCATGTGTTTTTTTTAAATGATGTTCCCATACTATCAGGTGACTAATCATCATGGTGAGCTTGGCCCATGGTGGCCCATGGTGGCCCATGGTGGCCCATGGTGGGCCCATGGTGGCCCGTCAGGGCTGCGGTTTTGCCGCCTCCCAGAGGTTTCCGAAGTTGAAGTACTTCTCGCTGACCACCTCAACCGATCGGCGTTGCGTGTAATCACAAATGGGTTACCAATGAAACCTCCAAAAAAGGGCGGCATCTTTTAGTGTCAACAAAACTTAATATTTATCTTAACATAGCTAAGATTAATGACACTAAGTAGATCATTCATCTGAACAGACTAGTTTAACCATGTTTAACCTCCAACATTCTGAATCATAACCTCATGGGTATTCCCAAAAAACACGGAGTTGTTGGGTCTCAAACTTGCGAAAACATGGGAGGTCCAACCCCAAGTTGAACACAAAAAAAACTGAATGTATAGACACCTTTTCAGCCCACCATCACAAGATATCAGAGGATATTTAGAGATGTCTATGGCATAGATTCTGTATCCAATTTCTTTGTGTATGAATTCCATATATGGAGCTTTCCCAAACTAGGGGTACCCCCAAATCATCCATTTATAGATGGATTTTCCATTATCAACCATCCATTTTGGGGTACCCCCATGACTATGGAAACCCCCATGATCAGCCAACTACGGGCGTCCGTCGAGCCGTCGAAAGCTCCTGCAGCGGCTGAGCTGCTGACGAGTTCACACTCAAAGGCTGCGACCTGTTCTCGCAGCAACCTCAGCGATCCAGCTGCGTGCCCGTCGGTGAACATCAAAATTGTTGTGAAATGTCCTGTAGATTGATGTTCATCCAAAATATATGGTCAAAAGAGCTGGTATTGTGATGATTATAAACTTGGATTATCACCTCCGAATATATAGGAAAGAACATGAACATTTATGACATTGGTATATTATATATATATATATATATATGGATTCTCACCTCCGAATGAATATTTATATATATATATACATATACATAGGAAATCTCATAGATATCCTAACAGGTTTTGACCATTTTTAAGCCGTCCCCATCCCACCAAAACCACTTGGGTTGCCCGGCAAGAGATGCTTCACCAAGAAGAGTTGCGAGTCCATCATCTGAACCAATGGCAAAACCGCCTTGGGCGAAGTCAGAGAAAACAAGTGCGATGAAAGGTAGGAACGGTAATCCCATGACAATAAAATCGGATGGCATGGGATTAAAAAAATGGACAAATATGGAATAAATGGGAGAACATGGTATATGGTATACGTATGAATACATAATATATATATATATAAACAGATAAGCACATTGGATAACCCCCATTGATCATGGATGAGCTTTGCATCTCATGCATGTTTCACTCAACCCAACTTGCCAACGGCCCCACTTTATTGGTCCCACGTCCTGCATGTTGCGATCGGAACAGCTGGGCAAAGTCTTCCGGGCCAAGATCTGAGCGGCCTGGAAGAATTTCATGGAATTCCTTGGAAAATCCTGGGAAAATTCGGTTCGATCCAATGGATGGGGAGCCACGGATTGCGGACATGGATAGCTGGTGATGCGACATCAACAAAAACTTCTTTTGTAGTTAAACAAATATGAAATCCCAGTGTCTGAGTGTCTACCATGGCCTCCTTCAAGGTATGCATGCAAAGGTCGACGGCCTCCTGGGCAATCCTCAGTATTGCTGCAATGACCTTTGGTAACATCCATTGAATCTTAGGATACCTGCAAAACACGAGGAAATCGCCAATAAAAAACAAAGGATGTATATATATACATATATATATATATGTACATAATTATACATACACACACATATATATATATATATATCAGTCAAATGTCCATGCACTTTATAAGGTGCTTCCATAGAAACTAAGAAACACACGGAACTTACAAATACAATTTCAGGCACCTCAACTGGAGGTACTGTATGTACTGTATAATACTAAGCAGAAATTGGAGCTATATCCCCTTGGCATAGCCCTGAAAACAGGAACACCAAACACTTCACCAACCCTTCACCAAGCGCGGAAACCAAGGAACCCCTGAAATGTGGACATCTCCAGGGCGCGGTAAATCTTCGCCTTGGGCGAATGCGGCCGCTTTGAAAATGGTTGGGGGAATGGAAAAAGTGGGGAACTGAAAAAAGCCCGGGGTGAAAGGCTACCACTTACATATACTGGATAAATCATGATAAATCATGATAAATCATCATAAATCATCATAAATTGATACAATTATATATATATATATATGTATATATATTATACGTGTATATATATATTATGATAAACCATGACAAATCATGATAAACATAGGTTGTTGAAGATGTTGAAGAGTATGGCCACTTGGAACATCCAAGCTGGGATACGACTGGAAAATCAGGAGAGTCATCGTATAACGATTTGGGGTTGAAAGGAATACCACTCGAATACTGCTGATATTAGGTAGGACTGCAATGGACTGAACATCATCACTTCTGATGATTCGTAGTACTAACTGTCCGTTTCAATGTTTGGTTTCAAGGGATACCCTCTGGTAACCTAACATAACCATGGAACATCACATAATTCTATGGTGATTTTCCCATGAGTTATGTTAGTCATTACCAGAGGGTAACTGTCATTCGCCCCAGGCACCAAGATGGACAAGGTCCGAGGCAACGATGGATACCAGCCTGGTTGCCATGGGAAGGGATGCCACCTGACACCTGACAGATGGGGGTCTTATGAATGTCTTATGAATATAGAAAAACACGGGGAAATGTAGTGAAAGTGTGAACAATGTGCTGTATTGCGCAGTTTCCAGGTTTGATGTTTTATGAACATAGAAAAATGTGGACAGAACAGCAGTCACCTTGGCCATGTGAACTATCCTGGTATCCTTTAGTTTCAACAAAAGGCAAGGGCCGGACCCAATGCCCTTAGGTCTCTGACCCTCAACGAAAAAGCATGTTACAAACTGAACGCTACAGTTGCAATGATATCATTTCACAATTTCCCTGTATAAAATGAATATACCATAGATATACCTTAGATATACCATAGATATACCATTTCTAATTGGGGCTTTCTTTGGGGGATTCCAAAACCACAGATTTCAATACTTCTGCCTACATGATTCCGAACCCCAAACCTCCAATGGAGATGATCCATGAAACGAATGGCTGAAAATTGTATCCCTAGATTTACTACACGCTAGTGAACATATACTAGCAGTATACTACACCAATATAGTATATACATGTATATCTCAGAATCTGATATCTATAACATCTATAACATTCTGCAACCAGTAGACTACACCAGTGTACTACCGACCAACCAGTCCCCCAGTCCACACCTGTCTGAGACTCTGTCAGTGGATCCTACGATGAAACACCAGGGGATGAGGTGCCAAAACCCATTTTTTTTTTCTGCCCAAAAGCAAATATCCTGTCCAAATGCTTAGTTTATCTTAGTTTAGATGCATTGAATATATGATTGGATGGAATGGTTAATTGATTCAGCACAAATGGAAGGTTGTACCATAAATATGTTTACAGAAAGCACCTCTCAACGGCAGGTCGCTGGTGCCAACGCTTCACCAGAATCCAGGTGATAACGGTGATAACTCCGCCATGTTTTCTCCAGGAAATCGTGACGAAGCGTGGCCATCTAAGCCCAACAAGCAACCATTTCTTGGTGATGGTTTCACGCTTTTCTAAGCCTAAATCAACGATAATCAACGTATGTTTGTTGCTTTGATATGCTGAGAAATATCTGCATTCGAGAGAAAGTAGACTGCCATAAAATTCACCAGTTAAAAAGACCATTTCAGCAAAGTCTCCCTCAAGGCTGGTCTATCATTGTCATATTCCCTCCATTTTCCACATATGTAATTATATATGTATGTATGTATATGTATATATATATATATTATCTATGTGTATATATATATATATACATTCCCATGAATATTCCCATGAATATTCCCACCTAAAGTTGCATTTGTTTGGGGTGAGGCGTCCCCATTGGCAAAACACAGCACCTGCTGCGAACCAAAAATTTCCCAGGTCCTCCTGTCGCTCAGCGCTGTACAAGACCCACCTGGGCAGTTTTCAACATCCCAAAATGATGGACACATCCAATATCTATTAATTGTAAATAAGTATATTTATTTTAGATATACATATATATATATATATATCATACATATATGTATATTTATATATATATACATATTAGATATATCAGGACACATGAAATATCACGACCGAGCTTCCAGCGGGTAGTCCAAATCGCTATTGGACGGCACGTACCTCCCATGTTTTTGTCGGAAACATCCGGAGGCAGGTGGCCATGGAAACTCCACAGTCCAGCTCACATGGATCGACTACAAGCTGGCTGATGGAAATCTGGACTTTTTGCATGTGAAAGATGTCAAAATGCTAAAACCCAAGAAAACTACTGAAATTAGATTTCAGTAAGATCGCATTGTTAGCTATAATTGCCACCCTTTGTTCAAAACATGACCTACAGGATAGATGCTGGATGTTCAGCTTTTTCGGAATTGTTCAAGAATGCAGGTCCAGAACATCTCAATTCCAGAGCCCCAATAGAAACAACATACTACACATTATACATTTCCTGGTAGATTTCCCATCGATAAAAACCCAAAAATGTCAACAACGGGCGATGGCGGCACCCTTTGATGGAATCTCGAATGTACATTTCCACCTGAGACTTGGGCGAACGGGAACGAAACTCCTCCAAACTTACTGCGAACTGATGCGAAGTGGATGTTCTGGTGAATAAGTTTTGGGAGAGTTTATGAATTGCATGGCGGCATGATAATCTTGCTAGTTTTATATCCCAGTCAGTCAGTGCTTTTGGAACAATATGATCTGGATATATCTGGAAACATGGTGCCTGCAAATTTAGGAATCCTGAGGTCCAAACCCTGTAGATGAGTTTTTCCTGCACATCCTGGAAGACTGATGAATTCGTGCCGAAATATAACGATGGCACCTTCGAGATCATCCCACGTCTTCAAAGATGTTTGAAAAAACAACATGTTTGAAACCACCAGTCAGAACATTCATGATTCATGTCAAGAAGCTGCCTTCCATGTTTTAACAGTCATCCATGGTCATCCCCATTCATCGAACTTCAAAAAACCAGGTGTCCACATCAAGTCCTTATGGAGGCGATACACCATTCCCAAGAAGGACACCAAATCCATCTTCGATCGCCTCAACGAACGTAGCGTTTCCGGAGGCCAAGGGGATGGCCATGGGGATGGTCACTTGAGCCATCATGATGTGTGGATAGAATTATGATGTGAGATGATGTTATGGTTTATGAGAGATTGATATGAACTAGAATCAATTTAAGCCATGTTTGCAGTATATAGGATGATAGTAGCATTATTTCTGACTTGGGACGGATTGACCATGTTTCCAGTGGCATATAAGGTACAAATCTAAGCATAGAAACATGGCCGTCAAGACACCCTGCAGCTCTTGCAGAGTCCGGGGATGTTTGCTGATCGTGGATGTTTTGGATTTACCAATCTTGACCCATCGTGGTTTTGGTCGTGTACCCTCTGGTAAACATACAAAAAACTATGGAAAGATCCACCATTTTCAATGGGTAAATCCAATATAAATAGCCATTTTCAATAGCTATGTAACAAATTACCAGAGGGTACCAATTACAAGATGTGATCAATCTGAAATAAACAATATATTTGGGTCATATTCGGAAGGAATTCCCTTGTAGTAAAGAGCATCACTCGAAAGCGGGTCATTGCTCTTTTTGCAAATGTGTTTTTTATTGTATAGTTGTATCCCAATATCTGGGAAACTATAAATGTACTGTAAGTAAAATAAAATATAGTACTTCTATCCCAAATAAAAGAATATAACTGATACAACCAATCATTCCAAATAAAATTATCCAGATGTTCCATATTTGTTGCCTTGATCAACTATAGTAGCTATATATCGCAAACTTCTATCCCTATCACCACAGAGGTATCACCATTACAATAGATTCAATAGATATTTGCATTGATTATAGACTATAGTTGTTAATAGATCTTACAATAAATATTATTGATAATATGATGATAGATTCCTATGATAATTAATTATCTACCATTGAATATTATAAAGCTCCACTATCCCCTATGACTGTACGATCTCATCCGTGTCACCGTTGCGGCTCCAAGACATCTGTTTGCCTTGGATCCAAGTGATCCAAGTGCCATGGGATGATCCGTGGTGAATCTGGGTGATATATAGATAATAGTGTATTTTATAATATACAACAGAATCTTGGTGATATTATAAAATATGATGTATATATAATATACATATACAATGTATATATGTTTATATTATATATATGTATGTATATCTCTTGATGGGGATTGTACCCTCCAATAAATCAACATAAACCCTGCCGGGTTGGAAGATGAATTGGTGATTTAACCATCAAACATGGGGATTTCACCACTGGCGTTGCACTCCCAAAAATCGCTTCGCTTCGTGCGGCCACAGCTGCAAGGAATCTCCGATTTCCCGCAGAGAATCGATGGAATCGCAGGCCAAAACCTTAACCGGGAATAGCAGGCATGTCATCCAACGATACATGGGAGATGATATGGATATACTGTATATATACTTTGACATCCTACTATTAATACTCAGGATATGAAAATGTTGATACGTTACTGAGGATGTTTGGCGATATGTGGATATATATATATATATAAGTATATATTGATATGCTACTTTGGGGATTTTTGATGATGAATATGTCACATTCAGTTAAATCGACATTCTTGGCTTTATCCTCCTTTTTTTGTGGTTGTCCTACCTGATGCTTCAGTGGACTAGCTGCTTCAGTACATTTGCTCCTGCCATCGTGCCTTAAAGCATACCCCTCCACAAGATGTAACAGTTGGAATAACTGCATACTAACATCCTCAAAAGCTTGTCGGTCTACCCTTTGGCCAGTGAACATGGCGGGCTGGAAAATCAATTAATAAATTAATATGATGTTCTTATCCATTTACTTCAAAAGGGTGACTTTCCCTTCGCATGGCCTTAAGTTGTCACCCCAGAAACACCACCACAGTCACATCGCTGGGGCTTCTGCCAGGGGTCTCATGGTCCTTAGGATGCCGGAGCCAGGGGTCTCATGTCGCTAAAAGTGCTACTAGTTGAAGTCCTGGGGAAAGGTGGGGGAAAGGGTGGTAAATCCATCCCAACCCCTAAAAGAAAACAACAAAACTCGCATGTGTCTACGATCCATGCAGACACAGTTTGGGATTCCACTGATTTCGGTGATTTTCCATCAACCACCACGAAACGAAAAAACAACAGGCACATTAGTCACGCCCTGGTCTGAAAATAAGCTAGCCCATTCCAGTGGTTAATTATACTATATTATACTTTACTATCATGCTCCATGTTAACATATTTTCACTAGTGTGTTAATCCCAGATTTCCATAGATTTTCCACATCCCTGGGCACCACCCACTGGTAGAAGATGTCGGCAATGGTCTCCATTAAGGACCGCAACGCCTGGTGGGCGCCACAGTAACGGCCGTGGTAAACCCAATACTCAAAGCGATTTGGGGATGGTCTTTAGCAAGAATGGAATCTAAATATTAGGGATGGCTTATAACAATGTTTTTGTGTTTTTTACCACATTGCAATCCGACATGTTTTGGGTCGTGTTTGTTCGGGACTTGCGGGCCGGTGATTCTAGCGGGTAATATTCATGTTTGGAAAAGGTCACTGAATTCAATAAGTCTGGAAAGAAGTTGAAGACTTTCAAAAATATAGTAGTTTGACATATAACTCGGGATATCTCATCTTTTAAACTGGGGTATAAAAAAAGACTAGTTGGTGATGCAACAACCATCTTGAAAATATGAAAGTCAAAGGGAAGGATTATCCCATATATGAAATGGAAATCAAAAAAATGTTTGAAACCACCAACCAGTAGTAGTTTGACATGTCTGAAATTGCGGGTCTAAATCAAACACACATGACAACATTGGCAGCTTTTGGAAACAACATGAAAAAAACAATCCTATGTTTATGGTACAAACAACTGGGCAAATCACAATAATTAATATTTAATTCACTATATAACCTGAAACAAGATAAACTATGGCTATATTGGGATAGTTACAGTACCCCTTACTAGATTCCGAGGTCACGACATGAGGTCAACATATTTTACCCAGCCAATAATGAATCAACAGCAAAGTCACTATTAATAGGTGAGAACAATCATCCCCAAATGCACATGGTAAATGGCATCGAGGGTTTACCACATTAATTAATTACATCAAATATATCTGGGCAAATAATAGTTCACCAACCTGATCAGCTGATATAAGATTTAAAAAAAGCGGCTAGCTTGGGATAATTCCCCGAATCCTAACCTCATAGAATTGGATGATGGGAAAATTTTAACCGCACCAATTTGATGGTAAAAAACCCATGGCTTTCCGGTTAAGATTTCCCCCTAACAAACCAATCCATTGAAGCAATAGGAAAACCATCATTAACCACTATTAACCATCATTAACCATCATTAATCCATCAGTCTTACCATCTGGTTATTTAACATAGCCATGGAAAATCCCTGAAATAAATGGAGGTTTATAGCTGGGAAAATCATCTATTTCTATGGGCCATCGGCAAACCATGGCTATGTTAGTCATAACCAGAGGGTATATGGTTCCACAACCAATGATATCTTCCATCAGTCAGCCATGAAATCTCAGCCCAACCACAGAGAGATCGCCTCTTGGGGCTGCCTTAACTCGAAGTACGCCTGGATTTTTGTGTGGCGAGTTGGAGTTGGCTGGCTTAAGGGACGCCAGTGTAAACACAACCGGGATTTTCTGGGGTGCAATTTGATGACCACATACAGCAATGTATATGGAAACATACACATGAATAGACATGAATAGACCTGAATCAAACTGAATAGACTGGAAATTGTGTGTGATTGATTCTATTAACAAAACAAAAACATGAAACATCCACTGTAGAGATGTGCCGCCATCATGAGGGGCCAAATGGAGCAATGCTCCAACCCCAAACAGTTCAACCCTCCGCTCAGCAGCTATGCGAACAGCGTTTTTTGGAATGTGAGGCCATTGGCGGGCCCACAAAAAGCTGGCTTTTGGGGAATGTCCAAACAAAGGGTGATGGTGTCTATTAATAGTATATCATTTACCGCTGAATATTGTAATAAATATATTTCTCTATGGCACAAATATGATAATTTGATAATTGACATTGTCCTTGGACCATACATGGTAATGATATCATGTCTGCCATAGAGTCGAAGTTTCGATCTGCACGTGTGATATATCAAGACCCAGCAGCGGGACCTCAAAACACTGATGCTCCATTTGTGAGACCTCCAAGATGTAGGCACTCGCCTCACCGACCACCAAATGACCAGCTGGCCACCCAACTGAATCAGACCTATGGCTTTTCAGTGGAGAGGTGAAATGTGCCATGACACCTTGGTGTTGAACTGTTGAACTCCCGAGCATTTTCCAGAAACATGACTGGCCGAAGTATGCCTTTGAGTATGGACTGCCCCCGGCAATCAAGTCTTCCACATGTCGATGGTAACCATGGTGATATGGATGTGATCATCGCCAGGCCTCTCGTGTTGCCGGCGCCAACCTTGGGTCATGCTTGGCCACGGCCCGTTTTTTTTCTGGGGGTCCTATAAGGTGGATTCAAATGCTGTGGCCATTCTGAATGTACCATGGAGACCATGGAGTCCCATTTGGATCGATAAACAGCAGATTGGATCGCTGTAATCGTCGAAGATCTTTGACATATGTTCACTCGGATGGCTTTTTTCTGACACCTTATGAAGCCATTAATATTCACCTGCCATTGTCTCAGAGGCACATGAGGATCTCCTCATGAGAAAAACCATGAAAAAATGATGAAAGATCAAGGGTATGTAGTAGAAGATTCATGGAAAGAATAATGGATGTTTCATGGAATTTAATGGATTGTAAGTTTGATGGTTATTTTCATGGAATTTACTGGATATGAATGGTTTTTCATGGAACTCGAGCTGTGATCATTTGGATTCAACGAAATTGGGATTCAAGATGATTTGACGAATCATAATCATAATAATCCTATCACCACCAAACAGTTTAACTGGTGGGTATGGAGGCTTCACCAAAAAAAGAAGCCACATGTGGCTTAACTATTGCGTTTCATGTTCCCTTGAATTCACCCAGTGAAATCAATCAAAAAGGATGCACAATGCGGGAAAGTGGAAACATCGTTTTTTCTGCTTCCTGCGTGTCGAACTACACCAACCTTCCACTTGAAAGGCGGGCACTTCGTCCGGTCAAAAAAAACGACCCTGTAACGCCGATACTGTACCAGCCATGCTGAGCCCAAGTCACCTCTACAACTGCCATAGGAGTGTCACTTGGGATGTGGTCTGGCTCATCCACCTACTTCGGGCTCTTCTTCACCTCAGAGACTATACCAACTTCTGAACTACCAAATCCCGTAGCCATGGCACTGCGTAGACAATCACCGGGTCACGGTTGCTGAAGGTAAACGTGTACTTAAACCCTGAAGCCTGTTGTTTAGAAACTTCCACTGGTTGCCCCATGCTGGCCAAATCGCTGTTCATCTGGCAGAACTTGTCCCACACGCCCAATTCTTCGGGGGTGGCTCGGTGCGTCCAGCCACCAGGCATAGTTGAAACGTTGGGATTGTCATGGGCCACCACTAAAGCTTGAGGAATCACACTGGCCACCATTGAAACAAAGATAAAATTTGCCTTTGGAACCATGGCAGCGACGGGTGTTGTGAAACAAGGCTTCGGGGCCTCGGGGCGGTTTCAATCAACAGATGCGGGAAAGTGGAAACATAGAGACATAGAGACCTGAAGTCCCCAGACTTGGCTCAGAGATTGACCTCATTACCCTCTGGCAATGTTGTAGCCCTTTGGGTTTCTGTGAAAATATAGCCCTCAAATCAGCCTATCATCATGCCTAAAGTGGCCATTTGGAGCTCAAAAACACGTTTTTTTTGCCGCAACTTCCACTGGGTGATCTGTACTGATTCATCTCCAAATCTTTGTGGACGATGGACCTCGGCGGGAGGCCAACGATCGGTTGGTGGTATACCTACCCCTCTGAAAAACATGAAAGTCAGTTGGATGGGAAAACAAGTTCCAAACCACCACCCAGGTATAAATTGAAGAACAATTGCAAACCAAACATCCAAATCAAACCAACCATTGAACAAGACACAACAAGACACATACTCATCTCTTCAATTTCTGTCAAAGTGATGCATAACATAAATCATAACTACATAATTTTAAAACAGAAAAACACAGTTGATATGGACAATTCGGCTGATATGTGAGCATGGAAAGAGAAGTGAAATTAACCTGATGGAGGAAATCATAGTGAGAAACTGTGTTGCGCGCAGAACCTTCTCCTTCAAGCAATGATATTGGAACAAGAGGTTTCCTGTCTCGCTCGTGTTCGCAGGACTCAATAATGGACATCCTAGTGAACTGCCAGAGCTGTCCGCTTCATTTCTTTTGAGTTCAACATTTTCTGCCAAACTCAGATTGTGTATGGGTTTGAATATAGGGTAGGCCTAAAAATATCTAAAAATCCACCAGCCAATTCAGCCAATCATCATTTTCCCATCTTTTTCCCCATGTTTCATGGCAGGAAAATCCATGGTTACGTCCCGTCTCAGCTGTCCACTGCAGATGGGTCGAGACCTCTGCGAAAGGCAGATGGACCATGATGGACCGATGGACCCGGCGGGGTGCCCAGTGTATCATTCAGATATTGCTGATTAATGAATGATATAGTATAGGTGGTTATAAATGATATATGGTATTATATGGTAATGAATGATATGGTATTTTTCTAGTCCTAAATCAGTTACAAGTGACATATCAATAGTTTTACCAAACAACTCAGGTTACTTCACGGATTCATAAACAATAAAGCCCATTCATATACCATAAAAGATACCTTCTGGGCTAAAAATTGGTTTTGAATCCATGAAGTCACCCCAGAGCTGGAACTACGACAGCGAGGTCTGGTGGTTCCGAACGGCAACCGACCACTGTTTGCTGGCCCTGAGGTCTGGCCCCTTGCACCGACCACAACTCGGGGTTAAAAAAGTGGTTTTTGTCCAGCCTTCTGCCTTCAGCTTCGTGCTGCTTTGTGGGGCTCCTTTTTCGTGACGGCCACCAGAGTCCAGGCTTTCTTAGTTTTTTTGGATCCGGACGTGTTTCCGGCCCTCACCAGGTGTGAGGAACAAGTCACTTGTTTGCACAATTGCATATCATACGTGTACAGCTTTTGGTCTTGCACCCCGACAAGGCCTGTTAAGCTCTTACCTGCCTCTACCCCAAATGGATCTTATCCATGAGTTAGGGTGGGGCAGATGACAATGTGTGGGGGTTGTTATGAAATATCTGGTGGTACCATGTGGTACTGGAACAAGTTGAACAAGCTCATCTCTGCATGTGTTTAAGACAAAGTCTTCACCCCGCAACCACTGTCCATATTTGAATCGGGATCTCTTCCATGTTTTCCCCCAAAAATATCCGAAAATCAGTGCATGGCGCTCTCCCAAGTTAGATTTCCATGCCGTATCTCGAGGGTGCTACCATTCCGTGGCTGGTCTTTGTAGCCCAAAACACACACTATGCATCCCACCATATTCTCCCGTGTCCCCCTTGAAGATGGCCAACACTTAAACTATGTACCCATAATCTAATTCATGATCTCACAATCTTTAGTTGTTTTTTTACACAATATCTCACCATGTTTCATAGTATCTTTTATAGTTGGACTTTCAACTTTGGTTACCTTTTCTAACTACAAAGATACGACCAAATCATAACAAATCATTAAAAAAAAACGTTTCATCTCCCAAGTTCCATTCGCTGAAGCCCAGCGGCTGGAAGGGTCAAGAGCTTCAGCCGGAGATGCACGAAGAAACCTTCCAACTCCTCCAGGGTCACCTGGGGATGTCGAATCTTCTGTCAAATTCCATGGGAAAATCATGGGAAAAAACTGGAGATCATCAATCAAAAACTCATGATTTTCTAGGAAAACGGCTGATTTGTTTAAGGATCTCATGGGATTTGATGGTGATTTACTTGGGATTCATGAAATTCATGAGGATATTGGAAATAGCCAGGGACAATTCTTCTGTCATTATCGATGGTCCATGGCTATTCTCAAAACGTGATGGGGGAAATGACTGGAAGATCCGAGGGAAGACGATGGCATTGGCCAAGAACCCACGTGCATCCAGCTTCCATATAGAATGTACGTGTTTTTTTCTTCAGGAAAAGAACAAGTTGCATCTGCGGTTTTTTTTTGACCCGTTTTTCTTGGATAACCACTAAATCTCATTCAATATCCCATAGGATCCATATATGCTATATGTGGTAACATTTACCATCAATATACCCCAAATGTTAGCATATATACCATACATGGATCCTATGGGTATTATTAAACATTATTGTGTCTGGATGTTTCTTGCTGAAATTCCCCTTTTTTCTCGCTGAGCATGCCCACGGCATACGTTTCATGGATGTCCAATCGCTGGTGCAGCAGTGAAAGCAGTGGCCTGTAGCGTTTGAGGTTTGGACACCGTGCGTGTGTCTTGAAATGGAATGTTCCCAAACTGGCAAATTAAATGTACATTCCATTTTGCCAGTTTGAATGAAGGATATATGAATATTGACTATCAATCATTTTTCCATCATTATATTCATCAAACCAATTAGTTCCGAGAACATGTCTGATGATTGAATGGATTCGGGGACTAAGCTTGACAAACCATTGGATTCCAGGCCAATTTGAATGGAGTTAGGGTGCCAGTTTAGTAGCGAATCGTCACTTCTTGGGGGCTAGCCCCTCTAGTTAATCATTTAGCTGCCGTTTAACCAACTGGGGTTTATACGGTTTATTAATTCAGCATTTACATTGAGAATGGTGAGTAAGAGCGGTAAATAAAATAACCCTGCTTTATCAAATTAATCCCTCTTAATCCCAAATCATTGTTTAATCATGTTGTTTGATACCGCAAATCATGGTTTAGCAATCCAACACGAATAATGGTGATTTATTGGGATTATCATTACACATTATGAAACACTGTTTAATACTTGTTATTATTCCATCAAAAGTCAATGGTTTTTCGGTTTATCATCAAAATACCACCAAATTGTTCAACCATGGTTCCTATTCCGTGGTTTCATAATGGGTCAAAATGGGTTACCCTCTGGTAATTTAACATAGCTATGGAAAAGCACCGCTTTTAATTGGTAAATCAGCTATAAATGGCCCATCAATACCCATCAACATTCCATCAAGCTCGGACTTCGGGCCTGTAACTTGCGGCGGCCGCTTTAAACTGACTGCAGAAGACCTCCAGCGAAGCCGGAGCAGATTCTGTTGAGCGTTGGGGGTACCCAGTCATCCCAGTAGACCATGTTTTGGTCTTGAACCGCTTTTTTTTTGAGGATCGCCCATGTTAGGAAACCCCCCAGATGGGGGTGTCTGGATATACCCATTTGATGATATAGCTGGCAAAGCATCTTGTATATATTGTGTTTGTTGGTCAAGTCACAATGATTCTCAACTAAATACATTTTTTTAATGCTCATTCAGCTCACAATCTTTGATTGAACAAAGCATAACTTCCCAAATGTTCCCTTGTTTGTGCACATAACAGAAACATACTGGTAACATATATACAAATAAATAACTCATATATATATATTATATACATGTATATATATACATATATTCATCTATATATAACACATGTATAAATATATATATAATATATATATATATATACATATTCAATGTTAATTGCTTCTGCAAATGAAGGAAACATAGCCTGATCCATCGCTAGGTCAACTTAAAACCACATGTTGTCCCGTTGGCGTCGAAAACGACGCCGTCGCCGATGACCTGCGTTTGCACAGATCCTCCATCCTTCAGCTGCTGCTCCACCTACGGAAATCAGGAACCGGTAGGCAGCAAATCCATGGTTTTCTGTTACCGGATACCCCCAAGAATGTGTGTATAAATATAATTACGTATGTATAATGTATATATTATATCATCCAGAATCCCATGATATTTCGTTATAATCAATATCATTTCTTGTTACCTGATGGAGGAACAGGCTTCCCAGCTGCGTCTTGCGAAGGTCACCAAGCACTGAGACATCCACTTGTGCCAAGCTCTTTTCCAAACTTCTCTGGACAGTTGAGCCTCAGTTCTTTTCAGCAACGTCATCATGTTGGAAACCAAGAAACATGAAACCAATGTCTCTTAAAGTGTGCAACGCCCGAATCATGAAGATACCTTCCTAACCTATCAGTTGCAGCTGCTTCGTCATTCTCAATCTTGGATGTCTACAAGTAGAACTGTTTCGAAATTGCACTGGCACTAAAATTGTGTTCTCAAGTTGGCATGATTTTGTAGCAACAATTTTTCGTGTGGTCCGTGGCAAGTCAGTCTTCGCCCAAAGATATGGGATAGAATCCAAACCCTTTCCCCTGTTTTTCTGCCAGAGCCTTATTTCGTCAATTCTTTTCTTTCTGTCCCCATCGACACTGTCGACAGTTGGAATGTCATCCTTGATGATTCTTTGGGACACCCGTTTAACGTTTCACCATCCCACCATCTGGAAGCCATGAAAGGTCGACTTTCCAAGCTTTTTTGACGACCTTCGTTGCCATACTCGCAACGGGGCAACGGCCTTAAATGTTCTTGACTGGTACGCAACATGAGGATGGATTAACAGCTGGTACGCAAAAAATGGAGTTGATAGGAAGAGGGACATGCAGACAAAAAAAAGGAACTACAAAGAAAACAACCAATTACCAGTCCACCTATGGAGCTCCAGGGGCTCTTGACGTTTTGGTGTCCCAACGCAGCGCCAAACAGGCCCTGTTGCGAAGATGCTCAAACCTGTGAAACGGTTTGGCGGTGGGGACGGCGAGCGATGGGACGTGCAAAGCCGAGTGTGAGTGAATTTTGTGATACTAATAATAGATGATGACAATAAATTATAGTACTTGGAAATCAACCAATTGACGCATGGCACATGACACCACACGACTCAGAAACACTGAGTGCTTTTTTCTCATTGGATCTTTCAAGTTCAAGTCATCCTAAGCTGATCTTGCACCTGCAACACGCACAGCTCGCACGATCTCGCGTGAATGGTCGCTGATTGTCCATTTCACACAATTCCACTTCCAGGAAGGTAAGACTCAAATGATATAGTAGTAGTTATAATCATCAATATAGTATGTAATAATCACTTGGTATAATCATCAAGTGGTTCATTATAGTTATACTATGATTGTTATCACCATTTTTATTCACCATTTTTGGATGTTTCATCTATTATCATATACATGGACTATTATCATGAATGGTACTAATTCTGAATGGTAAAACTCAAATGATTCACCACGTGTTTTCTCATGGACCCATAGCCAACCATCCAACCATCACATGTTGAGTTCCCAGCTGATGTGTATATGGTTGCGCTTGACCTCCGCCACGAAACGTGAGGTCGGTCACCCGAGCTATGGGATCTGCTCGGGTATTTTGCTGTTTGTAACCGTTCCGAAAACATGTTTGTATATCAAGAGATATTAACAGTTATTGGGATAATTAAACTATGATATACATATACATATCTAATACATATATATGGGATTGATATACATATACATATCTAATACATATATATGGGATTGATAAACTAATACATATCTAATACATATATATATATATACACTATTATATACCGATATCCCAAGTAGACCACAATAATTAAGTCATATCCCCAGCGGTTGTTGGTTCTTTCTGATTCAAGTTCGCTATATTCACATGTTTGTTTGTTCTGTGTATTTCCAGCGGACGCCTTCACATTGGAACAACACACCGCATTTACTGAGTTTACTGTACCCTTGGCAAAGGTTGACATGACGATCTTTTCTTCAGAGCTTAAACCTTGACAGAAACACATCCCCAAAGTAAAAATTGGACAGATCCAAGCAACAAAAACATCAAACTTACCCTTCAAACTTTCAAACATGGGTTTGTCTGAAAATGTTGGGTATATTCCCATAATAATAGCCATTTAAAAACGGGATTTTATGATCAGCAAAACCATTGGGTAAATGGGGTACACAACATTTTCAGACAAAGCCTCCGAGCGATTTCATTGCTCAGAGCGACTCAGAGCCGGGCAAAAGTCTGGGTGCAGCTCCAAAAAGCTCAAAGACCCATCGATCTGATCCAAGACCTGGAGGGATTGTTGAGTCCTGATGGGGGATGGCAACGTTTCACACATAAAACACATGAGTATCTCATGTAAGTAATGGGAAAACAATGACAAAACTCACAAAAGTGAGGGTATATAGTTGTATTGATTGCACATTCACAGACAATCTTCAGGGCCTTCAGGGTATGAGAGATTTAGAAATGGACCAGCCTGTCTTAGCAAATGGGCACTATCCACTTTCTGGGTCCAAACAACATATGTGCCTGAAAATGTGGGAAAACCATACAGTAGAGACAATAACTATGGGGTATCATGACAATGTCAACTAACATGTTGTTTCATTTTTAAATGTTCAGAATTTTCTGGTGTCATGCCATGTCATGCCCCATCGTTGTTGGTTCTTGCCACATTTTCATCTGGCTTAGTCCACATATACGCCTAAAACACAATTTTAATAGGAAAGATGCTGATACAACATGTGATAAAAGGATACACCATTTGACTAAACAAACCCTTTCAGGATCTTTTAGGAACCCCCATTGTTTGTTGATTAATATGTACATATTACAAACATATATACAATTATACAGATATAATGTTACATTTTATAACATATGGTCATATACAAATATTATATTATAATATTGTTTGTTTTTAATTATATTAAATTATATGGATATTACAATATAATATTGTGGATTGTCTATTTTTTAATATAAATTATACAAACACATAATTACAATCCATAGCTCTACATCAAAAAATAGACAAAGACATCATGGATCAATGCATCCAAAGACACCGTGGCAAGGTCCGAGCCACTAGACCTTGGCAGAGGTTCCCAGGTTCCCATAGCTTTGCCAGGCTCTGGGACGTCAAATAACTGAATATGACCAATTTTGATAGGTAAATCATCATACAAATCATCTATTTCATCATCTATTTCTATCATAAATCATCAGGTTTATGACGGTTTATGATGAAATATCTTCAATTTTTATTGGCCATGGCTTCTATCCATGGCCTCCCATGGAAGCAAAGTATGACATAACCAGAGCGGTTTTCTGGCCTCAAGATCATCCATATGGACTATTCATAAATACTCATCAATGGGTCCATATCATAATCGGATTTAATATTATATATATATGAATGGTTATTATTATGATATGGAATATAAATGAATATATTTAATATATTTATGATATGAATGGTACCAATGGGATATATCTCATAATATACAGTATCCATATCATCATCGTAGCGTCCCACAGCATCGAACTTCCACGGGACTCCGGGCGAAGTGGACGAAGTCGAGGTCGTCGAGGTCCCAGTCTCAGCGGATAGCACGGGATGCCGAATGATCATCCCCACCGGATCCCAGCATTGCAACCCTCTGGTAATGACTAGCAGTTTGCATTGATGTTCATTTTTTTCCCCTATATCTATTAATATCCATTAATGGTGTTAACCATCCAATTTATTGGGCTACCCTCTGGTTATGTCAAAATAGCTATTGAAAATGATCATAGAAATAGTGGATGTTCCCATTGAACATGGTGGATCTTTCCATAGTTTTTGTATGTTTACCAGAGGCTACATTAATTAACATATGATACAACATATCCCATGACGGATCCATGGTGCTGCGATATATGGTGCTCCATGGATCCCATCAATATATTCCAGTCGTGTTAGCATATATACCAGCACCATGGATCCTATGGGTATAAATTAAGCCTTGTTCATGAGGGGATGATTCTCCCTTAAAAATGGGACAATAATGGAACAATATACTTTAATAAATCCAGTTCTTTGAACATTGCAGCATGGCACATATGAAACATCTACCCACCAGCTGACAACCGTCCAGGATCTTTCAAGCCAGGCCCAAAGCCATTGTCTTCCCAGATGACTTGCGAGACACACTAAGGACAAATTGAGAAAATTCACATGGGGACCACAACTGGTTGGTGGTTTCAACCTCTCTGAAAAATGATGGAGTTCCGTCAGTTGGGATTTTCTGAAATTCCCAATATGATGGGAAATTCATAAGATTCCATGGTTCCAGTCACCACCAATCAGCACAATGTTTTTCACCTGATGGCCATATCCGGATTTTCCGGCTGTCGAGTTCCGAAAAATGTTCCTTCGCCAGGAACTTCAGGCTGGTTGGGAAACCCAGCTCCCCAAAGGTTTAACTCCCAGCAGTTTTATGTATAAGTTTCCATTACCCTCTGGTAATTTGTTACATAGCTATTGAAAATGGCCCAGTCGAAATAGTGGATAAAAACCCATTAAAAATGGTGGATTTCCATAATTAGTTGTGTTAGTTTACCAAAGGGTATCCCCATCAATAAGTGAACAAAATCTAAGGACATGGAAGCCACCGTGTAGACATCTTCTCTTTTCAGTCCTTTCCGTGTTAAAAAACCACCAATCACCGGGCTTGCGACTGCAAGGAGACCATTCGCCGATTGGTGATCCAACATACACCTCAGGTGTTGAGGCACCACGCTGTTGATGTCTGAAGGCTCAAAACACTGAGAGTCTCTAGGATTTGGCTATAGGTTCAAAACAAACATGAACAGACCCACGGAAGTAATTGCCTTCTTCAATGCATGGAATCTGAGAACAACTCATACTATCTCATTACATCTCATTACATGGTCTATTCATCTAGTCCATGTTGGATTTTCTCTTCCAGGACCGCGCTCTTCCGTTCACCGGTCAATATCCAGCCATGGCCGTGTCGCATCTGGGACCCCTTGACGCCACATCGGCCACGCGGTCGAAGTAGTCAAGGCGTTCAGCTAACGCCTGCGAGGCGTAACCGTTACGCGACTTCTGGATGAGTCAAGGCCACAACAAAAATGGGTTAACCAGCTACATCATGGCAGCATAGATCATCATATGGATTCGTATGGCATCTAAGCTTTAGAATCATGATTGAACCGACAACAGCGGTGGCAACAGTGGGTTTGGACCGAGAAATTGGCGATTCTAACCAAGCAAATATGACATGATCGATAACAATGATGAACAAGTGGCTAGTATGGTTAAATGATCCTCAAAGGGGTTGATGGAGCAAGACATGAAAATGGGTGGGCGTGCAATTGACCAGCTTAACCTGTATGTGAGTAAATCACCAGCATTTCTGGCTGGGTAAAACACGCTCATCAATGGAATCCACATTATGTTGAGACATGTTGAGACTATTATACACGGTTATCCATGATTATTCTCCATCTTGAGATTTCTATATCATTATCCATTCTTATCCAATAAAATCATCTTCAGACTATGAGTGGTTGCAATCCAGCTAGTTGACTTCGCCTCGGCTTCGGCCGCCAAACGCTCTTGGTCCTGCGCGGTGACACTATGGCGCCGCGATTTGACATGATAGAACTATATTATGGTTATGTTATCACGAAAATTGTTAAATTTGACATAACTATTAACAAAAACCATAGGTGGAATTCCAGGGGTAGTGTTACTTGATGTTACATCAATCAATTCTTGTTGCGCACAAATTTGGCCTGTATGAAACATCTTCTGAAGGGATCTGGGCACTTCTTTGCACCTGTGGCGCCATATATCACACCTCCACTTCCGCTTGCTGTAGAAGTGGCAAGTATAACTTCTGAATTCGGTGCAGCCCCCGTTTCCAAACTCTAAGCCGCATCATCCAGAGGATTAAAAAAACCATCAAAATAACCTCCTACACTTTCCATCTTTTTTGGCATCACAACCTGGAGGTAAAAACATTCACCACCTTTACATTGTTCCGGGCCTGCACCATTTGTTCACATTCCTTGTGCAGGGCAGTGGTTTTTCGGAGCACCTGCGACCCAGTGGACCCAGGACCCAAACATCTGATGGCTTTTGGGATAGATGGCTTTGGAAACCATCCAGAAATGTTTTGGAAACTGACATCTATTTCCCCTTTCTGCAAGTTTTCCACATGGCTAACTAGGAAAAAAACATTGTCCAGAGATGCATCCTGTGATGTCCCAAAGTCTGGGGCTGCCATGAAAAAAGTACGTGATCTGAATGCAGTTTCTGGAGGCGCATCCCATCACTTTTCATCACTTTTTCCAGCATTAAATGGAATACCATGTCACCGATGTCACCCAACATGCACCAAATTGGCTGCAGCTCAAAGTTTTCTTGACCCCGGAACTTAGAGAGTGTAGCAGCAAAATCACAGATCAATATAGTATTCCTGCAACAAATAGATACAAATTTATATAGAACCTATCAGTGGCAGCTTTTTTGAGCCAAAAGCCAAGCAGATTCTTCGCCTCACACCGTTGCCGATCCAACTCTTTTAGCTGTCCCAGCACGGTATCAAGCCTCAGACATGGCGGAGAGGGTACAGGGAGATGGGTCAGATCCGAAAAATGTTGGGAAAACGAACAACAATTCCATCATATTTTTTTGCATCCATTTTCCATCATTTTCCCATTAAAAAACACGTTAATTTATGAGACCCATCCTCTTTCAAAGAGACCCCTTTCATCTGACCTTTGAGGGCCCTACTCCTCACAAGCAGAGTTGCAGATCTCTTGCACTTGGCAAATCCTGCGCCAGCTGTGCACTTTGGGACCTGAAGGAAAATTCAGGTGACTTCAGGATATCTAAAAACCAGGTCTTAGAAGAAATGAGTTGATCAGATGTTTAAACATGTGAGAACATCGTTACATACTATATCTACAAGACTTGCTACCCAATCCATACAGTACCATGCCGAATCCAATGTTCCAAGCCTAGGCATTTGCCCCAATATTCAAAGAAATGTCCGATTCCAGTATCAGGTGGTAGGTGCTCGCCAGTGGCACTGATCGGAGTGATGTTGAAAAACAATAAACATGCCAAATGTGAAACATTGATCGTGAGTAGCAAACTCCCAACTGCTGCGATCTTATCATATCGTGGCACGCATTCTAGGCTTCATATCCCCCAACTAAGGTGGAGCTCACCCTTAGTCTCGCAGATATTGGTTACAAAACAGTGATACCAACCCCAATGCACGACCTTTGACTAAAAACATGTCATCAAACTTCATCAATCCATTCTAGAAAAACTTTGGTTCATGTCACCCTCTTCACCAGGAAATTGGATGAATAAAGAGATAACAAATTATCATTCTTCATCATTGTTCACATCACCAAATTCTTCTCCTTGTGGTCATCATTTAGGTGACGAGGATGGGATCCTACCACTAACTGGTTGATAAGCCTATATAGTTTATAGTAAGTCACCATTGATCAATGGCTTATCCCATCTATAAATGGGTTATCCCATCCATAAATGGGTTATACCATTTATAAATGGGTTATACTATCTATAAATGGGTAATACCATGGGTTATACTATGGTTATACCATAGTTATACTATGGTTTACCAATGGTTATACTATTTATTAATGGGTTATAAACTGGTTATACTATGGTATACTAATTCGGTCCCACCACTGCACATCCATCATCCGGTCCATTGCCAGCGCCCTCGACGCTTAGAGGCCTGGATGAGACACCAGGAACCAACAAGCAAGGGAAAAGGGAGGGGGTGAAATGGATTGGACCACACATCTTATGATCTTTCAATGAATGAAACACACATATATATATATATATATTTGAATGAGACTTAACAGGAGAGATACAAACAAACCCACATAGTGAGAATTTGACTAAGCAAAAAACAGGATTTGTCAGTAAGACATGCATGTGGACATGAGATAGGAGAGACCCTCTGGTCAATTCGATCAAGTACATAGCCTGGAGCTGCAAAACAAGCCCACTTCTTTAGGGGCGCTCCCAGGAATAAAATCATGAGGATATCGGTCAAATGTTTTGCAACCCCCAATAATGGACTCGCACTTTTTTAAAAAAAATATGGTCTTAAATGATAAACTCTGATAAGATAGAAACATGATGAAACATGTAAACATATGAGTACATTCTAAACATATGAGTACATTCGTGTAACCCAATTTGACCCCTTTCTTGGATTGTTCACCCCCAATCCCTCACCAGTTGGCGTTGGCCTCCTGCTGCAAATGTCGATGCCGCACCGACTGCCAGTGCTTATGGAAGGCCTGCCAGGTGCGGCGACGGTGACACAAGGCATCAACTTGTGGCATCCCCAGAATTTGGACCCAGAAACAATGCAATTCTTGATGGTTAAATCACTCAAACTTGGTAGTATGCCTCAGTTTTGGACACACCCAGATGTTTTTAAAGTGACATCCCGATTTTTTGTGGATCAACAAAATCTCTTGGATCACATCCATACGGACCCCCACTGGTGTAATGCCGTCACCTCGAAGCTGCCCTTCTCAGCATCTGCCACCTCCTGCAGACCACCTGAGTTCCCTGTTTTTTGGTGGACACCTATAGAAAAACCGGGGAACAATGGGTTTTGTCAAGCTATTAAGCTGATTCCCCTGGGTATGAGCCAAATTTCGGAGGACGGAAGGAAAAGGATTGTAGCACTACTGAAGATCAATATATTAAATTCATTTGAGTACAGTGCATGTTTTTGACCTGGGTGACAAGCCGAACAGCACATTTATATGTCACATATATATATACATACTTACATATATCTATAAATATATATATAGTGCAGACTTATTTACATATATTTTGGCGCTATGAATGCCAAAAACACATCGTTGCTCCACATCATATCGTTGCCCAGCGGCTGTTCACAGAGCTGGTCAGCTCATCTAAAAGAGAGACCTGACCTTGGCTCCGGCGCCGATGTCATCGACAGGATCTTTGGGGATCCCAAATGTTTGGGCGTTGTTCATGGCATATTCTGGCTGGTTTACAATGGAATATCCATGGGAATATCACCAGCTAATGATATCCATTTTGGGTATGAAAATGGTTTTTGTCTAGGAACAACAAATGATGTATTTTGTTGATCGGAAGATGATGATAAACCATCATAAGACACACCCATATTTGGATGGAGTTGTTCTGGTGCTACCAGGGATGTCCTTAATTGTCCAGTTAAGGTTATATGGGTCTGAGAATGGTGTACTTATACCCGTCAAATAGCTATTTCAATGGGAACAGCTATGATTAACCATCTAATTTTGTTGGGACATGCTATGCTTCACCATCGAATTTTTTGGTACCCATATTGACACCACCCCGGACCCCGACTGATCGGCCCTGAGTGTTGCAACGCTCCGAGAGCAGCAAGTCGGTGGCCATGCCTAATGTGGGAGGAGATGGGCAACATCTCCAACCTGCAAGATTTAACAGATCCATTTTTTTTCATGGAAACTTACTCAATGATTGGGCTAAGGTTCTTGCTATAGTTGGACTCTAGCGCCATGTTTCTCAATTGCATACGAATTCTTGCTGTTTGGGGTTGCACCGCCCCCACCAAATTCAATCTGAGTTTCATTTACCCAATTTACCCATAATGTGGGCCTTACCCAGGGCCACCCAATGCCATAAACCTACCAGTTGGGGATGATTAACATCCTAGCCATAAAAAATGGTGGCCCCTCCAGCCGCTTCGCCAAGCCCAGCAGCGAGGAGGTCGAGGTCCGTAGGGTCCGTAGCTTGGGATCAGCCATGATTTTTCGATCCACGCTTCTGAGATACGAGAAATGCGACGCAGAGTCATCACCGTGGTGAAAAAAAACATGTGTTAAGCCGCCACAAAAATCATATCCCATAGGATCCACGTATGCTATATATGGTAACATGGATCCCATCAATATACCCCAGTCATGTTAGCATATATACCAGCACCATGGATCCTATGGGTATAGGGATACCATGGAGAATTCACCAACCATATATCGGGATGATGGATGGTCATGTGGAGGGTATTCTGGCAGCCAATAAACCATAATAAACCTACCATTTGGGGATAATGTGTACCTGCTTTTTTGTTGAGGGAATGGGAGTTTCCTGAGTGAAATTCCAAGTGCAAAAACTTGAATAATCCGTATGCGAGGGTCACACGATGTCACAGGTGCTTTTGCGGCAACTCACTGAATTTAGGTCATTTAGGTAGTCATTCTGGAATAGAATATGGATGAATATGGAATGATGTCCAAAAAATCAAATTTCACTGTTTTCTTTTTGATTTTTCCATATCTATTCCAGTATGATTGTACTTGGACCAGTGCTGAATGTATCTTCGCACGTCGTTTAGGAAGCGGCCAGACATGAAACCTCAAAAATCAGCACTGCGCCGCTGGCATATTTTGGAGTGCACAGACATGCTGAAGTCAAACAATCACAGCTGGCTGTGGGTCAAAACTTTGGGTCTCAAAGAACCACGAAGTTTTGGATAATGATCATCCCGCAATAGATGGGGTGCTATAAAACCCCACAATTTCATCGGTTTTGAACATTGCTCATGTGTACTTACCCAACTGTTTGACCCATCCCTAGATGAATTAGGAAGGCATGTTCTTCGAAATGAATTGGCAACATCGAATTCCAGTAAGAGAAACGTCAAACGACTTCATGATTGACTTGCGAAGAAAACAAAACCACATATCACATGAAGTCCCTTGTCTAAAAGTACGTGAAATCCACAAACAGGAACAAAACCCAACAACGATCATTAAAACCTCAATCAACAATCCTCTTTCAGCTTGAAAGCACTACTGTCATAGTGCACCAGGTGCCAGTGAACACTGATGACTGGCGGATTGTGACCCAGCTGATCCTGGCGTCTGGCTGTGGTTTTCATCTCCAAGAAAGAGAAACCAACAGAATTTCTATGAATTTTCCATGAGATTTTCATGAATATCTTCTGGAAAAATATGGAAAAATGGCGAATCGAAAAAATAAATCGTTCACTGATTTTCCATTTTCACTTGGCATGCATCCCAAAGATAATGGGCTCAGAACAGAATGTGTTTCTTTGGGTGCCCCCTCCGGGTGCCAACACTTCACCACTTGAGCTTTGCTGCCAGTGCTCAACCGGTCCTGCCACCACCACTCTTGAGAGCGCATTTGGCAAGGGAGCGGTGCTGTCCTGCACGGATCACAGCGATACAATGAGGTGTACGCAAAAAATTTTGGCACCATTTATAATCCCATTAACTATAATCCTAGTATAATTATAGCTAATTATAGATCTATTATACTAAATCTATATCAATTTAGCTAAGTATTATATTCTATAACTCAATCATGGGGAGATCCCGGCGATCAAACATTCAAAGGTCATGGTCAAAAAAAACAAAACACACATGGGACATTTCCCTGCAAAACCCTGACTTCCAATGGCACCCGATCGGTGAAGAATGCCACGTCCTTGGCATCTTTCGCCCGCAGGAGTTCATCGTCCCACTTGAAGAAGTCGCAGGTGCGGTAGGTCCCTTTCCTCATGCTAACAAACAGCGGTTGGTGGGGGGAAACAAAGAACCTGAGATGGGGAGAAGGTGTGCATCAATGGCTATGGACATCCTCAAGTATGATCATGATATACTCTGATCTCTGATGTCTACTGAAACATGGAACAGAGTTGGCAAAAAGTGTGCCTCTGAAGCTTCAACAGTGTTATTTCACAACAAACAAACTGAGATGACTGAGATGACTCACTAGATACCTCAGGACCTCGTATCAGCAGAAAAGAGATACTTCAGATACCAGGATGGCCCTGATGGATGATCACAGCTGCAGCGATCATCGGGAGAGTTTTCATGGCAGAAATCACCAAACACCACGTGATCCGAGTCTCTTGACACGTGGATTTCTGCAGGACCAGAAATATCGTCCCCGATTCTCTGAAGCTTTCAACACCTGAGATTCCCGAGGACTTGGGTCAATTCAGAAGGGATCCACATAGCAATTACAAAAAAACAGAAACAACTTGAAAGCAAGTGACATGTGACTCATGTGACATGGATAAAATGGGATAACCTCGCAGATTTTCTTCAGAACAGAATGATTTGTTTGTTTACCTGCAATATCACAATGATGTTTGACGCACGAGGTTTTTCTGAGTTAGGCCAAACCCAGAGTTTTTCTGCCTTGGATGCTTTCCTGGTCCCAGCTATCAGAGGCCCGACATGCCCTTGACATGTGCATCTCTGAAACTTGGAGACTCCCCTGGGCGCTAGATCAATGTTGAGATGAATGATGCCTTAACTCTGTCCTTTCCAGCTTAGAACCTCTCTGCAACCCTCAGTTTAAAGGATTTGACACATACAATTGTTACAAAATGCAAGGTGAACCATCTAAAAATATCTAAAACTAATCCAAACTAGGGGTTATAAATGGGCTCCAATCATAATAATCATACTTACCGCTCACCATGGCCGGCGATGATGGGATTCCCCACGGGTTTCAAGTCCGCCTTGCGCCCGCAATGGCACATGGGCTTCCGGGCTGCCACTGCACCCACCTTGGGATTTCAGTCCCATGGTGAAATGGTGATTCAGAAAGCCATAAATTGAGAAGTTTACCCTCTGGTAAACTTGGTAAACATACAAAAAACTATGGAAAGATCCACCATGCTATTAATGGGAAAATCCACTATTTCAATGGCCATGTTCAATAGCAAACTGTTAGTTTACCAGAAGGTACATGCATTTAACCAGTCATAAACGGAGTTTACCCAAGTTAGCTTTTGTTTTTTGGGGGATTTATAATGATTTATACCCCCTTAAGTGGCTATCTTCATTGGCAAAGTGAGGCTTTCCGATATCGCCAAGGGACGGATTTCCGGAAGGTGAAATTCAGCCGCGCCGGGCCGCTGATGCTGTGCGATGTGAGGCCCTTGTCTTTGGGAACCTGACAGATGGCTGTCATTGGATTGGTTCCCTGAGGAAGATCTACAGTGAAAACATAGGAAAACAGTGTTTTTTTTGTTTCCAAGTACCATCTGGTAAAATTTGTTACATAGCTATTGAACATGGCCATTTATAGTGGATTTACCCATTGAAAATTGTGATTTTCCATAGTTATGTTAGTTTACCAGAGGGTAAGTAAGGAATTCTGGGTTTTCTGGCAATGTTGCTTTCATCCAATTCTTGCAGGTTGTGTATCAACTCAGACTTCAGCAGCTTTCTTCACCCATTCCACAAATGCAAATTTCGATCCGTCTTATGATAGTATCTTTCTTTCTTGAGCAACATCAACCAAACAGACTTTGAATCGCACATATGATTTTAACTTGTGAATCTGTTGGAATGAAACACTGTTCCACAGAAACCTGGGGTGCAATGATCCATATCACCCCAACTAGCACAATCTTTCGGTGATCTATATTCCCACCCAAAATCAATTCCTAAATCAATTGGCATTCGAGCATTCCTAAGATCCTAAGTAAATTGGTTAATCATGAAAAAAACCACCACTGTTCCTCTTAAAATGGTCACCCTTTATGAAGGCATTTCTTAGTTAGTTCATACCAACCATCTTCAGATACATCCCTTGGCATTTCGGCCTCATGGCGCCAAAATTCTTGGAAACCTTCCCAGCACACCAGCAGCGAGTTGTGTGGCAAACGGATGCTAAAGGAGGTGATGCGTCCACCACCTGAGGATGAGGTCGTTCGGATTGGTGGCTCATGTTCAAGCTCTTGCATCAAATTCGGCAGGCACTAATCTTGATCCAGTCTCATATTTGGACATGTCAAAAAATGGTTTGTGTAATTGAAGACGTCTTTGTTGCTCTTGATTGAATCATGGCCGTCATGCAGCAAAACCACTGTATCGACTGGCCACCAGCTCAACCCACCGGCATCCCATCCCACTGGTGGATCCTGACTGATCTCATTTACCAAACATCAAGCTCTGAGTTCATTAACCAGTTACTAGAACCATTTTCCAACCATGAGGTTTCATCCCACATTCGAAAAAACACAACCCCAATCCCTCTAAACCTTGATGTTCTCCCAAAATAAAACAACAAAACACCTACGAAGTATCCCCAACCCCCATCCTCATCCCATCCCCTAACCCCCATCCCCAACCCCCATCCCCCCACCTTCCCGTTCCGTGGCGATCTGCGCCACCGGCTTCATCCGAAACTGGCGCGCCGCGCCGAAGGTCACCGAGGCCACGATGGCCCAGGGACCGATCAGCTCCACTGGGTCGCTGTGGGCACCCAGGAAATCCTCCTGGATGCCACGGTGGAGCCCGTGGAGCGATGCCAACTGGGGTGGTTGACCTATACCAAGCCCTAGTGGAAATTGATGGTTAATATATAGTTAATATATGGTTAATGATGATGGTTAATGATTATGGTAAACTAACAGTTTGCTATTGAACATGGCCATTGAAATAGTGGATTTACCCATTCAAAATGGTGGATCTTTCCATAGTTGTTTGTATGTTTACCAGAGGGTATATTACCTCTATAACTGGTTGGTGGTTGAGCTATACCCCTCTGAAAAATGATGGAGTCAGTTGGGATGATGAAATTCCCAATATATGGAAAAACAAAACATGTTCCAAACCACCAACCAGAATATATACCTAGAGCGTTGTTTTACCCCATAATTTTCACAATTTTAACGACTTATATCTACTTGGAGTGTACGTACCTATAAATAATGAACACAGCACCAAACAAATGCAGATGGGTAATTATGCCGTGAGAGATTCCAAACGATATCTGTAATACAGGATTGTCAGGTAGCATAAAGTGATGGGATCGGAAAAGCGAGCGAAGAACAAATCCCAACGAACACAGAAATCACTGGGATAAAAAGGATTAGAAAGGGTGCATTGAAGCCGGCACGGAAATACTCAGATTTACCCTCTGGTAAACTAACATAACTATGGACAATCACCATTTATAGTGAATTTCCCCCCAAAAAAATATGATTTTCCATAGTTGTTTGTATGTTTACCAGAGGGTAAGTCGTTCCTCTAGTGTGTTGTGACAACACAAAAATGCCGCAGACTTCACGGTTTGTTGAACCATATCACCTCATTCAGTAGGTTTATAGAAGGGTTTCTCACACGATCATGCAGTATCCCGACATATTGTTGGTTAAATCTCCATACTGTATCGATATTATGTTTTTTTTTTCCATAACCATTCATATGATTCATAACCAATACACATACATAAAGTATCCTAAAGTTGCTTAGTTGTATCCCCACCATCTCCCATGAAATCACCATAATCCAATATTAAATTGTATCCATTATTATATTAATATCCCATTGTAAGTTGATTCAGATCTCATTTCCCAACAGTTGGATCGCCATTTCCTGGTCGCGGTAGAGGTTGGCCACGCAAAAGTTGGGCTCCCAACGCCAGGCCTTCAGGGCGTAGCTGCTGGCCGCATAACGCACCTGAGACTTGATCTCTGACCCTGATTAGATGTGTTTCATGATGTTTACCACTATAAATTACCCACAATAAATGGTGATTTAATGGTGGTTTAATGGTTTAACAATGGGTTAACAATGGTGAATAGTGGGATGATATGGGAATTACCACCTGGTTATGACTAACAGTTTGCCATGGAAAGATCCACCATTTTTAATAGGTAAACCATCTATTTCTATGGGCAATTTTCCATGGCTATGTTAGTCATAACCAGAGGGTAAACATGGTTAAACACAATGTTAAACACACATGTTGTGAAACAGATCTTTCCCCTCGAAACATCTCCACACCTGTCTCTCACCAACTTCCATTTGGACTTCAACTTCATGTGTCATATTTTTCGCACACTTCCAACTGAGATATGGATCATCCAATATCATCCAATATCATCCAATCGACCATCAGCTCCAAATTCAAATTGGCCATCCAACCCCATCCAACCACCCAAAAACCACAAAGATACATATAGATAAATATTATATATATTATATATTATATATATACATATTATGATATATACTGTATTATAGATATGTCCACCATCCAACGACAAAGCACCAGCCATTCGATACTCTTGGCGGACAAGCGCTGCCCACGACTCGCGAGGGCCACGGTTTCCTGCGCCAGCTCCTCTTTGGTCAAGGGCCTAAGGGATGCTGTGGCGCCGGAGAATCTGGTGGTGGAAACAAGAAACCAGACCTGGAAGAAACAATTGGATGATATTATATATATGATATTGGAATATATTGGATATATGATGATACATGAATCCTGAAATGATCTGTGAATGATGGAAGACTTTGCAACCCCTCTGGTTGTTTCGGGATGGATATAAAAAATGATTGAAATCAACAATGGAGAGCACAGAAGCTGTGGTGACCTCTCTTGTAACCGGTCCTCAATTTAGGACATCCATCAAACAAAAGACTCTCTTGGTTTGAAAAAGAAAACAAACATACAGCTGTGTCAAAAACAGGTATACCGTTTTTTTTGCTCATACCAAAATAGCTCTTAAATGAAGGTTCAATGGGTTTCATCATGATTCATCCCTCCCAAAAAAGTCTGGATTCATATGGATCCACTCCCAATGTGGGCTCAGGGAACCGGGAATCGCAGCTTCCAGCGCTGGAAGCAGCCGCGCGCCATTGCCGGCGTAACTGGGCCCGTGCTCGTTGCACCGCGGTGATCACCTGGGGCTTGGCAGCAGGATTTCACCATATTCTCAATGATTTCGTAAGATCATCATTGATTCATATTGATGATTTGATGACATAATGGTCATATCATATATCCAATATATGAAATCATCATTGATTTATATTGATTTATATATTGATTTCATTTTACAACATCAACATATACATGATATACATGATATGAATATATTAGAATTACATGATATTCATATGACATTGATATTGTTTCTCCCATCAATAATTATATACCCTCTGGCAATTTGTTACGTAGCTATTGAACATGGCCATTTATAGTGGATTTTCCCATTAAAAATAGTTATTTTCCATAGTTATGCAACAAATTACCAGATGGTATCATCATTGATCATTCCGACTCAACTCCACCTGGCCCCGAAGGTATCGCAGGTCATCCCCAAAGCCACTGCTCTCCCAGCGGGACGTCGATGTCACGCCCAGGTCGTTGAAACCTATAGGGCGGATGGGAGACCAAGAAATGGAGGTGAAACCAAGGAAATAACTGAAATAAACTCGCATGTTTTTTGCAAAACGCTAGTTAAACAATCAAAATGTTGGTTAACCAATCAAAATGCTGGTTAAACAATGATAAACATATGAGCCGCCGTCAAAATCAATTGTTTATGCCTGGTACAAAAATATAAGTTATCGCTCTTTGGGGGGGGCCCTATCGCTTTCCAGTGTTTTGTTCAAATCAACACGAAATACTGCAAAAATGCAAGGGAATTAGCTTCACCGATTCAGATCTAAACTGCCGGGGATGGATTAAGGGCCTTTCGTTGTCTTTGCGTTTGCAACCAAGTTGGGGAGCTATCTAAGCACATTCCTAGAATCTTTCCTAAGCAAGGAAATCTGTTACGATCTCATCTCCGAACTAGAAAGACCGTATTTGATATAGACCAATGGTTCCAAAAAAGAAGCGTTCGTAGCTATGAAGAAGTGCATTAGGCTCCCCAAGTCTGAATACAACGTTGTGGCCTGGTGTCGAGAACCTGTTCACTTTTTTGTTGAGCCCTTCTTCTTCTTGGGATCAAATGAGTCTATCCCTCCTCCGGGGTCCCTTTTTCAACAAAAGGTTATCGCTAGGTTATCGCTAAGGTTATCGCTAAATTGGAACACTTTGACGATCAAGAAAGGGAAGGAAAGAGGAACGTAGAACAAAAAGGACAACTGAAAAAACAGAAGGAGAAAGGAAGGAACAAGAAAAGGAAACAAAGGAAGAAGAAACGACAAATCAAACATGGAATAGATGGAATTCAGAACAAGATTCGAAATCAGAGTTGATTTGGTTCAGAATTCAATTGCGTTTAGTTTTAACTGAAAAAAGAAGGAACAATAAAAAAAGAAAAAGAAAAGGAAACAAAGGAAGACGCAATTCGAATTAAATCTAAACACACAAAGGGCATTCAGAATTAGATTTCAATCTATTGTTTGCTTAATTCAGAATTTGGTTGCGTTCAATTTGGTTTAATTCTACTGCTTTGGGACCTGGGAAGAAAAAAGCAATCTGCCTGCAGAAAGCAATGGCTCAATCACCTTGGATAGCAAATGAAATGGCAACTGCAAGAAACGCGGGCACTGCAGGTTGATTTTTCATCAATTTTGCCCACAGATGGTTACAGGTTATCGCTTTTTGGGAGGGGCCCTATCGCTTTACATGGTTTGGTGCATTTTCTCAACACGATTGGACCCTCCCTTACTAAAGTAATCTACGCTTATTTTGACCGTATCTCATATGGTTTCTTCATGTTTCTTAAGTCATGGATCCCCAAGTCACCATGGCTTTCAATAGGGAAACGGTTTCAATAAGGAAATGATTTGGGGTACCCCCATGGCTTAGGAAACTTCCAAATGGATGAGTTTGCTAATGATGCACAATAAAACTGTTACTGTGCAACATTGGGATAAACTCTGAAAACACGAGACAATTGGTCATTATTTATTTGTCCAGGTGAAATGAAAGCAACACAACTAGTTATGTCGATAACGTCCATAACCCAAATATGTCTGACCTTCAAAAGATTAACCATAAATCAGTGGCTAAAGCAGGAATTTTCCCCATGAAAAGGAAATAGTGAAGGACCAAAATGGGACACTATAAAAAGATATAAAAACATATAAAAACTATAGCCAAATAACCAAGAAATATACCAAATTGCCTTTTACATAGCCAACAAACCACGGGGATCCAACGCAGAAAAAAACCGGGACATCAACCAGCGATAGTTGGAGGTTTCCCGGTTTCCCATGGGGGTAGCTTCATGCCAGGCGGCGGAAACCGGATTCGACACGGTGGCTTTCCTGATGTCGAGGACTGTCGACATGTTGGATCCACCGCACCCAATGGTATACCATCAATGGATGGTCTCCCAAATGAATCCAAATGAGGTCTCCCGAAATGGGTACCCCCAAATCATCCCAAATGAATTGGAGCGTTTTAGTAATTAAGCGTTTAAATTCCCATGGTTTTGGGTATTCTCCATCTTAGGAACCCCCCAAATATGCTGGCATTGGTCCTCATGGTGAAGCTTCCAATCGTTGAGCTGCCCAAGTTTGACAGGTCCCACTGCCACGGTGGTTGAGCTACCCCTCGATCAAAATAAGCTCTTGAGAAATGAACATGTGCGATTTTTATGGGATCAATGCACAATGGGTTCATTTCACCATAAATGTGATGGTTTCCAAGATTAATGGGATAATGTGCTAATACAAACAAAAAACAGAAGGGTTGCAACGACCGGGTTTCTCTGACAGCGCAAGGAGTTCCTACAGTCTGATGGCTTGCCACCAAAGCTCAATCTCCTTTTCGTAGAGCCAACGCCTGTGGTCAGTGGCGATAAAAAAAACCCAACAGATCAAGGGAGAAATGAGAGGCAACAAAGGAAGTTGGAGATATCAACTATCAACGATGGGCCGCTATTAGGAAATTTCATGTACTGAATTGGCTGATGGCTTCAACAGAAGGTGTCCTTACCTTTGCCAGAAATAGTCACAAAAGAGAGAACCATTATATCAGAACCAGTTTGTATCATAGTTTATATCTTATGATATAACCATTATATCAGAACCATTTTTTTATATCAAAAATGATCGTGGAATGCTTGGGGATATGCCAATCTCATTTGGATCAACCCCCCTGGACATATCTGGCCACCATTCCGCCGCCATCGCCAAGTTGCTTGGATGTATGCCACGTCTTTGCCTCACATTGATCGGTTGGCAACGCTTAGTTCACCATCGCAAGGCCAAGAAATCCATAGGTAGCTTCAGGTTGGGATTCCAATAAGAATACCTAGGAGTCCAAGCCAACTTGTTTGCCATCTGCTTGAGGCAAACCATGTTCCTTCCCATGCCGAAAGAATATCATGGAAATGCACAGTTTTTGATCTCCCAGGTGTTTTACAAGACAATCCATCGCAAACCCTATGAGGGGCACCACGATTTTGATGTCCATAAATGTCAACTGAATAAAGATGAACCAAATGACCAAATTCTCAAGCAGCCAGTGCAATTTTGACCAATGATTGCATCTGATTGTACACACAATTGGCTTGGAAAATTAGTTTGTTGCCTTCAAAAAAAACCCTGTGAGCCGGCTATTTCTTGGAAAAATCTCAGCCAGTTGCCAAAGTTGATCCGTCTCCATCTTGTCCGTTGGATTGGTGAGTTGATCAAGCACCATGATTTGTTGATCCTCGATGAATTGGAATCGACACAAACCTGACCATTAAAAATAGTGCACTATATATAATAGGTCAAATATGGTCAAATCATCTACAGCTCATCTACAGCTGGATGATTTTCGCCTATAGCCATGTTGGATTCCCAGAAGGTACATGTACCCCGCATATTTGGCACATCCGTCCGTGAACGTCCCAGCGATCGCCTCCTGTTGGAAGCTGCGCAGGAAATGATCCGCCAGCGCTGGTGGCAGCAGCTGCGGCACAAAGGAGACCGGAACCTCGCCACGACGCTGGCGGGGATGGTTGAAGGGCTAGGTTTTAAAAACTACAAGACATAGATGGTATAGAACCAATCAACTCTGGTTCTATACCATCATACCCATATTATATTATATAATACATATATATATATATTAATATGTGATTAATTTTGAGATGTCCAACTCCCCTTAAATGGAGATACCACAAATCACGAATCGGATCCAGTGGGTTTTTTCAGGCAGGTCATCTTCAGGTGGAAAAATCGGGTCTCCGCACCAACTTTTCCATCTCCTCCAGCGTCACTTGTCGCGTCACTGAGCCACCTGCTGTTGCGCTGTTAAACAATGCGTGACTATGGAAAGGAGCCACATCGATGGAAAGCAGCGATTGGAGTTATAGAAATTAGAACATGTTAATCTTTAGTGGGATAGGAATGGATAGGATAATTCCTCCATGTTTCACTAACAAGGCTAACAAAATCCATTGGCTCACCGTTCACCAGCTGGTTTACCTAGTTCATTTCAATCAAACCCTGCAATTTCTGGATATCTGTTGGATCATTTCTTTTCCATTCTTGTCCCATGATGGTTTCTAGTGTGTTTTCCCATGGTTTTCCCACATGTTTCTTCCATGTTAGTCAAAGTTTAGCAGATTTCAGCAGCCACAATGTGTCACCATCCAGGTCAGCCCACCTTTGTCCTGACGCCCTGCCACAGTCATAAAGACCTCAACCTTCGGTCTTCGGAGCCAGATGTGGGGAACACCATGCTATCGCCCTGGTTTTTTACGGGAAAACATGGGAAAACCACGGAACGAACTGGTGGATCACCTATTGGATAACCCCACCTTCACAGAAAAATAAAGAACAGCACTGGAGCAACGATGGTTTCAACATCTTAAGGAAACCCGTCTCAATGACAGCAGCATGGATGTGTTTATTGTTTCAAACAAGACCTGGATGGAAGTGCAGGAACACATCAGCTCGAAACTTCCAATGATAGCTGGTTGATTGGTTGAGAGTGTTCTGATTGTTCTGGATTCGTACAAGAAAAAATGGAGAAACCATGCCATGATTGCCATGGGATCCATTCCATTGGCGCCGCTCACCTCTTGTGGAGTCTCCGAAACGCTGCTGCTCTGAGCTTCCTGAAACCTCGGAGTAGCGGATGTGGGCGACAGACAGACTTCCTATAGTGACCTAGTGCTGGACTTAACCTACACACAAGGTCTAAACCTGGGGTTCTCACACGGCATAAACCGAGTTGGTTGTCATGGGTCCCTTGCAAGTTGAAATCATTGCACCGTGGATTTTGACAGGTTCGGCACTCAGTGACGCATAGCCAGTAACCCGAAGCCCAAAAGGTCCTAACATGAAACAAAATTGGACCATTTGCAAATTAAATTAAGATACCCTCTGGTAGGCTATGGAACATCACCATTTGTTGGCTTTATCCTCAATGGGCCATTTTCGCAAAGTGTCAGTTTTGATCAGAGGCTAACTTAAGGACATCTGCCCATTCCGAGGTCCATCCATGTCCCCACTATGGGCACCAAACTCCACCATTTGTACCCTCTGGTAAACATACAAAAAACTATGGAAAGATCCACCATGTTTAATGGGTAAATCCACGTTTTCAATGGCCATTTTCAATAGCTATGTAACAAATTACCAGAGGGTAGATGATGTTCCCATCACAGCCACCAAGCTGCAGGAATGATGGGATCAAAGGTCTCTTGGTGCCCTTCTTTGGTCGTGAAAGTGAAAGATTCTCCTTGTTGGAGTCTCCTGCCGTTGATTGTGACCAAGGGGGTGGTCGTGTCGTCCACGGATGTCGACGGCTGAATGGGTGTTTGGATTAACATTAGGTGCTGGTAAACTGTTACATAACTATGGAAAATCACCATTTTCAATGGGAAAATCCACTATAAATGGCAATTTTCAATAGCTATGTTAAATTACCAGAGGGTAACATTTCGTTGATTTACACATAGACTAACTACACAATTGACAATGATAGAATGTGCAAGAACATTCGAATCAGCCCTTTGCAGCCACTGTGCAATGCAATGCACGGGTGAAAATCTGTTCATCTCAACTCCGACCTGCACTTCGAACGTGGAGAAAGATGGAGCGCATGAAGCAGGTGAACTAATCACCCAGCGTGGCTTCTTGAAGGGGGATACTCCTCAATTATATTATTGAGGAATCATGAGACATAGCCAAATGGAACCCCCACATTAATCAACTATAAGGTTTTTTTTCATTCGAGTCGACTATAGTTGCCATATTAGCAAATACATCTACCACTTTCCTCACATTTTCGGTGAAAAGGATTCCTCACAGCCCATTGGACCGGCCATCCCTGTCCAGTACGACTTGGTGCACCACGCTCTGGTTTCAGCACGTCTTTCTTCCAGCGTCTCTTCGCCGGGTCAACCGCACCGTTGGATGGGCCTCCGACAATTTAAGGTCCACCCAAGTGGAGACTGAAAGCGACATCGAAATACCCAAAGTTGATATGTTTTGTTATGTTTTGTTGGGTGTTCAATATGAAATCATCCTCCAAAAATTGTTGTGTTATATTTTGTTCAATATGAACTCATCCTCCACCATTCTTGGGTGTTGGTTTGCAGGAGGTACAACACACTGGCAAGCTTAAGGGAGCTTCACGGGGGGTATCAGGATTTAGACCCAGGTCGAAAAATGCCATTATCAAGGAAACCATGATATGATGGTGGATTTGTTCAGGCATGATTCATGATGCTGGTTTCACAGGTACACCTTCTATACCTATAGTAATATCAAATGTACGGAACTAACTGCAATCAAACACCCAGGGACATGTCACCACAGTGGTTTCTATTCCCAGAAAACACTAGAAAATAGAACATAACCCCCTAAAAAGCTGGAAGATGTGGATCTATTTGGAAGACAATCATTTTTTAGAGGTCAGCAGTGTGCAACCAAAAGGGTCACGCGCACCTTGAGTCCCGAAGGTTAACTTTGTCTGTTTGGCCGCAGACAAGGGTCGCGCCTTGGATGAATTTCATCCAACGGATGCCTCGTTTTACCGTCTCCATCATTGCCAACATCGGTTCTTTCACATCTCCAATCATCATGCTGACCCATCCTACTCTCGGATTCGCTCAAGACAGCCAAACAACAAACTCCATAGATTCCCGATTCAAACGTGGGATTTGCTCAACACATTAAGCGGACTTTCCAAAAAAAATAGCCACGAATTCCTCCATGGAAACGACTCAGCAAAAGCCAGATACTTCGGACGTTGACCACGCTGACGCTGAGGATGATACATCCTGCCATGAGTTGAATAAAAAGATCAGCCGCGGCATGTTTCAACCAGTGTGAGTAAATCAATGGACCTGTTTCTGGGAAAAACATGTTCATATTATATCACCCATAGGGTCCATGTATGACATGTATGGTATATATATATATATATATGTATATATGCTAACATGACTGGGGTATATTGATGGTAAATGTTACCATATATAGCATACATGGATCCTATGGCTCATATTATCAGATATCAATAAATCTCAAGTTGAATCCTATAGTTTCGTGGAACGACATGTTTCTTGATTCATCCCGATCCGGACAAATGGCTGAAAAATGGCGTCCCACTTTGCCGATGGGAAACCAACTAATTTTGGTATATCATATGAAGCCATGCTAGATACCCAGTGGTCCAGTATGGTTCAAAGTTGCTGGCCACATCCTGACAACCTACCGGCGAGTGATGAGACTCGTCACGAACTTCGTCGACTCGTCATGAAAAAGGTCACGTTCTGAAAATGACCACCCTCTGGTAAAGAAACATAGCTATGGAAAATCACAATTTTTAATGGGAAAACTCACTATAAATGGCCATTTTCAATAGCTATGTTAGTTTACCAGAGGGTACCCCAAAATGGCCATAACAAAGGGCTTCATCGCCCATAAAGTGGACACAAGAAGCCAATGGTCGTCCCAGCATCCGGTATTGGCTCCTCAAGAACTTCCGGGGCTGGATGGACCGGATCTGAGCTTTCCAGGCACCTTGTTCGGTGATGTCTCCCCGAAGTCAAACATGATATTAGAGAATGATCTTGTTGAACTGCTAGTGATTATGAGATAATCAAATCTATATATAAATATGGTAAATAATAATGTTTGTTTTCTTGATATTTAGACACATGACATATCAGACATATCATTGTCTACTTTGTTGTGAAATGGTCATATAGGTGAGATCCCACTTGCACACTTGCAACATTGGCTGTCTTTGGAGAAGACTAAGCAACGAAAATGGGCCTGCAAGAGGAAAATTCATTGGGATATGCTTTGGTGTGATTCTACAAACAAAACATAACAAAACAGCAGATCTATGATTGCCTTGATGCTGCTCCGGCATTGCGGATTTGTCCTCAGCATGTCTTTGTTTCAGAGCTCCCTATAGGATCTCCGTGAAATGGACATATCTTCCCAGACAAGACTGACAAGGGAAGCACGTTGAAACTGACAACAAAAAACCAAGAACGTGAGAACTGGCGATTAGGGCCACGAATACATGCCGCTGCTCCCGCGTGCGATGCGCCTCTTTCCGTCCTGCAGTTCCTGCAGTTCCTGCAGTTCCTGCAGTTCCTGGGACAGTCACCCAGACCATAGATCCCGTGATTTTCGTAGTATGATTAGTCCCCAGAATATGGGTATATAATTATATACTATATATATGTAATTATATACTATATACTATATACATGTATATTAACGGTATAATAATCCAGTAAATCCCCAGAAGATCATCCCAAAGGTGGTCGCACCTCATCCGAGGAGACCACAGAGATCGACATACGGCGAGGCCACGCGCAGCATCTCCGTTACGGGACGAGGGGACGATCGTTCTATGACAACTTGATTGATGTCCTATGTTTTTTCAGTGTTTGAAACATTTTAGTTGATAAATCATAAATGTTATATATATATATATGATATATGTATATATATATATCATATATATATATAATTCATTTCAGAGTGACTACAGCGGTCCATTGGAAGGTTAACTGATCACATCTGGCCAACTGTTCTTGTCTGAGGCCTTAACCTGAACAACTGGGCATCGATGCAGTGCTCCAAAAGGTGGAAACATTTCGTGACATCCGAAACTCCACAACACTCCACGAAACTCCACGAAAACACAACCCCAGGTAGCAACCTGGACCCAATGTGAATGTGTTGCAATACGTTCTTCCTGCGTGCATTGGTTCAGGTGATGCATTTCATGTCTAAAAGCAAGTTGGCAATAGTGGGATGCATACAAATTACAAAGACCCGCCCTTAAAAACGGGAGACCAACTGCCTGCGATACACAGAGCAATTCCAGCTGAAACTGAACTGAAACGATTTGTAATTAGGCCGAGAGAGTTATTCATGCAGCATTTGTTTCAGAACTTCACCGAGTCAGTCATCCACAGAAAGTTCGCCCACTGCGGCTACCAAGATGCAAGAGTTCAAACACTCAGTACCATCACACATGTTCTTCCATTGTGATCGGGACTCTACACTTCGGACCCCGGCATCAGAACAAGAACAACTTAGATCTAGAAGCAAAACAACTTTTTGAACATTACAGGCTTGTAGACTCTATAAATCATGATCCTTTGCATCGCTACAGGCGTAGTTTCGATAAGGTCGATTCTCGACTCCACAAAAACAGCTGACCCAGTTTTTCTGGTGGTTGAACCAGGCCTGGTAAACGAACACAAAAAAACTATGGAAAGATCCACCATGCAAATTAATGGGAAAATCCACTAATTCTATGGCATTAAATGGCCATGTTCAATAGCATTAAATCTAACATAGCTATTGAAAATGGCCATAGAAATAGTGGATTTTCCCATTAAAAATGGTGATTCTCCATAGTTATGTAAACATTTACCAGAGGGTAATTATCTCAAGGCCCCAAGCAGCAGGCGATTTCGATTTTTTTTGTTTCCAAGATCAAGTCCTAGAGACGCCTATCACTGGAGATGTCTCAAGAACTTCGTCTTGCCAAGGTCACGAAAAAACGTGGCAAAAACCATACTCCCCCACAATAGAAACCATTCAAATCCATTCTGGATCCATTCTGGATCCAAGGGATCTCCATTGCCATACCATGCCATACCGTTGACACATCTCCGACGGATCTCACCTTTCGGTGGAAATCCGGTACAGTTTTTCTTAGGCGCAGTTTTCGCGACGTAAGCGTGTTCCCGCGCCGGCTGGCCACTTTGAAACGGGGAAACAGGTATGACGAAATACCCATGACGGATCCATGGTGCTGCTATATATGGTGCTCCATGGATCCCATCAATATACCCCAAATGTTAGCATATATACCAGCACCATGGATTCTATGGGATATGAAAATTATCTGAACATATTTTGAAAATGGCTTGGTACGGTCGGTGCCAGAGTTGTTCAACGTTGTTCCCTAACTTTCAAACATATCCTTCTGAGCCTTGTACAGTGGTGACGTCCCACTCAAAGAAATGTGCATTGGGAAAACTGCAGCCTACAGTTCATCCAAACCCCAATTCTACCTATGTTGAATCTTGAGGTCACCACTTGTTTCTATTGAATCACCATGTGTTTTCATTTATGGTCAGGGGCAATCCTGATACATGACCTCTTATGGGGCTTTCCCAAAATGTGAGATCCCCAAACCATTGCTTTCTCATGAAAAAAAAATAAGCAACTTTGGATGATTTGTTGAGTCCCAAAAAAAATCAAGAACTTCCTGGATCCTCATCATCATTTATCATCTCTTTCGCCAAACTCCAAAAACTTCCGTCTGAACTTCTCTTGGCGCAGCCGGCGTCACCGTTACGAGCTACAGTCAGCTGGACACCTGACCAAAAAAGCCGTCGAGCCATCGAGCCCTTCGTTGCAGCCCCCAAAATCTTGGAACTAGGGTGGTGTTCAAATCGAGTTGAAGAAAAGTGTGGTTTTTATTGGCTAAAACGATCGTTTCAAAACGATCTGTGAAAACCGGGTATCCACAGAAACACACCAAACTGGAATGTTAACATATCAATTGACCTATTCAGTCTACAATGCTTCTTATTATAAGTATACATGCTCAATGTCCACCTGCCTGGATCATGCAACCTCAGTGGCCTGACCTTCATGAAAAGACCCCTGAGCCATCAAAGAAGACATCATTTATATTACGTTTATGATATATAAATGAGCCATGTATCATAATTTTATGTTAGGTTTTCCAACTTTCAGCTCAGTACAGCTCAGTTGTTCCCAAAAAAGCAGCAAGTGTTTGTTCCGATCCACCCTTCGCACATCCGGCACGGCCACCCCGGCAGCGAAGCTGGCACGGTGCACCTTGGCCATGGTCTTCCCCCGCGCTAAGGTTTTCTGCCTGCGGAAGCCGATCTTGGCCAGCTCTCCTAGGCTGCTGGGAAATCCCTGAGTTCCATAAAATGGGGATGGGAAAGCATATGTATTAAAAAACAATGTAAGACACATTTACACATGCGGGATTTTCATGGATTTTCTAGCCAGGCTTAATTTCCTGAGGGTACTGGATAATCCCCAAAAGCATCCAAAAGCCATGTCTTTGATGGGGAAATGACGGAACATGATGATAACCATTGGGAATTTTTGCTGAAAGATGGTGGCCTTTGAGGTTTGTAAACAATCTGGCTGAAGTACAAGCTTTCAACAACCTTGAAAGCTCATCCATCAAGTGTGTGGGTTGCTCTTCTATTGAAACTCAGCGAATCTTCCGGCGAATCTTACAGGCAATTTCTGAGCTTCCCCACTCTTTTGCTGTTCGGCCTGTGACTTGAGATTAAGGCAGTGAGACTCACGGTGTTTTTGACGCGTTTTCAATCCCATCCCCCCCAAATATTAAACACCCCTCCAGACACCATCGTTTAGTAAGGGGGTTCCACATCTAGATGTTGATTCATACCACATCATCTGATGATGACATCTCTATTGTAAAGGCTTGAAATGGCTTGAATGTCCGAAAATCTGCACACGCTGAATTGCAAAACATCATCAACCTCCGATGATCCTCCAGCGTTTCAACCAACAATTTGTACTGCAGCGCTAGGATGAAACCAGCTGGTACAGATTTCTTCATCGGAACCTCCTCCAGTTCCTGCTTCTTCTTCTGCTCTTCCTCATTCGTTTTCCTCCGGGTATCAAATTTGGGGGTACCCCGTTCGGCCCCGTTCGATCTCTGGAGGCGTCCTCATCCGTTCACCAGGCGTGCGGTTGAAGGACTCTTCCATCAGCTTCCGCAAACATTTCCTGGGATCCATCCGACTGGTCATATCCAGCTTAAGAGATCCATCTAAGGTGCAACTAGGCAATTACCATCTGGTTATTTAACATAGCCATGGAAAATCCCTCATCAATGGAGGTTTTAATGGGAAAACCATCTAAGGTACTACAACTAGGCAATGAATTTTAATTAATCATGTTGCTTGGGAAAATGAAACTCAATCTAAACCACCTGAACTTCATAGTATATGATCTGTTATAAATAAGCATATGATGTTTCATAATATTAATACTCATTAATTTTGATGTCTTCTGTGAAACAGCCAGTCATTTCATCTTTCGACCACGTCGTGCCAAGACTTCCCAGCGTCACATCGATACCTTTCTCGTACTGCTTGCCTGATCCACCGGTGGGCGATGGCACAACCCCAGTGGACCCTCGAAATGGTGGATTTTTCCAGTTCGCTATGTTAGTTTACCAGAGGGTAATGAAGAATGTCTATATAATTGATGATCAATTGATGTAAATGATATAGTGAGGGTCCATGTTCCACATGTTCCAGTGGAAACTCATGAATCATTGCGCAACTGCATCTCGACACGACCACTTATTCTTACCATGTTTATAGATAGGCAGTAAAGGCATTTCAAGGGCTGAAAACATCTAAATCAGAATTAGCATCCTGACGCCCGATCCTCCAGTAGAAGTCCGAAAACAACTCAGAGAAGAATTTCCTATCTCTATGGGCTTCCACAACGCCAGAACAGGAACCCCAACTGCATCCTGCATCTCGCAACTTGCAGCACACTGCAGGTGTTGTTTTCATCATGGCTTGGCAGTTTGGCGCAAGTAGGGTATGATAACTCTGACTCTGACCATCTGGCATGGGTCCAAATTCGTTAGATCCCTCGCCACCGAAGGACGGCTTTAATCTTCGATAAAACATCCTATTGTTGCCTTTTTTGTGTGACAAAAATATACAAAACTTCCTTCCAAATAATTACTCTCCTGTCTCCACATATCTTCCAGCACCCAGCTTCATTTGCACAATGACTTTGCCGGGACGATATATGGCCAGTTGCGATTCCATGCAATTGGAGATGCTCACCACATTGCTTCGTGAAAAATCATCCGATATATACAATTCACTCCTAATTTCGCACTCAATTCAAAAAACAATGTTCAGCTCACTCTGTGGGAATCACAGATGGATCTATAGATGATTCTCCCATTTCAACGGCCCATTTTTTGGGGGATTTCCGCAATGTGTCGTCGGGGCGTTCCAGGTCCCGTGGTTCAAACAACGGGAGGTCTCCTGGGTCTCCAAGATACCTAAACCGTAGTATCCAAAGAGCTGTTTCTCCCTCTCCTTGGTCATTTCTGGCTGATGGCTCCTGAACTTGGGAACATCACAATTTTTCAATGCTCCAAAATATCGTTGGTTTGATGGTGGTGCGACATATATTATTGATGGTACTATAATACATGTGATATCATGTGATTTCATGAATTGTTCAAACATGTCACTTACAAGTTGAGCAAGGCCAAATTCATTTAAGTTTCATGTCTGCTGAATCTGGATAAACTGCTGGAAATGGCTGAAATATTCGAAGATGAACTGGTGTTTGGGATGCCCCAACTCGAACACAATGTAAGCAGGTCTTGGATGGATTCAATATAAGATGTTTACTCTGGAGAATTAAACTCACATGTGGGGCTACCAAACAATCTCAAAGCGGCCAAAAGAACATCAGCCAGGCAGCCAGTAGTTTCATTATAGTGACAATTCAAATCTCTGTAGTAAGTGTTTTACTATATCTGATGCTTTTCCCAACTATGTCAGCATCATGTTCCACCACACTTCATCTCAACCTCCCCAGCCATCCCCAGTCTTCCAGCCGCCATCATCCAAGTCTCAATGAACTTCTGCCCATAGGGTGAGGTCTGCCAGGCCTGTTTTCGCAGCTGCTCGTTGCGCTGCTGCCCCATCCGCAGGGCCTTCATTCCAGCTTCGGTGTAGAGGATCCGATTGTTTCCCAAGCGCTCCTGGAGTGGAGTTTTCTTGGGTGGTTGGCGGCTTTCAACTGCTTTTTGGGGAAAGGATGGGGAAGGTTTGGCCCCAAATTTGTGGATTCAATTGGATCTGGATTAATGAATGATTAATGGAAAAATATGATGGTAAACCAGTCTACACCGATGTCAGAGGCAATCTTCCAATCTCCGATGATTTCATGGCAAACCCATCACACATCATCACACCTGACATCTTCAGCTGGCCACACCTGCTCCTCACCACCATAGAGTTCCAAATCTTGCATAAACTGCCTGGCAAGTTGTGGGAGTTCTTCCTTGATGCAACTCTGGGCACCTTCAAATCGTGATGTTTTGACAGTTATATCTAATGTTGAGGCATCCTAAGGACAACTCTCCACTCCATGGCTTCATTTCGGTGGACCCACCTCTTGAAGAATGGCCATGTCATCATTTGGAGCTTCACGACACCAAAATCGAGAGATTCCATGCTTCACCAACTTCCCATGGTCCCATTCAATGACCATTTTGGAGCATATCTACAGTATCTCCAAAAACTATCCCCGCAACCCCAAACAGTGTGGGGGGAGTAAAAAGGTCATGTATTATAATGTTGTTGATGATGATGTTAATGTTGATACATGCAATACATGCGTATACCATCCGTAGAATTCCCCTCTTTGTCTGCACTGTTCCATCATGTTTGATCCCATTTCCCCACGTCCCATTGAAATTGGTTCCATCAACGAGGGTAAGCCACCATGGCCTAAAGCGCTTGGTCTCGATTTTCATGTCCGTATGAAGGCTGCTGATGCCGTCCAAGGTCCTCAGCTTGCGCTGGAAGAGCGTCATGTTCTCCTCACAGCCGAGTTGGATGAGTGGGGCGAGACTGTGGAAGTTGGATGGGAAGTGGATGGGATGATACCCAGAGGATTTTTATCATGTTTGTATAGTTAACCAACAGAAAAAGACGACGTACACATTAAAAAATATATATAGAGATCAAAAGATGTGGTGAAACCCAATAATATGCCCAATTTCAGAAACCATCCGAACCATCCCCAATATCAACTCACCATTTAGTCATTTGGGTGGTCAAGTCAGCCTCGCATTTTTTGTTTCAGCCACCAAGGCTCCAAGTGCATGAACTCTTTGGCCCAATCTTTGAAGGGGTCGATGGGACCATCGTGTGCTTGGGTCGCCATGGCATCTGCCTGCCGTTGCCGACTGGGGGTTGGGGGGATGGAAGGACTAGGGGTACGACTCATGGGTAAAAGGCACCATTTAAGGTAAACAGCAAACATGAGGTATACAGTACAGTACATTGATCAATAATCATGGTAATATGATACAGTACATTGATCACCTCATTTATGGTAACATTGATTAGTAAACATGGATGTAACTATGGTACAGTACATTGATCTTGTGTGATCTTGCTAAGATGAGGTTTTCTCGCAGAATGGGTTTGATGTGGAGGGGACAGTTCGCCAAAGATGTTCCTTGAATCAAACGCAGGCCCCATTCCCGACAAAAAACCTAGTGCAGTTAAGTTGGGGCTGTAGGACTCACTATTCATATTTGCAGCATCAAGACCATCCGTGCACATCTGCAAAAACCTTGGTTTCACCCCCAGAAGGAGCATCCAAAATCCCAAGCATTGGAGGCTGCAGAACCCACTCTGTTTCTCTCCATCTTTCATTTGCAGTAGGGAAATCATGCTTCATTCGGTCTTCCATCAATCTCCAAGAATGGTTGTTTTAGGTCTAGGTAGACTAGTTCCCGGCGCTCTTTTTTCTCATTTTGTTCCCATTTGAATTTCGGCTTCCCCAACTCCCCCAGCCCTCACCCCCCGCCTTCTTCTTCTTTCGCCGGTTCTTGGGGGATTTGCCCGGCAAACCAAAGCTCCAAGGCAACGATCCTGAAGATGGTGGATATCCCACTGCTATTTTGCTGGTGAAATGATGATACACCAAACAATTTAGGGTACTCTACTATCAAAAAAAACACACACACATAATCACATATATATATGTATATATATATATAGAATTCTGCAATTGGCATTAACTCAGGTGCGGTCAAATTTAGATACCACGATTTTTTTTTTGGGTCAAAAATAGCCCAGAAACACAATCTGCAGGTCCCAGGACTTTCAATTTTGACATACCAAATTGGCAGGTGCGATGTGAACGAATGCTTATTATGGCCATCCTTCTGCTGTAAAAAAAACACACTGTGATGGTCAAGGAAATGCCAGAAACACTCGACTTTTCCCACAAAAAAAAATGATTGGACACCCCAAAACATCAAAAAACCACACCGTTCACCCACATATGAGTTTAATGCTCAGATTCAAAGCCACAGTGCCTCTGGTGCTATGCAATTTTTTCCCCATCCCAACCTGGTTATAACTGACCCATATCGGGTGTGGAGATGTTGAACACAAAGCCATTTCGCAGTTGAAGATGTTGAAGGGGCATATTATCAGGAAAAGAACCACCGTCCTGACATCCTGACGCAGCCAAGGATCGGTAGAAGACGTCACCGGGAGGGGCACGTTTCACCCAGTCACCGTGACTATTGGAATCGGTGTTGCGACGCGTTTTGCCTCGGGGTCCAGCTCCCTCCAAAATTTTGGCGGGATAAACACCAGCAGTTAATAAATGGTGGTAATAAGTAATAGGTATCTTCCAACATGGACTTTCATGGATATATTACCTGGAAAACTACTATAAGTAATTAGGTATATATATATATGATATAATGGGGTTATTTTAGGCATTATTACATATTATATCATATTATTACCCAGTAAATGTCCACATCCCATTTTTCATGGACTTGCACCATCCCATTTTGTGCATGTATGGTGGCTTCTTTCTCATCCGATACCACCATCATCACCCCTCTCTGGGACATATAATATTTATAATTGTCTAAGTCTAATATACTATTGTTGATCAGAGTTACATCCGCATTTTGTTTCTTGGGTTCCCCCATTGTTGTTCCAGTCTCCATTCATCTCCATTTGTCTACCTTAATCGTTGCTCCCAACACCCAGGGGCGGTAAATCTGGCTATCATTGATCTGCAATGGGTTGCATTAGCCCGGAGAAATCATTATCATCCCATTCTATCCCAATTCCATTCTACCACCTGGTTATGACTAACATAGCCATGGAACATCACCATTTTCAATAGGTAAACCATCTATATATGGGCCATTTTCATCCATTTTCCATGGTTGTGTTAAATAAGCAGATGGTATCCCATTATATCACCATAAGTCATCAAGTTATGGTTATTGGTTGCTTTATATAATCCACTATAGAACATCCAAAAGAACATACCCTCTGGTAATTTGTTACATAACTATTGAACATGGCCCAATCGAAATAGTGGATTTTCCCATGAAAAAAGACCATATGTTCAATAGCTATGTTAAATCCGCATTTCCAGAGGGTATCCGACATCCGAATCTCTGCATCTCCGCATCGCTCCGCATCCGTCACTGGCGAGCTGCTCTTCTCGTCCGCTGAAATGACATTCTCGCGGCTGGACAGCCCTAGGCTCGGCATAGTGGTGCTACCTCAGCCATGCCCAGAGAAGTCGTGTAGCGATAACCAAAGAACAATGGGATATTTTAAGAGATGTCAATGGAGATGTTCGACAATTCCAATGGATGTTCGACAATTTTCCAACTTTCAATGTTTCAATGAACAAAATACTCTAGCTGAACTCATCATTGGATAGTTGTCCATGTTGTCACCTTCAAAGGTGGAACTTCCACGTTTGATTGGTGAATCCCATCATTGACGCAAGGCTCAAAAGAGTTGTGTTCACCTATACCCAAAAACCCCATCTGGCCCAAGTCGCAGGGAATTCTCCACATCAATGCATAGCCAAGGAAATCTAAACTTAAGTGTTACAGATTCCAGATGTTTCCAACATCACTTCCTGGATATTCCAGATATGTTTCACCAATCGAAGGCAACTGTATAGGTTTGTACAGTTTCCAGGTTTTATCCATGGTGACGTATCATGACTTGGTGATGCTATGGAGGCTACACCTTGTTCCTTTGCAAACCCAGATTCGATTGAAGAGGAGCTTCCGATTTTTGGACAGCCTCAGTTGTAGCAAATGGACTTTGTCAACAACTTGTTTTCATATTCAACCCCAGGAGAAAAGGATCTACTGATCTACTGGTCTGTAACCATCTAAACATGGGTCGGGGCACAACATAATTTATAGCTTTGCTCGAATATACATGAATGTGGGAAAAACATTGGTTACCTAGAAACATTATCAATAAAGGGTAGGTTTTCCATGTAGTACCTATTTGGGTTTGGAGGGTAATTGAAGAACTTCGCCAGATTGCCAGTAAGTAGGACAGAACAAACAGCATCACAATTTGATGATACATTTTAGGTAACATACGAACACTTTCCAATCTCACCATACCAGAAGACTGCTTGCAAGAGTAGAATGATGGAACAAGTTTGACTCCGAACCGACTACTTATCCAGGGCACATTTCCAACATTATGCCTATGACTCAAAACCCTGATACCCTATAGGTACCCTAAAATAACTGGTTTTGGGATGTTTAGTCCCAAACATATGGTAATTTCATTGGAATGAATGGAATTGACCCATTCCAAAATCTGAAACTTGACCACACATCCAAACCAGATGTCAGGCCAAGTTCGGAAACATTTCCCTTAGACTAACTATGATCCAACACCTCAATTCAAAGTCCAGTTGGCACCATACGATCATTTAATGTTAGTAAAGCAATGTCATAAACCACCCATAATGTGATGGTTGATACCACCCATAAAAATGGTAAACTTGGGGATGGTGGATCCTATTCCTTAACTAACATGATTGAATCTATTGTGGCGTGCTAGTGAGTTCTGTTGCGTGAACATGTGGGACTGTAAGAAAATTGGGGATACAATACAGGTTGGGAGGAAATTGAAAAAACATTATTGAAGCATATCTGCGACCAACAAAATGTTGTGGGCCCATTGATACTTTATGTTTGAATCCATGTCCCCTTCCGCTGTCAATCTTAGCAACAACATGGATGGCAACCGCGACAGAAATTCGTCATCCTGCGCCTTGCGCAGGTGGCGCAGGTGGCACAGAGTCTCCAGCGAAATCATGATCAGAATCGACCGTGGTAAACTTTTGTTCCTTCAATCCCCCAGTCTTCGTTGATTTTCATTGATCAAATTCCACCCGGCCTCCTGTGGTGCCAGCTCCGGCAACTTCGGCGAGTCCTGATAACAAACCCTTGTTATATATTAATAATACATGAATAACCGGTGCTTGATCTCGATGATGACCATTATTGACTATTCATGCTGATCAATGAAACAAAATCTGATTTGATTTCAATAGTGTGATGAGTATCATCATGCATGATAATCATCATCATTTCATGCATGATAAAAATCAAATCTATGATGAATGTACAGGTTGGAAACAAAGTACACCAACTCTTTGAAAGTATATTTTACAAAACTATAATCTACATGTTATTCCTTGTCTTTTCGGTAGTTTTACACGGATGTTTCTATCTTTAGAACCTATAAAACCTTTCCATGAACACATGATGTCTAAATTACCTAAACAAAATTGACTTCATGTTGGGGGTCCCAAGGGGGACATGCTTTTCAAATGACTACAATGACAAGGGTGTTATCAATCACACGACAGTAACTATCATCATCATGACCCTTGGGCCCACCCTCATTTTAACCATTCAATTTACACTTATCTTTTGGTTATTTAACATAGCTATGAATAATCGTCACTTTTAATAGACTAAGATCATCATAAACCATCTAAATATGAGATTTTCCATAGCTATGTTAAATAACCAGAGGGTATCCCATCAATATCTCATGATGCCAGTTGATACCCCATTGAACCATATTAAGCCCCCATTGTCAATGGAAAAAAACAACATGAAACATCCACCACTCCCCTTATCATTTGTAACCAGAGGGTAAAGCCCTTGGACCCGTTAAATCATGATAAATCCTATGAAAAATCCTATGAACAATCCTATGAAATTATCATCGACATGAACATTCCTAATGACCAATGAAAATATCCAACATCACCATCTTTAGTAGGTAAATCACCGAACTAGATGGGCCATGTTCAGGAATTTTCAATAGCAAACTGTCAAATTACCAAAGGGTAACCCATTCATATACCAGTAAATCTGATGGTTAATGACGATCAATGGTTAGTGATGGTTAATTAGTGGGTAAAACATCTATTAACCATTAACCGTCATTAACCATCATTGGTTAAATTTCCATAATAGATGTTTTACCATCATTAACCCACTAATTAACCATCATTAACCATTAAATGCTGTTAACTGATGGTTAATGATGGTTAATGATGGTTAATGATGGTTAATGATGGTTAATGATGGTTAATGATGGTTAATGATGGTTAATGATGGTAAATGATGGTTAATGATGGTTAATGATGGTTAATGGTAAAACATCTATTGAACTGCTGTTAAAGAACTTTCCAGAGGGTAACCCACTGAAAACTCCTTGGCTTTCGGAACCTCTTGGGATGGCAGCGACCCTTTCCGCTTGGCTGGCGTGGACGTGGACGAGACGGGCACCGAAGGCTCCTGGGCGACATCGCGGACAGTGGAGTCCTCCGCAGACATGGGGACAGTGGATACCAACCATTCATGGGTTGGTAATGGGTTAATACTGGGATAGCAATGAGTTTCTAACCATTGATGGGATATACAGCAATTTAATGGATATCAATATGATTAAGAATGGGTCAATACTGGGTCAATGCTGGATGTTTTATGGGATAGTCAATCATATATGAAGTGGGGAACATAGAAAATTGACGATTAAAGTCAAATGTAATCCAATTCTGTAGAGTAAAGCATGACAGAGATTCAAAACAAAAAACCAAGGATGTTGCGCTTCGATTTGCGCAGGTGCCAAGCCTAGTCTGCGTTGTGGTCCATGGCTATCCTAAGTTCACTATTTGAGGTTTGCATCAATCTCAAAGAGTCACATTTTGTTTGCGCTGGCGCTCACATAACTTACCGGTTTTATCACTTAAAACTAAAACATGTGTTAAATATTTCAAGTATGTTTACTTTAACATGTAAAACTCGGAAAAAAAAAAACATATGTTAGAACTGCTCACAATCACATGTTTTACCGGTCAAACCCGTTGTTTCAAAGTCAAAGTCTAACTCCTACCACAGAATTGTGATCATCTCCAATTAACATCACCTGAGCAGTGTTCAAAATCCCTCTCTGGTTGGTTAAGAACGGGATTCCCCGTTCTTGGATTAAAAAAAACAGTATATTGAAAAGTATCATTCCATATCATTTATATAATATACATATATCAGATATTCCTATATGTATATATACTTGTATTATAATATATATATATATACCCTATGGATCCAAGTACCTTCTCAGGAAGTGTTTGGGGTACAATTTACTATAATTTGGAGGTTTTTTTGTACCTTCTCAGACAGTGTTTGGATCCATACTGGTTGGTGGTTTCAACCCCTCTGAAAACTATGAGTCAGTTGGGATGATGACATTCTCAATATATGGAAAAATAAAAGCAATGTTCCAAACCACCAACCAGTCTTGATGTATATATATATATCATATGATACTCATATAACCATCAACTATGATATATCAACCATCAATATGATATTCTATTTATATATATAATCATCAACCAACATCAACCAACCAGGCTTTTGAACACTGCTCAACTACCCCTGGCCGCCTCCCGCGACGCCACTGTGGCCGTGGCTGTTGTGGCCACCGTGGCCGTGGCCTCCGTGGTGCCCGGTGACGCCGGTGACCAGCGGTCCAGGGCGCTGGCCGCGGCCTGGCGATTCAAGGGAATAGTGGTGGATGGGGCCCCACCCTGTAAGTGTGTTTTTCCCCATGTTTCAGGATTTTTTCCATGGAAAAATGGTGGTTTCATATGGAAAAATGGTGGTTTTCCATGGGATCTTAATGGTGGTTCAATGGGATATCAACTGGCATCATGAGATATTGATGGGATACCCTCTGGTTATGACTAACAGTTTCCTATTGAACATGGCCCATTTGGTTCGTTGATTTACCTAAAGATGGTGATTTTCCATTGTTGTTTGTATGTTTACCAGAGGGTAACCATGACTTTAATCGACTAAGTGGTAAGACATGGCACGCGCTAGAAAAAATGGTCATATATGGTCATGCTCCTTTCCATGGCAGGGTTTTACATTGCCTTTCATCTGGTAAAGCCATGAAAAACCACTTGGAAGTTAAGCCCCAGCTGATGATAGGATTCAGATGCGGATTCGGCGAACAACTTTAATCAATTTTATGGGGGATAGGGGATGATTGCTTGGCAAACCAATGCATCATTTCAGCAGGATCGCTATGACTATGCCAAAAATTATCACTCAAGTGATTTACATGGAAAATATGGTACTGATGGTGGTGTAATTCCAAGTATTGAAAATCCCCATTGTATGGTCCCAAATATGTGATTTCATCCCCTACACTCCACCCTGGAATACTGGAATATAGGTGATGTTTAATAGTGGAGGGAACTACTGGATCATTAACCATTGTATCATCTTCATGAATATATCCTTTGATAGTTATATTCTGTTATAGTCCACCAGGTCATTAGCCAACCATTGGAACTATACCCCCAAGATTTCTGTTATAATTCACCAGGCAAACAACATAAATCTGGGTACATGATAATATTTCGCTAACCTGAATTCTTCGGCCATGAATGGCGATGATTTCCCCATGATTCCAGGGCTTCGGGAGAACAGGCTTCGGTCGTGATCAAATTTACCCAGATTAATGTCAACTATTGGTCATCTAGTAATGTCAAACCATGGCTTAATGGCTTATTATTCATGGTTTATGGTGTGAATATTAATGGCCGCCATTCACCAAGGCTGCCCCGTTCGCCAAGGGTCACGGAGCCGCGCCTTCTGCGCATCGACGGTCAAAGCATGCTTCGCCGGGAGCAGTTGCGAGGCCAACTCTATGGCCTCCCCGTAGAGTTGCCACATCCTTCAGCCGGCCACCAGCCGTGCCGTGGAGATGGCCAATTGATGGCTTTTAATGGCCAAACATATGCAAAATCTGGATATAGAACATGTATATAAACTGTAAATATATATATATATGTCTCTGATTTGGGAGGTCAGGGGGAAAATTGCATAACTGGGATGACATCCTGAAGAATTGGTTATGGCCACGATATGCGAGGATGTAAGTGGGAAAATGGAGCGAACTGATGACTTAAACAACCATTGCTCAACTGCAATACCTATACCATCCTATACCATCCAAAAACTGCAGCAATGAAACCATGACAACTTTCCGGCCGAATTCTCATATTTTGCTTGGGCAACAAGCCCACATGATGCGTACCATGCATCTGTTGCATTTCCGACAACGGCGGCAACGGCAATCCCACGTTGAGACCTGCAGCAAAATCATCCAACAAACAGGAGGAGAACAAGAAAAACGAACACCAAGATGATCTCAATAACTTTTGTTTTGAATAAGATTTGTTGCGTCCAAACCTTCGGGACGCGTGTGGTGAACAACTTGTGGTTTGCTCAAATTCCAGATCTTCTGAACTGCGAACCCTTTATCAACGGCAGTCAAGTACCCAAAATGAAGGTATTCACTACATTGTCACTACACTGCACCATATAGTACCACATTGTTGAAATTGTCCCTTGCATAAGCTTTACCCATACAGCTTAATTACAAAGAAAAAGTACCTACGTGTGTTGTTGCTCTTCAACATGGGGTTAGATAGGTCATGTTTGTACCAGTCATTTCTGGTCCAACAAACATGCTATGGCATACTGCTATGGTTTACCATTGACTTTACCACAGGGTCATTAAAAAAACTCGGAAAACCCATGGTGATTTTTGGGCTTCCCCCATCCAAAACAGCACCGAAACCGGCCTGCTTCCTCGTCCAGGCTCTCATTCTCCAACTCCAAGAGCCCTGGATCCAAAGAATCACCTGATGATCTAAGGATGATCGGCATGGCACCAGCATGGCACAAACATCCCGGCGGAATTTTCACCGTCCGCATATTTATTACTAAATTATCGCTTCGCCATAGCGAAACGTCAATTTTGACTGAAAAAAAGAGGTCTCGGGTTTAACTTTTCCATCGACAACCCTCTCAGCGTTTTTTCTTCTTCAAGAGGCCCGAAGTCGAATCAAGACAGTTGCTTGATGAATGTCGCAGTTGCAGAAGAACGGGCAGTGGCGTAGCATCACGTATGTGTGTAAGTTGCAATGAACGTTATTGCCCCACCCCACCCCACCCCAGCGTAGCATCACGTATGTGTGGAAGTTGCAGAAGAACGTGCAGTGGCGTAGCATCACGTATGTGTGGAAGTTGCAGAAGAACGGGCAGTGGCGTAGCATCACGTATGTGTGTAAGTGCCAATGAACGTTATTGCCCCACCCCATCAAAATCTATGCGTTTTGCTGGACGGTAAAAAGTCCGTCAGCACAAACATATAACTGGGACTAATCAGTTTTTTTTTTGTGATAGCCACAATGTTTATCCAATTTCTGATTGAGAAAAAGTCAGCTTTATACAGAAACATGCTGGTGACTCACTCAATTGAAGGGAAAAAAATACAGGAAACCAATTGTTTCCCCTCAACCGTAGAGGTTTCCTGTGAACCAAACCCCTTCAACTTATTCGGGGACTTATTCGCATCAGCATCAGAAACCCCATGGAAAAACATGGAGAATATGCGCATCAGCAAAGAGTTGGCGTGTAGCTAACGTTCCAAAACCCACATCAGCAGATCCATCGGTTTTGATTAAGACGATTGAGACTGAGCATCTCAGCCATAATATGATAACGAACCCCAAAATTGCTCAGCGATGTATGGCTATCAAGTTGCACACTGTGACTGGTAGCCAAACCCATAGGATCCATGTATGCCATATATGGTAACATTTACCATTAATATACCCCAGATGTTAGCATATATACCATACATGGATCCTATGGGAAATGAACATTACACCAAGATTGATTACCCCTGGATGGTCCCCACTGGTCCCCAGAGGTTCCTGACCTACTTCCCCGGCGTCGTGCGGATCGTGCGCTTCTGCCGATATCGGTTCCATCGATGACATCGGTTCCATCGCCGGAATGGGCGGCAGCACAGTGGAGCGCTGACTTTGCATCTCATCAGAGCTGAGGAGATATTCCATTTCCAGGGCCATACACAGGCGCCTCAGGAAAAACCAAGCTTTGTGATAAGATCGTGTCACTTCTGGTGATGTTCAAAAACATCTCTTAAGATCGTGAAAAACTTGGGGAATTGTCCAGTCTTACGAAAATAAGATCGTGCCACTTCGGGATCTTTGGATCATTTGAAGAACATCTGGAATCGGTTCCAATAGCTCGAGCCCACCCGAAGGCACGAACACAAAAAAAATGGCAATCCTGAGATCTGATTTAAAAACAAGACACGTAACAGTAGGAAATCAAAGATTTCTCCATCATGCTTCAATTATCATCAATCTACCTTAATAATCCTTAGATATCCTCAATAAATCTTAACACCTTTGATCCGTTCACCATTCACCATTCAGCAATGTCAAGAAGCGGAAAATCCCTGATATAATGCTTGTTCCTGGCCCTCCAGTTCTAAGTTGGTTTCAAAACCCCATTAGCCAATAGTTACCATCAAATCAACAGTGAAGGTGGAGTTGTTTCACCCAACTTAGCTGTCCCTGCTTGTATAATATAATCCCGGTTCATGGATGATGATAAAATCATGATGTCAAGTGCCCAGCAATATAATCCCCCCTATAGTCATCAACCAACATATGCACTAATAAAACGCCTCCGCCCACAGCGCCATCGACCGAGACGCGACTGGATGGCGCAACACACGGCCCGTTCCAGCCAGTGTGGGGGATGGCAAATGTGCGACCGCAGCACTGGATGCGGTTTGTTGGAATCACCTCCTGTGTACAGTCAGCAATCCTGATCTTCATCCCGGGATGGGCTGAAAAGCAAACACGAGTTCTCCACCAATCGAAATGGCTAGATCTGTCATGAATATCAATAAAAAGTGACCAAAAAAACGTGTGTGTTTCCAAGAGTTTGTTTTTCCCCAGGGTTCATTTACACGTGTTTTTTGATGTTTTTTGTTTTTGCAGTGAAGTCACTCAAATCAGTTTCCAACTCTTTAGCAACATATTACTGCAGTCCTGCTTCAGCCATGGCCATGTCCATAGCAGCTCCGGTCAATAACGACCAAATGTCATCTAACTCCTTGCGAGCACCGCACGGGTGCTGACCACGGCATCTCTGAAGTGATAAACCCTAAAGCGAACGAAGCATTTTAGAACATGATCACTTTCCCTTGGAAAAATGTGTTTGGGAAGTGGTTAAAGAAAAACATAAATATCCATAAAACAATAATTAAAACATATACAGAATGTGAACAGAAACATGGACAATCCGCTATTTGTTCTCTTGAAAACATGTTTTTTACATGTGTTTCTTTTTGCATATGGATTTGTGCGAAAATGCGGTATAACAAAAACATCAAATCAAATAATGGAGAAAATGATGATAAAGTTAAACCAAGCACGCCCTTGATGGTTTTAGCAGGATTTTCAAGTACGTTATTAGGTTTTTATTCCAATTGATGTTGGTTGATTCATATCCCAGTTTCCTGAGGGGAATGCCCACCTTTGTTGCATTTCTTCGTGTGGTTTTCCATTTAAAGCACCACTAATCCCGCACTATAATATAATCATTCAATGTGTTGCCCATTTAGGTGTAGTTATATATTCCATGCAATCCCTTTATTGTTTCATTATTCTCAGTAAAATCACAGTATATCATATCATACCCATCATCATCAATGATCTGCACTATTTCCTTTCAGACCTAAAGGCCATGGTTGGTTATATCCCAGTAAATGCCATCATTCTCCACTTGTTGATCCCATTGTTCTGCCATTATGTCTGAAAACGAGCTTCAATATTTCAATTTGATTGTTCGAATTTTGTGATTATAATGTTATCGGATTCTTTTTTCTATTCACTTTATATCATGTTTTTTTCGAATGTAGTTATCTCATATCCCCGCTATATTCCATTGTTATCCCATGAATATCCGGCTAGAATCCGCAAAAAAAATCATCCCATGTATTGATCCTAGTAGCCATCATCTTGCTGGTCACCCCCTGCACTTTCCAACACAAAGCAACTGTAGATTCCCATGGCTGTTGGTGATATCTTGTACTGTACAGCCTGATAAACTCCCACAAAATCACCATGATTCTTGCTCAAATATGTGTTTCATGAACTCTCATCTAACATCCTCGGGTTCATGAACCATATAATTGAAAACAACTATAACAATCATGAGTGAACTAGTGGTATGCTTTAATTGAACAATGGCCAGATAATGTTAGATAACTAGTTTAACAATAACTAGTGGTACCGGTATGCTTGTTCAGTGATGTTAGATAATTGTCAACATTATGGGTTGGAACTACCAGTTATGATAACAATCATGTTGAATACTAACTAGAATATGGATATCCATCGATGGCTTGTTCAACTACATTATGGTTGAATAATGGTTAGATACCCTGTGGTAAACTAACATAGCTATTGAACATGGCCCATAGAAATAGTTGATTTACCCATGAAAAATGGTGGATTTTTCCATAGTTTTTGGTATGTTTACCAGAAAATACTTGTATGTCTAATAGCTATAACCACCATGTTTCATGGGAAAATCCACTATAAATGGCCATTTTCCATAGTTTTTGGTATGTTTACCAGACAGTAACAATAACAGGTTTCTAACATCCCATGCACATCCCATGGTCCTCCTTAGCACGAGTGGCCTCTGACAGCGCCGGCGCGTGGCGTCCAATGCACGACAGGGCCACCTGGCCATGGCGGAGGATGGAACCCATTTTGATGGGTTAGTGATGGGATAATGGTTACTTTTTGGTGATGGGTTAGTTGGGATCATTACTATAGTGATGAATTATTATTACTTTTTGGTGATTATGAACCATAAATCACGGGAAAATGACTTACTGGTGCGTTTTACGTAGGGAATGGATGGGTTGCTGGGGGTTGCTGGGATGATTATTACTTTTTGGTGATTATATGGATCATTCCCGAAAATTCCCTACGAAGCATCAGTAAGGTGATAGGGAAACTGATGGGAAATTCGATTGCCAATATATATTGAAATCTTTTCCATGATGAGGTGATTCTTCTCAAAATGTATTGTGGTAATCCGCGAAAGAATGTAAAAAAGTCTTTCCAGGATGGTAGGATGATGATATTTACCTCATACTTCCAGGTTTCCTTTTGGGGCTGCTATAAACCATTGAAGAATCATGGGGATAATGATTAGAAGAAATTGGAAATGATGGGAACATTAAAAAACAAAGTTAAATATTCAGGGAAACACCGGAAAGTAATATGAACATATGAAAACATATATGAAATCACTGGATACATGTTTATAGGCTGGCTAAGTGACCAATTTGGTCCTTGAACCCAAAAATGACCACATTGAAAGACATTCTCTTTACGCGACTGGAACACTTCGATGAAATTATAACCAACTCCAAACACCTCGATGGAAGGGGGGATGAGGGATGACGGTTTATGCTCCTCTTACACTGCGTACACTTAGTTTTCGAAGGAACGGGGTTTCCAACTTCTACATTATTCTAGCTGCATCATAACACAAATCAAGACAACAACATATGTTATGAAGTTCCCTCTCCCACAAAATACTTACCCCTAAATCATCCATTTTCATAGGGATTTTCCATGAAATAAACCATTCATTTTGGAGTACCCCCATTGAATTTATATGGAAACCTGCTCCGTCCAACCGTCCTCATCCCATCCCCGTCCCGGCGTCCCGACACAAAGCTGAAGCTGCAGACAGGCCGAGGCGAGCCGCACCACCAGAGCTTTCCCACCGGGCTCCGGAGATTGATGATGAGCCACCAAGTTCCTACCCACCGCGAAATCAAAGCATAAACAGCAGCCGTTTCGCGAAAAGCATAGGCCCATTTGTTGTGGGCTAAACATGGCTAAACGACATGTCCGAGTTCTTGCAAATTTGCAACACACATTCTCTGGGCAAAAGATAAGTTGTTACACAATTGTACTTTTGGTTTTTAAACATCTATGCACCGTTGGTGGTATACCTACCACTCTAAAAAAAATGAGTTCGTCAATGGGAAGGATGACATCCCATATATGAAATGGAAAATAAAATTCATGTTTGAAACCACCAACCATAATGCCATGATATATCTTAATTTACCCAGTAAACTTGCTGAAACCACCAACCAGTACTGGTTAGATAACAATAACAGTTATAGTTGATTTACCCATATTTACCCATTAAAGAATATGATTTTCCATCGTTTTTTGTCTTTAAAGGTCATGGTTTCCATCGCCTTCATTTCACATCGTGACACCGAGTCCACCGAGTCGCTGTGTGCGCTTCAGGAGGGTGATGGCGCCCTTGAAGTCCCGGGTGCGGATCTTGCCTGACAGCGTTTTTCAGCCCGGTGCGGAACCCAATGATTTGCCGGGTACAAACCAGGCAAACGGAATCAAGGAGTTTATAACCTGCAATTGGACTTTATGGAACCTGAAATCGATTCAACGTATTGTCAAACATTTTGAGACTCAACATTCACAAATGGATGGTGACAGTGCCATGTTCATGCGTTTGGGATTCCAAATGGTCAGGTTCCAGCTCAAATCTTGGGAGTTGTTTAAGTCTCAAACATGGTTTCACAACATGTCAAGTGGGAATGGGACACAAGTCAAAACTGATGTATCAATGGAACCATCAACTTGGGCATCCTTACTAATGTCAACCCTGGATTGATAAACCCCAAACGGCTGTTTAATTGGGAAGGTACCATTTAAGTATCGAATCATGACTTTTGGGGGAATACCACCCTAATTAATAACCCATGGGTTATTAATCCGGGGTTGACATTGACTTTATATAATATGTTCATTTTCACCTGGCACCTGACATCCAAAATCTAAGGATCACGGCTCAGTCCAAGGATCCGTCGGCCACTTCGGAATGTCGGTCCACCACCGCGAGCATCCTTGGGATGGGCCGAATTGGTTGTCGGGGTCATGGCGGACTTAGAAACCACCCGTGGCCGTGGTTTAAGCCTCCAAGAATCTTGACAGTTTTTTGTGAACATCATCGGTTCTGATGAAGTTGCTTGAGCTCGTTGCAAATACAACCGGTATCATTCAAACATATCAAGTGCTTTTTTTTTGCCCTCCAGTTCTTGGAGAACGAGGGCTGCCTTTGTGACATGTTCCATGATCAAGCAAGATGATTACCAGCTCCAACAATCGAACCCTGATCCTGTCGTCTACCAGACGTCTACCAATCAGGCAAATCCCATGGAATCCCATGTGTGTTCTCCAAGCCAGCATCGGCCCATCAATACTTCGAGAAATCAAAAACATCACTTCCTCAACTCGCAACAACTCGTAACAACTCCCAACTTCACAGGCGTCACACTGGCAATTCCAGAGAATGATTCTAAATTCATCTCAATTTCCCACCCTTCCACGTTCGACACATTGGGGAAAACTCTTCCATGCCTATTGGCTATTTATATATTAAATTGTTACATAAATTTTCCAACATCTGGCACCATTTCCACAACATGTGGGGGGGTTCTTGAAATGGGGGATCCCCAAGTCACCATGGCTTTCAATATACGAAATCATGGTCATCCATGTCTTCGGTGAGGTCAAAACGGAAACCTCCAAATATGGATTTTCCATTGTGATCCCGTTATGCCCCAGTATATCACCATTAAATCACATTTGTTTTGGTTTCTATAGATATCTATAGATTATAAATCACTTTACCCACAACATCCCACAACTAAATCACCATGAAATCACCATTCAGTCACCATTCAATCCATCCTTCCCCATCCTGAAAAGCTCGGCCAAGCATCGCCTCATCGCGATCCCGCGCCGTTTGCAGCGCATTCGGAGGTCCCGGCCGCTTCGGATCGAAGGCATCGGGACGGATGTTGTAACTCGCCAGGGTCGGCTTGCTGGCCACGTCCACCGCCATGACGGGAAGGGATGGGGAAACACGGGAGAACCTCAGGGGGAACTATAGGTGGATATGGGGGTGAAGAAAACTCTTGGATATTTCTAGGGAAAAATAATGAAAAAGATATTGGAGGTCGTGACCTCACTGATAATTGTGAATGATGATGAAAATGTCAGGGAATGTCAGGGATCATGGTGCCTATAGATTACTATAGATGCTTGACTCAGTTTCCATGGGCAAATGGGCCTCTTGTTAGCTCTGAATCACTCTTGTGACGTGATACATGGCCACCACGCTACAAGGTCATTTGACCGGCTACTAGGCCGTGAAACTGCGGATGTTCACAAGACAGCGCCTGTCCAAAACAATCCCAGTCCTTCCCTCCTGACAATCACCTCCCCGGAAACTGTTTGTTGCATATACGTATATATATATACATACATTATAAACATAATATTGTACCATTTTGGGGTCCTATTTCTATACTGGGCTTAGAAATAGACAATTGAAGTGTGCAACTGCCCGAACACCCAGAATGCCATATTGTCCGACCATACTGTCATCCTCAAATAAACCCATTTGCGCTATTTGCGCTAGAGTCAAAACATAGTATACTGTATACTGTTGATAGTGAGATTCCAAGCACAATGAGTAGTGCTCTTGGGGAATGGGGATTAGCGGCGATTAGCGTTGTGCCCGAGGTGGAAAGTCTTCAGCCCCTAATGCCGCCCAATGCCGGATCTTTTTGGCGCAGGAAAACAGGCAGTGTTTGCCATCGCTTGCCATTGGCCTGACATGACGAGACAGGGCAGAGGGGTCTCATGTTGATCAGGTTTGGGCAAATCCGAACTTGAATGTGAAGCCAACCAATGTAGGAATACGGGAAATACAACCTGAGTTGGGCAATGAATATGGGGTTAAGCCACTGGTTGCTCAGCGCGACTATAAGAATACACTTAGACAACTGGACAGTTTGTGGGTTAGAGGCCTCAGCAACACCCAGCGCAAATAGTTTTTACAAGTATAATGACAATTAACCCCCTTGATTTGTTTCCAAACCTACATAAAAACAGTGTTCAAGTTCTAATTGTAAACCGGCAGGAGCATCCACGGGTCTGCAAAATCGTTTTCACCATGGTCTGCATAATCTTCTACTTGCTCTCGCACTAAGCCAAGCCCTGACTCAGCCTTTCATGAGACAACGGCTGGTGCCGTGTGGCGACCCAAAATCGGGCAACAATGAGCCCGCACATATATTCGAATTGCATTTTGACCATTCATTTGTAGGTCATGGGTATGTATTCTGGAGCCATCCTCATATCTCACTCTTCGGCATTGTAGCAAAGGACCATGCGATGGGACCCAGCAAAGATTTTGCCCGTGGAAGCCGGAAGATCTGTAACCAGCACCAGGGTTCCGCGGTGCTGCGCGTCACCTTCGAAACCCTTCATCTCCGTCTCCAAGTCGGCAACAGATTGAAACTTCACGATCTTCAGCTTGTACTCAAGCAGCTCCGCAAGAACCTCCACGCAGGCCGCATTGATGGACCCTTGGACTTCCGCAACTCCAAGATAGGACAAGCGCAGCTGCACGTGGACCATCAGATTGACCTCCTGCGTCTGGAGCGTCGTGAATTGAGCAGGTGCCCGCCGTGATTGAATTTTCCTCGGGAGATTTTGCAAGAGTGCTAAGCCCTCTTGGGGGTCCCAATCCAATGATAGCAAGGCGTGTGACACGTTTTGCCACTTAAAATCAGGGTACAAAACCCAATCATTGAGTTCTCTTTGCATGCCATCATCAAAGTTTCTGGGAAAGGAGTCACCAAGGACTGCGCAGCCAATCAGGCGGCCATCATCACCCCTTTTGAGTAGTATGATGGGTGTTGCCTCTGAGATCTTTGAGGTGGATGCATCGCGAGCCATCTCCAGCCAATGTTGGCACAGGCGATGCTTGAAATGTCTCCCGTCGGAAAAATATTTTCCCAGCATTGCATCCCTCGGCACGATCCACGACTCGCCCATAGCAGTGAGTTTGCCAAAAATCCGAACAAAATGCTCTCGGCTGTCTGCATGGGTGGGCAATCCACTGAGGACTTGATCTATCATGAACTCAGTTTGGTATGCAGAAACTGCCGGTGCTTCTGCTGCAGTCCAGGTCATCTCAAAATTTGCTGACGAAGGATCGAACTTGTTGTTCTGCATGGCCTCCAGAAATTTGCCGACATCTGGGGCCTTGTATTGGATTACGAGGGAACCAAAACTACAGACCTGCAGTTGCAGGTCCAGCGCCCTCAATGGTTCCTTCTCTGTGTAGAAATGGAGACTGGACCTAGGAAGACAACGGAACATTGGTCCACGTGGATCACAGAGTGTTTTCTCTAGATCCGCCAACGTTCCATTATTCAGATCGAAGCTGCAAACATCTTCTCCATTGAAGGACTGCGCAATGGCCACAGTGATTATATCATTGCCCTTTGGCAACAACGAGGCATTGAGCACAATCGACATGATCAATTTGAGTTTTAAACTTGCACACCACACCTTGAGCCGAACATAACTACAATTCACGGAGGTTGTTTCAGACGTCATCCGGAATATTTCCGCACCAGAGAGGTGTTGCTAAAAAGACATCGCAGCAAGTATTCTGCATGGCTTAAATCCATTTTTTTGATGCTTAACTGGACATATCACCCATTTTTTGTCCGGCGTTTTGCAATCACGGCGCCTCGTCCGGTTTTTCCTCGAACCAAGATGAACCAAGCACCATCGCCTCATCCCGACATGGAAGAGGTTCGCCCATAAACTGGGAGATATACTGGGTGAGATATCATGATTAGATATGATATCATGGTTATTATATGTGATTATCTAATCATTATATAATATATTTCATCTAATTATTAGATAATAACCATGACTAGATTAAATAATAATATACTGGTTAAAAGTAATGCTGGCTATGTATATATATATATAACCATGATTTTGAAGGAGAATAACCAGTATTACTTTCTAAACACAAGCACTAGGACCTAGGAGGTAGTATAACCAGTATTGGATAATGAGATGGTAAAATGATGAATGATTATAATTGCATGATTGGAAGCTGCACAACATATTACATAACCAGACTGGAGGTATAAGCTGCACGATGTTCTGCTGGGTTGGTTGCTGCCCTTCCATGACGACTTTGGACAACCAACTTCAGCTAGCTTTTCCCCAGCCACACAGTGCAAAGCTAGTGAATCTTTGCAGTCATGTGAGGTAGAACAAATGAAACCTACCCTCTGGTAATTTAATATAGCTATTGAAAATGGCCATAGAAATAGTGGATTTTCCCATTAAAAATTGTGATTTTCCATAGTTATGTTAGTTTACCAGAGGGTATGGCTCCACTTTGTAGACAGAGACCGAGAACCACATGGAATGATCTGGCCGCCAAGATGGGTTTTGGGGTGCAACTTGATGCGTAACTGGGTTTCTCAAACAAGGCATCAGACCGCAATACAATAGATGATCAAATACATGAACGCTATATAACTGCTATTTTCCCCATGCCATATCGCCCTTGCTTTGGAACAGCTAACAGAGAAATCAATAGAAATCAGAGAAACCAACCCCAAAGATCCCCAAAGTACCATGATATAAGATGATGTAAGTACTATACAAGTACTATATACCATCTGGTTATTTAACATAGCCATGGAAAATCATCATTTTTAAAAACGGTAAACCATCTTTTTCGATTAGGGCCATCGAAAAACCATGGCAAACTGTTAGTCATAACCAGAGGGTAACTATTATTAACCATAGATTTTCCATATAGTAACCATGGATTAACCATATATTTACCATATATTACCATAGGTTTACCAGATATTACCATATATATAAGTACTTGGAAGTCCCATAGCTTCCATCACCTCAGTTTTGATCTACCAAGATGGGTGTCCCCACACCTGAGGAACATCACCTTCCGCTTCCGCAGAGGGCACGGTAAAAACGTGGGCGTCATGTTTCACGAGGCACGGTGACGTGATTGGCAAATCATCAATGGATATGATCAAATATCATATGGACTCTGGATCATACTGCTTCATTCTCCTGTTTTTTGGATGGAACTGCTATGATACTGAGAATTTCATACTTTGGAAAGAAGACAATTATGAAGCAACATGTATGACTTCATTTCAATCATATCGATCATATAAGCAACATATGTTCTACATGATTGCGTGAATCGAAACAACATTCTATGCATCATATTGGCGATATCATGGCAGCATTCTGAATGGCTTGCGCTGTCTTTTTTCGTAGCCAAAAATGCATGGAAGCTGCGGGGAGTTTCTGAAAATGAGCCCCTGGAAGCATCCAGGGCGCAGTGAGGGCTGATATTCCTAGCTGTGCCGGTTCTACATGGGGTGAAGCAACTACCGCAAGACGGCCAATTTCCAATGAAGCCATCAGAATGGCTATATGGCTATATATAATATATATCATAAATACATATATATATATATATATCTGGTTGGTGGCTTCAAGAGCTGAAAAATATCAGCCAGTTGGGATGAGTATCCCCAATCTATGGGGAAATAAAAGCCATGTTCCAAACCACCAAGCAGATATTATATTATCTCAAAGGGAATTATTTCATGAATTTGACTATCTTTAGATGCCTTGAATACGAGCTGGCTTACGGATCAATGCGATGTTCACCTCCGTGGGGATGTAAAAAAAACATACCACGCCATGCTGTGGGTCAAAAACCTCGCCTGGTGAACATGGCAGCTGGTATCCCCCAAAATAAATACAGTAAATGGATGTAAACGGCTAATCTATATGACTAGTACGTGATTCAAACAGAACCAAAATTGTAAATGGTATAATAGTTTGACACATCCCCATTTCTGAACTTCTTGGTGGAGTTTCACATTGACCCACATTCGTACCCATTTCAAGATCTGCCGATACAGAACGAACGTCTTCCATCTGGTCAGCATGGTTGGCCTAAACATGTGACAAAACATTAGATTGTGGCCAATTCCAATTTCCAACCATCCAACTGCGCGCCCAAAATACAATCACCAGCCGTCACCAGCCCCACAAATAGGCCAGCATGTTTGAACATAGGCTAGCAAAGTCCAAACTGCAACAGCGGCATGTGAGCATGTAATAGCATGTAAAGTATGTTCATTCAACCCAACAACTTGCCCGAGTAGCATTAACAATACTGTGGTAAACCCCTGCCCGGCCCTATATATTTACATGATTTTTACCATATTATTAGCCGTGGACCCGTGGTTGGATTACTTTGGTGATCCCAACAATTTTTATTTACAACATGCAGTATCCCAATAATATATAGATTAAAGTCATTTAAAGTCTATAGTTTGCCATTATGTCGTGGATTTTTGCATAGCTAAAACCACATCTTTGCGCCGCGAACGCCATCTTTGTGCGCGAAGTCACACGTCACAGTCTCCGCGAAGTCTTAGTGGCCACCTTGGCCGGAGCTGACGAAGTCGCCACTGAAATTGGGTGATTTTCAACATGATTCAACATCCCATGACGGATCCATGTATGCTATATATATATATATGGATATATATATGGTAACATGATGTAACATGGATCCCATCAATATACCCCAGTTGCTATGGTAACATGTACCATCATACCCCAGTCATGTTAGCATATATACCACCATGGATCCGTCATGGGCATGTGCATTCGAAACGTCAAACACGTGGACTAATGACTAACTTCTGAAGTTTGATGATGTTTGATGTTGACAGCACAAACTTCCACGTAAACCACTGAGTGAGATGAACGGCATCCGAGACCACAACCACAGACTGCTTCAGGGTCCAAACGAGAAACACAGGAACCCAATGAATTTTGAAACTGCTCAAAATTCAGAAACACATAGAAATACCATTGTTGATAACGCCATTTGCAGCGATGCTCAATGCAGCATGTTGCCAAACAAGTGCTTGTCAGTTTATGCACCACAGATTGGGTTGTAAATGAAACCAGCAAGCATCTCCAATATGTCTTGTTTATCCCCACTATGTTGCTTCTACTCCAATCGACTATTGTTTGAACTAGACTTCTAAACACCTCCTGAGAAGGTGATTTAGGATGATTCAGGCGTAGAACTTTTGAGGGTTCAACTATCTTCTCAGGAGGTGTCTAGAAGTCAATTGGTTGGTTTTCTATTCCCAAGTCTGGCCACATCAGTTCGGTGGTTTCAGCATACCCTCTGGTAAACTAACATAACTATGGAACATCACCATTATTCATGGGCAAATCCACTATAGATGGTGATTTTCCATAGTTTTTTGTATGTTTACCAGAGGGTAGCTCAAAGAGGCCCCAACTGAATTTCGAGAAGACGATGATGGCACAGGACACGCAGAAGAAGTTGAAGACGAAGAAACATGTGATGCTCTTCAAGACGAACCTGGCTAAGTCTTTGGGCCAAAGACCCACAAAATGATGGAGCTGGCCACAGTCTACAGCTTCAAAGCGCTGCTTACGATGCGTCTTTATGTCCTTCAAACTATATTCAATGGCAGACACACGTGACCTCAACCCATCAAACTGGGTAAAAATGTATTATAGTGTACAAACATATTATTATGGGGTAAGACATTCATTTCTAAGGGTTAAGTATGGGTCTGGAATCTGGAACATGCGGAAATTCTCATGATTTCCCTATCAAACTAGCAATCCGGGGGTAAACCCTCTATGAAGACAAACCCACATCCATTCAGTATTCATGGATGAACTCCTATTGTGGCAGTTTAAAAATGAACATTTTGGCTAATTAAATCTCTTACGATATGCAAAGTTATTGAACCAGCAGATTTTGATTGGTTACTCGAATGATCTCTCAAATCCAACTCTAAAATCCGTTGCTTTAAATATTTCCCTCCGGTACTGACTAACATAGCTATTGGAAAATGGCCCATAGAAATAATTGACCGTTCTTAAAAATGGTGGATCTTTCCATAGCTATGTTAATTTATCAGAGGGTAAATCCAATGATTTATCATCACATACAACGACCCATTTTTTTTCAAATCCTCATTGGATGCCATACGAAGTCGCCATCCACATCGACACCCCAGGAGCCTGGTTCCAGCAGCCAGCCGTTCGTTGGCCATGGCCACCTAAGAAAAAGATGCCATGGCCAAATGTGAATATGCTGAAAGCAAAATCTCTTGTATATGTAATGAAGAAATATATTAAGATATGACTGACCAACTAACTGCAACTAACTAACTAAATAAGTATAAATAAATAAAGAAATAAAAACAGATAACATACACGTGACTAAACTAAAGTAAACTAAACCAACTGACTAACCACAGTTGAGAACTATATAATACTATATATATACATATATCTGTAGTATCGGAAACATATTGACACAAACAAAATATCACCCAAGAACCGACATTATGGATGTGCTTTGCCCAACAAACATTTGTAAATTGAGGGACCTGCAAACTACTAAACTCAACCACGAATGCCACGAATTGGCAAATTTCGGGATGTCGGAAATACCTGGAACAAACTCGAGTTGGTGCATACATCCTTTTCCTTGCTGGCATATGTTGCACTATTGTACACACATTAATAACTGCTGATCTTGCTCTGAACAATCAATGTCAATTGGCATCTCCAATTTTGTTCCAGGTGCAGCTCCGCACCGGAGGCGTGAAAGACCCATCCCATTCTACTGGTTGGTTTATATAGGTATCCCCAAAGATGGATGATCATCCCCTTCGAAAAATGGTAGTACAACATCCCCCTTAATTCTGGATTATCATAACCAATATCATAACCATATGGTAGTATAACCCATTATAACCCACCAATTATTGGATAGACATGTTATAACCCCCCTACCATAACCAATCAACCATGGACACCAACCATGGCGAATCCTGTTTCATATCGAGCCACTGGATCCTGTACCCAGTGGAAGAACATGGGATGCTCAGACCTGGAAAGGAGCTCGATGGCTGTAAAGAACAAAACATTAACCAGCAGTGATAGAATCACCAAGTCCATTTGGCTCCACGTATGATACATGGATAAATCATCCATCTCATGAGCCAAACATTAAAAACACGATAAAGAAAGTCTGATTCTGTAAAGTGGCTTATATTGCAAATTTGAGATCAACCAACTGTGCCAGAATTGAAACCAATATCTCCATTGTTCATGGAAAGAAATCCTGAACCAATCATCAACCATCATCAACATGAACCGTTATCATCCCACATCAACCAACAACCAACCATCAACCAAACATCAACCATCAATATGAACCGGTCTTAAATAGTAAAAAAGTCCTATGCATGGAAGCCACTATAACCACTAAATTCATGTAAATCCATCAACCGCGTTGCGCCATCGCATGCCATCGCACAACTCGCGCCCCGAGGGCCCGAGGGCCGCACCGGAGGTTGTAAGCGGCTTCAGCTTGCTGCACGGCCAGGCGGTAGAAGGGCCGCTGATCATCACCTCAGAGAGACGGGCAGTGAGTGGTAGGAAAACCCCATATTTGATGGCAACATCTATGGTTTCCTGTGAAGATTTTCCCCAACAAACCAATCCATTGATAAACAGGAATACCACTACTCATTACTATTAGAGGATATTAGAGGTATGAATGGTATGAATACTCAGGTACTATTAGAGGTATGAATAGGTGGTAATGGTTAAGACAATAGTAAACAACAGCAATGGTAATCAGAGCAATTATGGTAATGGTTAAGCCAGTAATAAACAACAATAGACATGGGAACCACAACGTTTACCACTATACCATTATACCTACCAAATAGAAATAGTAGACAATTACTCAATGACTTACCAGCCCTTCGCAAATGGTAGGTTCATGATTGGATTTACCACATTCAGCGGTTTAGAAACAATTTATGACTGGGGTATAGCTGGGGTACACCGCTACCCACCTACTAAGCGGGATGCACCCCCGAAAAAGTAGAGAACAACAACAATAACAATAAGGGCATGTTGAATGGCAACAAACTCAATGAAATGTGATGTTAGACATTGGTCGGAAGCAACCGAAATATTGAAACGTACTGTATTGAGACGTGTCATAAATGATCGATAAACATGACGATGTAGCATCACACAGTTGAACAAAATCCGTGTAGTAAGACCATGTTTATCTCCTGCTGATGACATGGAGTCAGATTCAGGTTGGCTAAGTTGTGGCCTCATCTGCTTGAGCACGGTCCTTCAGGATGTCGTTCTGGAATTCTTTCTGTTGGGCACATCCTCACAGATGACAAATACAGCATTATTAAGTAATATCTAAATTGAAGTTGTACAATTTGGCCAATATCGTTTTGACTCTTGACACATATGGGGATGGGTCAAAACCCTGGTACCTAGTGAACCCCAAAATAGCTGGGATTTATGGATGTTCATCCCACTAAAAATGTATCTATAGGTATTGACCCATACCCATATCTATATCGTTTATATCTCTGATTCAGTTCCCAGTTCTGTTCCAGAGAACCATCCCATCTTTCCACCTTCGCCCAGCTCAAGGGATCCAAGGGGCTCATTAGTCGCAAGCCCGCCCTGGCATGTGCATTGTTGTACCTGGAGATGGGAAGTTGGATAGAGACATGGATAGCCTTAAAACCCAACAAGAAATGGATGGTTTAGTAACAAACCCAACAGTCTTAATACACCAAATGGTTGGTTGATTGGATGGTTGATCGGGTTTACTAAGACTATACGACTATACGACTCAAGCCCTGAACAGTTTGCTGTTTTTGACTCTCTTGGAGCACTGCTGTTGGGGTCATGAGGGCATCGTCCTGCCTTGTCCCCGAACATACGCTGACGCAGCGAAAAATTACGCCAAGGAACATGAACATAATAAGGAAAAGAAGGACAACAATAAGTTGGACAACAATATCTATATAACTATCATAAGAATTCCCAATCAGAAACAAAGCAAATATTAGTAGATGATTCCCCGTTTAATTTTTAACTATCGTTTACGGTCTACCATCTCCTGATTCCCGCGTCGCCCCACTTTCGGCTTTCGGCACTCGCCACAGCGGAAATCCGGCGATTGACCCGGGCAGCAATTCATGCCTCATGGCTGAGGGATGATCACCAGTCCCGTCAGTGATGTATCAAGGCATGGTGGCTCAGCAAAGGCACAAGGCATGACTCCAGGAATATCCCTGATCTGCAATTGGTATTGGGGCTATACCCTACTTCTAGACCAAGTACTATAAGTTGGAAAAGCATCCGAACCAGTGGATATTTGCGCCGTTTTTGAATCCCATCAACTTCAACTGAATATCCACTGGGTTATGCAACCATCCAAAACACCGTTGATAGGAACAACCAGGCCACTACGATTTCTGTGACTGATAGCACCTGACGGCAAACTTGGGTAAATCACGTGTCGTTCATCAGATTGGTTTAGTTGGGAAAATCTGCAGGATGTATCCATATTGATAAAACACATTAAAACACATTAAACACTATTGTATTAAAAACAAAACCATTAAAAGCCATTAAACATCATTAAAAACCATTAAACACCATCAAAACCTAATAAACCAACATGAGCAACCATGGGTTTCCTGCAGATCTTCACGAAAAATCCGTCGAGGTGGCCTACAGCCCAGTAGTCGTAGGAAGGCATTTGATCCTGGCAGGCACGGTAAAACTAAGCTGGAAACTGGCACAGAAATCCACAATTTAGCTATCGTAACCATAGATCAAATTATATGACAAGTTGCCCATGATACAAGATGGGACATGTTCATATACTTTCTAGGTTGATTTGCTGCAAAGGGAAACAGCCAAATATCACGAGACTGGCCTTGCCCACGACGATGGGAGCAACACAGTAGGTGTCATCGTTCTTGAAACCTCGGGGCAAATCGTGGACATTGATGGAGATATTTGTGGATACATATGCTGGTTGGTGGTTTCAACCTACCCCTCTGAAAAATGATGGAGTTCGTCAGTTGGGATGATGAAATTCCCAATATATGGAAAGTCATCAAAGCCATGCTCCAAACTACCAACCAGCATATGGATACCTGTAGATGTTTATGGATTTTCGTGCGTCAACCTTGAAGCTGGGACCACAGGTTTCCTGATCATTGGCAGCACAAGGTGTTTCTGGCAACTAATGGCCCATATCCATAGCCAGTTTGTGGGGACTAAACGACCACAACCCACGGAAACATCCTGCCGGGTCACAGCTTGAAGAGAAAACATGTTTGATTTCTGATTGTCACTCGGTGAAATGAAGGTATGAATCCATTAAAACTCAGGCTATCCAAAAGTATATGTGGGTTATAGAGTATACAGGTGCTGCACCTGGTGAACAAAATTGCCAAGGATTATGGAAATTACTGAATATAAGAGTAGGCATGACAAGGCCATGATAAGTAAACAAGTCAAAACACGGATCTTGAACTTCCAGAAACTCTTTTAGAAACTGAAACTAAGATCAGTATAGCTATTTCCTTCAACGACCCAAATTGTTTGACCTCATCCTTTCACGACCTTTCACCACATGTTGGCACAGCACTTTGGGATACTTTTGGGATGATTCCCCTCCACATCACAAGTGTGGTGAGGTGGGCTCAGAAATATCGACTTGGCGACACATCAACTACAGCATGATGTTTAGTTTAGTGCTTAACCCACTGGTAAACTAACATACTGGTAGCTATTGAACATGGCCATAGAAATAGTGGATTTTCCCTTTAAACATGGTGATTTTCCAGTTCGCTATGCAAACGTTTACCAGAGGCTAACCCACTACAACTGTGTTTGAGTCAACTCACAAGTCAGATCCACGTGGCTCATGGCTTTCTTCAGATCCAGCGCGGAGCCCTCCACGAAGTACAGCCGGCCGGCCTTGGCGCGGGTGAAGCGTGGAACAATGTATTCCATGTATTCCATGTATGGCATGTTTACACACACAAAACGCGGCGGTTCTTTGGGATCCGCAAAATATCCCAACTATTCCCAACTACAAAGAATTGGTAGTAATGTAGTAATGCTAATTTGTTAAATCAGTCAAGCCCCAAGCCCCAAGTCGACAAAATGGTTGCGAAGTGACCCCCCAAAATCCAACAATGTACCAAAAAGAAGTTCCAGTATAATCATTTTGCCAACCGATTCTTTGAATCGATCACACGTCACCCCAAACATTTCTGGTTGGTGGTTGACCTACCCCACTGAAAAAAAAAAATCAGTTGGGATTATGATATGGAAATTCATATAAAATTCATGTTCCAAACCACCGTTCTAGCAATTTCTTGCCCATATTCCAGGGCCAAACATATTCCATGCCAAAATAGCTGGGAAATTTCAGGGAATTGCGAAGACCCCTTTCAGGTGAAATTTGTATTTCATACAGTTTGCCAAGTATTCCTTTTCTTCTGGCACGTACGTTGTCGACTGCACATGTTCTTCCCCAAAGAAGATTCTTACTTTCAACAATTTCTGGAAATGTCATAATTAAAAATGTTGAGCTTTCCAAAAATGGATTAATAATGTTCTTATGGAAATTTGTCATCTACACTTTTCACGATCCCAAACCCCAATTCATAAGCTTTAAGCTTATGTTCTGGCACGCTTGGCTGGCCTTTCATCAGCAGCGCCATCCCCATCTTTCTTGACATCTTTGTGGCCCCGCAAAGAGCTCTCTCTGCACAACAGGATCTGGGAACACAAATCATCGACGATCCTGTTTTCTTCCGTGCAAAATAATTCCACCGATAGAGTACGATGCCACCCCTGGAGTGCGCTAATTTTCTGGAATGCGAAAATAAAACAGTATGCGTGGCCCCCTTCGACCTTCCCCATGAATCCAACACCAGTTTTTTCCATCATATACCAGAAAATTATCCCATTTCCCCCTGCTGAGCTTTTTTTTTCTTTTTTCTTTTTTTTTTTTTGGCCAAAATTGCCTGGAATGCGATAGTATGTGCAACTACAGACGTCTCACGAAAAACCTCTACCTTTCCCATATTCCAGAAAACGTGATTCCAGGCGATTTTAGCCCAAAAAAACAAAAAAAAACGAAAAAAAAAAAGAAAAAAAAACGAAAAAAACGAAAAATTACCGAGTACGAAGATTTTATGGAGTGCGAAGATCTTGCAGAGTGCGTGGATTTTATCGTATGTGCGCGTCCCTAGCTGTGGAGTGCGATGTCCCATGTGGAGTGCGAAGAATTTGTGGAATGCGAAGAATTCCGAGTATGCGTGGCTGGTATAGAGACCACATAGGGAAATTTCGCGGCCAGAACCAAAATTCCAATCCCAAAGCCGGCCCAAACTTCCAGGGGCACACCAGTGGGTTCTATTTTTCCAAGTTCACCTTGGGTGAGGTCCCGGGGAAGAAACTTGCTAATTTTTACTTAGCCAACCTTTAAAAACGTTACCTTTGACAACCCTGTCCTTCTTCTGTAGACAAATGAGGAAACTTCCTTTCAAAGCAGCCTTCAATTCATTCAACGTCCACAGCTCCTTTGGAACGACATAGGGGATAGAAAGCTGTGGAGGGGCATTCAATGGATTCGCCGTGGGCCAACTGTTCCTTCCAGATTGAGCTGAAATGCCTATCAAAGTAACATACCAAAACCCAGGTCTGGAGTACGATGAAAACATGGTATGCGAAGATTTTCTGAATATGGGAATGTTGCCTTTAGAACCGTTGCCAGATTTTGGTGGTTGCTTAAATTGATCAAATCACCGTTGTCGTTGTTGCCAGTTCCATCATCGTTCATCCCCATCTCCAGTGTCCAGCGCCTAAATCTCCACTCACTGGGCAGCCCCACATCCATGAGCTGCTGTCCTTTCAACGCGGCTGGATTCACCTTAGAGCTGTCAGGGTCACCTGGGGATGCTTTTGGGGGTCCAAAAAACATGTTCAAACTATGCATATGTACATCAAGGGTCAACAAAAGAGGGAGGTTAAAAATAACAAGGAAAACAAACCCAGGAAAATCAAATCACCTTTGATTTAACCCGTTAGAAGTGGTTCATTCGGTCAACGGACGGACATGCACGGAGACGTGTTCGATAAGTTTTGTCATTTTTCAGGTTAAAACCCAACCATAAATCTCCCAGTTCCTTTATGAAAAACGCCAGCTTGGTGCTATGTATAACTGGGAATGTTCCACTGCCAGCTTAAGAAAACAAAATGGAACTTAACCTGGTTGGTGGTTGACCTACCCCTGAAAACATATTAGTCAGTTGGGATTATGAAATTTCCAATCTATGGAACAAATAAAAACCATGTTCCAAAACCACTAACCAGTAACTGATGTTTTCATTTTAAATTTCAACTGGATCAACCATGGTACAACCTTAGATGGACACCTGGATATGCTACATTTTCGCAAGCTGTTGATCTTTTTGGCACGGGAACTCAGGATGCAGCACTTGGCATTGCTTAGAGGAAGCTCATTTCCAAACATATCTTCCAATTGAAAACATTCCTGGTTCACCCGGTTCTAAAGTATTAGAAATGAATGATATTCCAACCACATATCTTCAAACATATCTGCTATGTTGTGGTTTTACCTGGTTTGGTCACTTTGGAAGTCTTCCAAGGTACTAACAAAAGTCAACACAGCATCCGCAAACTTGGCTGCCAAGCATTGGGATAGGCGTTCCTCAGCGGCGCTGTTGTGTAAATTGGAAGAAACGACAGCGTCAAACCACAGTTTTCCAAATAAACATTGAAGGTATCTGTAGAAGAAGAATAGATGAAGAGTAGATATCTTTGAACTGCCGCTTGTCATTCCTTCAAACTCTGCAAACTCCAAAACAATGTTTGAGCTAACCGTGGCCTCCGCTGATATGCTCCCAACATGAATCAATTTTGGTGTACTTTCAGAGATCCGATGGTTGAGGCGCTAACATGTTTTCAAGATCATAGACGGCCTCGTTGTACGTCCTGTGAAGGGCCCAAACGTTCCGCGGCTGATCTCTCTCTTGCGTTTGGACATGGCATTTGCTTGCAAACTATCTGAGCTTATTCAGGGAACATTCAAGTGATGCATGAAAAAATAGCCCTTATCCCATCCCATGAAATACTGCGTGTTTGAGAGTCATCCTGTCATCCTATTTGATACCGGATAAGCTCATAATCCACCCTGAAGCGGATAATTAACAGCAAACTTACCGCTTTCAATTGTGAACTCATGGCTCATAATGTGATCCTTGAATATATAACTAACTCATCACCCCATGGCTAGCTGCTAGCTTAACATCACATGCGTAAGTCTTTGAAACAGGTACCGGGCAAACCCGCTAATCCCCCAGCCGCACGCCTGTAGTTCCACTCACCACAGGCCACCGCCAACAACACCTCCCAGTTTAAATGGGAATTTGTTAAGACTTCACCATCACCTCCCGTGTTAATATAATTACATATATGTGTCTTATGATTTACTATGAATCATAAGTAGTGTCAACCTCTGGTGATCTAGAATGGTGACACATGTTTGACTTTGAGCTACCACCTAGTTACCAAGCAAGAAGACAAACTCCAAGCACGGTCCTGATAACCACTTAGGATATACCATGATACTACTGACCATTTCGTACTTTCTCAACAGGTCTAGCTCTTTTTGGTAGCCCTCCTTCAAGAAACACCACCCATCTGGACAAACCATGATCACTGTAAATCTCATCATCTTGAAGGCATTCTATGACATCTTCGGGCATTCAAAGGCCATATAACCATTCATGATGTTCTTTAATGAAACAGATAATCATCATCTCGGCATCGAAAACGGTGAGATCGGTGAGGGTCGCCACAGCCGTGAGATCCCGGTATATTCCTTGAACAATCCATCACTGCAGCAGTTTGACCTACTGGGTGGCCGAACGGCCGCAAGCATGGCAAAGGTGAAGAAAGTATACCTGAGATCGGGCACTGCGAACCAACAAAGATGGCCTTGAATCACGAGATAATCGTCACTATTGATGCCATTGATGGTATCATTTTACCGGTCCGAACTTCTTCACATGATAATCAAGAACGAATAAATAAGAACCAATATCATAAACAATAACAACAACAACAACAACAACAACAACAACAACAACAACAACAACAAACCAGTTGTTATCAAAAATATTCAAGAATCATATCACTACAATAACTATTGGTATTCAGAAAAAGAAAACGGATGGTATCCAGGACGGTATTCTATCGCTTTATGGAAGCGGATTCACTGGCCCAGGACATCCAACTGAAACCGTTTACCAGGAACTCCTGGCTTCAAACCAACCCAAAAGTAGAACTTGACCAACAAAAATACAGGCTTCGAACGCTCAAACCAAGAAGAAACGATTATATATATATATATCAAGTAAACACCAGTGGGACTTGCTGGTTGATTTACTCGTTGGTGGTTGAGCCACCCCCCCTTTAATGATGTGACCATGGCTGAGGCCCAATGACAAATCCTTAAACCCAAAATCAAATAGCCTAAGCCAAGAATAGGCATCTGAATATTGAACCGGAATTCATCTACCTGTATGTATATATTCCTAATGAATAGATATCAATACAGCATCTTCCATTGCAATGTCTGCTTACTGGAGTACATCTGATGACGTATACGGCTCAGGCTCAAACTTCGATGACAAGCCACCTGTTAACCAGTTGTTTTGGTGGTCCTGCAGTCTTCAAATGGAATACAAAAATAAATCCATTGCGTGGCACTATTCACCCGTTGGTTACCCTTGTTTACTTGATATTCTTGATATGTTGCCTAATTTTGGTGCCTCCTTCCGATACTCCAATCGCCATTGGAGCGACAAAAAACTCCGAATGCGTCCAAGGCTCCACTTTGGGTCTGACCTTGCCATGGGAAGTGGCTGGATGTGGTTTTCCTATGGGAAAAATGAGAAAAATGGAAAGATATGCCTATAAAACTTAGTGGTGCTTAGCAGGCAATGAGGGAATGATCCACAATAACTATCAATAATCATCCCATTCCCCCAGTCCCATCCATTCCCTACTAAGCACCAGTAAGAAAATTATAAAGTGGCTGGCTTGATGTTGTTGCTTGTTGTGGGAAGATTGGAAAACATGTCGATTTTTGCAGTCCAAATCTGAGGCACGAACTCATCTGAACGAAAGGCCTCCAGCGGGGCATTCAACGTGCGTGGGATTGACGGACATCGCCATCGCTTGATGCAGAAACCAACTGTCATTCCAAGTTCCCTTCTTCAGTCCCCTACTACTTCAAACAAATAGACTAGACCATGCAAAATATATGAAAGTCCATCTACTGGCCGGAGGTTCATGTTTGATTCTACTCCTCTACATTCCCGAATGTAGTTGACGAATCAAATTCACTTTACCCACATGTTTCCTATCACCCAGAAGCATCATACATGGAGTATAAACATGTACCCTCTCGCAAACATACAAACAACTATGGAAAATCACCATTTTTAATGGGTAAATCCACTATAAATCACCATTTTCAATAGCTTTGTTAGTTTACCAAGGTGTATTAACTAGCTCAACATCTTCAACGCCCACTTTTAATTTCCAAATGTCTCCGGATTTCCTGCTCGACATCGGCATATCGATGCGGAACCCCCGGGCGCCCCCGACCAATTTGCCGCTGAGCGCGGCAATCCCCAAGCCCAGAAGCACGCTGCTCCAGGCCTCGATTCCAGCGATTAGGCCCATGTCGCCCCCCCAAGGTCCTTGTGAAAAAACATGAAAAACCGCAACAACCCGGGGGATTTTCTGTTGTTTTTGTTTTTTTCCCCACATTGACGTGTGGGGTTTTTGTTTTTAGTTCTGTATCCGCTCCTCTTCCTCCTCCTCCCGCCGCCTCGCCTCCCGCCTCACTCACTCACTCACTCACTCACCCACCCACGCACTCACTCACTCACTCACTCACTCACTCACTCACTCATCTCCTCACTCATCTCATCTCATCTCACACTCACTCACCGCCGCTTTTGCGTGGCAGGCGTGGGACAATGTGCACTGCCAAGGGGTCGGATGTACGCCCTGGCTTGGTCTCCGCCGCTTTTGCGTGGCAGGCGTGGGACAATGTGCACTGCCAAGGGGTCGGATGTACGCCCTGGCGTCCCTCCGGTGTCCCTCCGGTGTCCCTTGGTCTCCGCCGCTTTTGCGTGGCAGGCGTGGGACAATGTGCATTGCCAAGGGGTCGGATGTACGCCCTGGCGTCCCTCCGGTGTCCCTTGGTCTCCGCCGCTTTTGCGTGTCAGGCGTGGGACAATGTGCACTGCCAAGGGGTCGGATGTACGCCCTGGCGTCCCTCCGGTGTCCCTCCGGTGTCCCTTGGTCTCCGCCGCTTTTGCGTGGCAGGCGTGGGACAACGCGCACTGCCAAGGGGTCGGATGTACGCCCTGGCGTCCCTCCGGTGTCCCTCCGTGGCAGGCGTGGGACAATGTGCACTGCCAAGGGGTCGGATGTACGCCCTGGCGTCCCTCCGGTGTCCCTCCGGTGTCCCTTGGTCTCCGCCGCTTTTGCGTGGCACTCACTCACTCCACTCACTCACTCCCTCACTCACTCACTCCCTCACTCACTCCCTCACTCACTCCACTCACTCACTCACTCACTCCCTCACTCACTCACTCACTCACTCCACTCACTCACTCCCTCACTCACTCACTCACTCACTCACCTCCTCATCTCATCTCATCTCATCTCATTTCATCTCATCTCATCTCATCTCCCTCACTCACTCACTCACTCACTCTCTCACTCACTCACTCACTCCACTCACTCACTCACTCACTCACTCACCTCCTCACTCATCTCATCTCATCTCATCTCATCTCATCTCATCTCATCTCATCTCCCTCACTCACTCACTCACTCCCTCACTCACTCACTCCACTCACTCACTCACTCACTCACTCACTCACGCACTCACTCACTCACTCACCACATGCACTACCACATACACGCAGGTATACATCGCACACACAACTTGGTTGGGGGGCCCCAAAGCACACGCCCGTCATTGCATATCGATACACGTTGGTTTCGCGTCGCATCGTTGTCCTTCTTTCTGGTTCGCATGGAAACGGGACTTCGCCACCTTACCCCTCGACACATGCACACACGATACAAGGTATACGTGTCCAGGCTCCTCCTCAGGTCTTATGATTTTAAAAGGAAGTGATGGTGTACCATGGCCTTGCCATCAGCCACGGTACATCTATTGTCACTTCCTCCCAATTGAATCTATGATAACCTTCGGCCTGTAACCCCGGTTCCCCCCGATCTCTTGTTGTGGGCAGATAGGCCTCTCTCTGGACGGACGGACTTTTCTAAGTAAAAGAAAAGCAAAAACTATTTTCTGTTGCTTCTTCAAAGTGATCCCCTTTGAGAAGGTCCATTGACCTTTTTTGGGATTGATCGAGTGGCCTCAAATTGATGGTTGACGAGGTCATTTTGAAGAAGCAAGTAACTAGCTATTTGCTGGAGAAGAACATCACGGCGATCACCAAGGTCATCACAGATGTGTGAAGAAAAGGGTGAGCAAGGAGAACAACAGCTACCTTGCTGTTTTGAAGCCAGGAGAAACACCTCGCCACTGCCCAGGCGAAACAGATGGACGCGTTACAGTGGCTGGCGGTGGTGTCATGTGGTTCCCACCTATCAGCAGACAAACTCAACATGTACACACACGAGACGTGTGACTGGCTATCTGCCTGCGAGGTATCCACCTCCGTCCAAAACGCGACGGACGACCAGGTTGTCCTCGTGCGCGCTTTGGTTCAGCTGCTGCAAGCAGTAATCGCGTCAAGCTGTTGCAGGACAATCTCGGGACTGACAAAAGTTTTAGTTAGGCTCGCCATGACATTACACACTTGGTCACGTATTGTGATGCGGTGCATATCGTCGAATCATTGTCTCACAGCTATGGAATATTTCGATTTGACAACCTTAGCGATTTGCTTACACTGTTCAAATATATATATTATATATTTCAAATATATATATATTATATATGTAACTATTGCCCGTTCCTATTACAATATTCTCAGGGGCTAGCGGCTAGGATGGTTCCCCCACCTTGGCGGGGGGCAGGTCGGTTCGTCGCCTGACTCAGCACCTCCGTGAGCAACTACTCCAAGGCAGGCTCTTGCCTCTGGGCTGCAGCTCCAGTTCCGGGAGTTTTGACGATGAGTTTTTTTTTAAAGAAATTGGACGAACCGATGTGAACTGATGTTTGTTCCGCAGCAGTCAGTCGGAGACATCATCATCATCATCATCATCATGATCATGATCATGATCATCATCATCATCATCATCATGTGCCAGCGATGTTTACCAGCCACAGGGCATGCAGAAAGAATTCACAAAATGTGCGGCTGCGCTCGAAAGAGTGCAGAACATTACTTTGGTCAGCGAAAGTATGGTGAGCACACCATCGTTTTGATAAGGAGCCAAAGCCTGGTTCGGTCAACAGCAGAGAAACACAACACAAGCGCCAGAATGCATAACGCAAGCGCCTTAGGAGCCAAGGTCTTGGGTTGCGAGGTGCTGGCCTGAGGCACACCATCGTTTTGATAAGGAGCCAAAGCCTGGTTCGGTCAACAGCAGAGAAACACAACACAAGCGCCAGAATGCATAACGCAAGCGCCTTAGGAGCCAAGGTCTTGGGTTGCGAGGTGCTGGCCTGAGGTTGTTTTGAATGTGTGTTAAACATAATATGGTGTTCAATATGTCAGGCACACCAACAGTTTGTTCCCCACACACACACACAAACTCACCTACCTACATACATACCTACATACATACCTACATACATACCACCATCGTCCCTCCATCACTCTCATACTTCCTCTTCCCTTCTCGCTTTCTCTGCTCAGTCTAAGTCTAAAGAAGTTGGTAACATGTGGGGTTATCCGGTCCTTTAATTTTTTTTCCGTTTTTCCAGGTTTGAACGTTTGATAAGTTTGATAACATTCATTGCCGTTATAGGGATCATCATCCTAAAAAAGCTGAAAAATAGAGTGAAACCAGAGTAAAATGTGATGTTGTGTGATGTAACAAATTCATCCCGTGAGATATTCTAACTTGGAAATGCGAAAAGCTCATTTATCAAAGGAAATTCTGATGTAGAAATGGAAGAAATTCATTGCCAGGCTTCAACTCATTATTCCTCATGAATCCTACAAACGGGCAAAAATGGCTCTGGTTCTATGCCGAAAATCTGATATCCTGTCCTTTGGCCCAACTGTGTGAAGCAATCTTCACAGATTTCAGCCAAGCAGCAAACACGGGGGCCTGCAACAGGCCGGTGTTAACAGCTATGACTTTGGTGACAAGCCTTGTCCCAGTCATCTGGTTTTCATGTCTGTACTGATCCTGAAGCCATCGCCCATTCTCTTGCCAAGTGGGTACAATTGAAGGGTGAAGGTGGTGTCACAGTCCTGAGTGATCCACCGCCATGTCATCTTACATTCAAACAACTAAAACAACATTTTTGGATGGCTATCATAGGAAGTGGTGTATGGGAAACATTGCAGGAACACAAGCAACTAGTTGGATGGAACAAAACCAGGATTTCCTGAGGGGTACAACCGGTGGGTCAATCGAAATACAAATCCGTATGCAATGGATGATCTGCAGTTTCCCATCTTCCCAACCCGTAAAATGAGCACCTGGTAGTGCCAAGTAAAGGACAGCGCGTAGCAAATGAAACAGAAGAAACACCAGGGCCTCAGTCCATATCTTGGTGAATCCCCGTGGCAATCGAACATGGCAATTGAACATGCACTACATATCTGTTTTTAGATTCATTTGTATAGAGGAATTTCAAAAAAACATGGGAATTGTCCATGGCTAACTGGAGGGTACTCACATGAGTGGTTATTATTGATTCAAGTATATATGATTAATTATATATGATCGAATGATATTGAATGGATATGCATGGCATTACTCTTGGATCCTAACCACAGGAATCGTTCCAAGAGAACCTGGGCCCCCATCAACAACAAATTGATGACGATCGCCAGCGCATTGAGATTCATCCGCTTATGCCTCGGCTGAAAGGCGTGAAGGGCTGGCTGAATCATCCATGGTAGAGTGACAAGAAATGAAACGGATTCCCTTTTTTTTCCATGCAAATTATTCAAAGTGTGGTACATGGAGCCGAACCCTTTCAGTGATTGGATAAAATGCCATCATCGCAAGCCATGTTGACCCATCTACTGAAACCCATTACGAGGCAATCTTCGCTGGCGGTAGATCTCTCGCTTGCCACCATCGCAACATCCGCACTGGGTGTGCAGACTTCCCCGGAGCCAATGGCAGGAGTGCCTGGCAGCGTGAGTCCAGAATGGCCCCAGACGGTGCATAACCACCTTTGTCAGAAAATGCCAATTATTGCGGATATTCTCCGATATTCTATTGGTGGCCAAAGAACTTACTGTATCTTGATTGTCTGTATGTTTCTTTTTACATTAAAGTGAACAACAAAAACAAGTGGCTTTGTTGCATGACTCTTACATGGTAAAGCCCATCAACGCCTGTTCGCCATCTGCCATCTGCACCTCGAATCGTCAACTCTGGGCGCAGGTTCCACTGGACTAAAATGCGATTGGAACTAGACTCATTGACACCTTGCAAGGTTGTGCTGGCTAAAGCTGTTGAAGACCTAGCTGTCCCTGTTAAAACTTTAATTTTACTGCGTAACAACCCACACTACTGTAGCTAATCAAAAACCTCTCTAGCGCCCTGCCATTCTCCACACTCCGCGCTCCATCTTTTCCTCTGCTTCCATGCTGCAAAAGGCCACGCGGCTCTGGGTCCAGCCCCAAGTTTCGATGTTGGCAAATCCGGCGCATGCTTGGTGCGCGTAGTATCTCAAGGCCTCAGAATTTACGACCGGGTCGAAAGATGCCGGAAAGCTTCCCAGAATTTCGACCAGGCGCCATGTATGGAATGTATGGAATGTATGGAATGTATGGAATGTATGGAATGTATGGAATGCATGTTAGCGGTAAAATAACATTGGGGCAGGTTTAGGGTAAATGTTGGTACTAAGAATAAATTCCTTCACTAAATCAATCTAAATTATGGACTGTATATGATTTTTTCTGGCGATGCCCTAGCGACAAAAACCTCGTGTCAAACCCAACTGAGGTCACCACACCTTTCCGGAACTCATAGACTTTCACCACCCCAGGCAGTTCGCAATCCGGAGGAAAAGCATGGAAGGCCTTGGGAAACCGCAGGGATTTCTTGTTGTGCTGCTCAGCAGAGGTCAAAAGGACATGAATAGCCTGATGATCATCATGGCCTTCTGTTTCATCCTTCAAATGGTAAAACCATTCACTTCGTGCACTTTTGGCCAACTGGTTGAGTGCCAGTGCATCTTCTGAATCCATGACGGTAAAAAAACAACATGGTGGGTGTTTGGCATGGAGAATTTTTCGTCACAAAATCATGGACTTTTTCACCATAGCAGGAAAATCATCTAGAACTGATCTTCCATTGCCATCTTGGATTGCCATATTGGGTTTTCACCAACACTGCCAAGGAACCACCTTTTCAAAGCTCCCGTCCGCTGAATCATCGTCCCCTTCCCAGCCTTCATGGCAATAGAGGGCCGCTTCACCACTGCCTCAACTCGCCCCAGCAGAACCAAATCCCTTGTTGGGAGGGAAGATACACCCAAGAGATTCGAAGCTTGAAACCGAGACTGCACAAGTTGATGACAGCCAAAACACAGGGAGTCCAAAGAGGGTCATGCATTGTCCCTTTCGAATACCTTCAACATTGCCGGCCATGATGCCAGTCACGTTGGATATAAGTCTGGAAGTGACACCGACTACAGCTGCCTTTCGGTCCAAGGCTGTGATTATTGTGACTGACTAGGTGGGTCTGCTATGAAACTCAAAAACAAACTGGTATCAAGAATCCTAATCACTTCATACCATATATCCCATACTAAAATATACTAATTCCATTGCATGGCACCCGGTTCCATTCCCGCGAAAAAAAATGACCCAGCGACGCCAGCATTGGATGGGCACCAGTGACTCCATAGCAACCGTTGAGCCGTGGCAAAGGATCTGTTCGAAGCGCCAGGGATCGCCCAGCGTTGCAAAGTTGTCATCCTGAGGGCATCACGGTTCCAAAGCGGGATGAGTTTCCGATGAGAATTGTGCTATGATGGAAACCCCCTAACCGGCCTAACCCATCAAGGAAACAAAACACAAACATGGGGGGATAGATTCATATAATGATCCACCCAAAAAAGAAAACTAATCATTCAAATCATGATGGAATGATGGCTGAACATCTGGGTATCATGTTGTAAAATGAGGTCCAAAGCCAAAGCCCGCTTCACCGATTTCAAGCTGGCCATGTGCGAACTGTTGGCATCAACCTTCTTGTCAACATCATGCAATGCCTTTTGTCTTGAGAATCTGACAAATCCAAAGAACACAGTGCACCTTCAACATCATTTCAACGATTCTCAGATAACATTGATAACATCTTGCAACAGTACCTGACATTAACATACGTACATATATATATATACATTGACATACGTTAGCAAGAGATTAACACAATGCAATCTCCCTTCCCGCGCATACGAAAACATGTTTTTTTCTAACGCCGCGGCCAGCCTCTGCTCGGATCCCCCCAGGTGCACGATGTACGACCCCACGTCTTTGCCTCCGCCATCCTTGGCCTTCGTGTCGCAGTGTCGCCCATGGCGACGGAAGACTCAGAAAGGCTCCTGTCGCCACTCCACCTTTGCGTCCTTGGTTGAATGGCCAGGACCTGCAACTTCGACCCCTGCAGGCGCGACCGCAGCCGAGGATTTCTGCCTCAACCTGTGACGGTCCGCAAAAGTCTTGTCATCAAGGGATTGGATGATGTGGTGCTCAAGGCGGTGCCTAAGGTCCCCGTGGACCTCACATGGGCCTCACTGCAAAGCTCCGGGGGCAGTGTCAATTTCTCCTGACTTCATCTCGAATCCAAAACGAGATTTCTGATTTCAGATTGACATGAGCGACCTGGGCCCCTTGATGCAGTCACTTCCGACTGAGGCAGCGGTAGCGACACGTCTTGTCAGCGACAGCAAGGCATTGCTGACCTTGAGGAAGGGCGTCAGCCTCGCCTTGAGGTCGCTGAAAAGACAGGCCTCTGCCTCAGTCCGATCTTTCCAGGATCAGCCGCAAGGATAAAAGTTGGTGTCTCTTCTGATTCTGAAGAAATTTACCATAAATTTGCCATAATTTTGCCATAATTTTCCCACATCCTGCGAAGGTCTAACCCACACCTTCGCCGCTACCGGGACCGAACTCCGCAAAAAACACGAGCTCGAGCCATGACGGCATCGTATGAGGTGTGTATAGCATGGCAATATATGCAAGGCAAGAAAAACATTTAAACAAAATGAAGCAATGCCACATAGCCCAGTCGCAAGATTGATAATAGATAAGATATTTGATTAAACAAGATGAAGATAAGTTAAGATAAGCATTCTCTGTGAAGGGTCTGAACTTCGGTCCGTTTCACACTTTGACGAGCGTCGTTCAGGGCCACCAAGCGCGTCATCTCCGCATGGCGAAAGATGCAGATGGCCGTCTGGGGCGTCTGGGGCCATGGCATCCTGGGTCTGAAAGTTCGGATATGTTAGGATTAACATGGATTAACCTCATTTTGATAGATATGGTTAATCCATTTAATAGGTGTGAATTGAGTGCCTCTCAATTGACATTGGAGCACATACAATATGTGCCGGTAACCTTTTCTGGCCCGAAACCCCATTTCTAGGGCACAAGGGACTTCCCTAGGGTACAAAGCCAATGGCTGGCGCTACTAGCAGCCTCCTGTGACAAAAGGCTGCGCTTCACTTTTGCTGTGTTGCACTTCGTGTGGCAATCCCCCGATCAGTCCGTTTCCCTACCTGATCAACATTGGTAGCGGAGCCTACCAGGCTCCCTACCCAGCTCTACTACCACAACTTCATCCGGAACTTTGACTACATCGAGCCCTACGCTTCACCCCCACTACTTCGCTGTCGAGATCCTCACGCTCTTCGTGCTGTGCTGGCTTGGGCGACCTACATCTTGCAGAATGTCTTCTTCGAGCTTCCCTTCTTCGCCTTCACCTGGAGTGGACATCGTCAAGGACTCCTACATCCCTGTCTTCTCGAACAAGCCAGAGGACTACCGAGAATGGAGAGCCAGAATAGCTCTTTACCGACGGAAGATGGAGATTCAGAAGAAGGAGAAGGAGGCATGCATCAACTTGATGACAAGCCTGACTGGCATAGCTTGGCGCCAGATAGAGCACCTGGTCGACAAGGCCTCCGAGGACAAGGATGGATTCGATCTGATCCTTCGACAATTGGATCAGACGTTCAAGTATGACGACCAAGTTGAGATGCCAAGAGCCTTTGAGAAGTTCTTCTACGGCACCTCACGCCGTGAAGGACAGACGCTTCTGAACTATGTGGCCGAGCACCGCGAGGCATTGGCAGAACTGGAAAAGCATGGAATCTCCTTGCCCGACAAGGTTGCTGGCTGGGTACTACTTCGTCGAGCTGGCCTATCGCAAGAACAAAAGCAGCTCATACAAGGAAGAGCTCCTGACTATGCGCAGAAGGCCGTGACGGAGGCAATGTACTTCTTGCTTGGGCAGGACTTCAAGGGCAAGAGTGCTGATCGAACTTGGCGGGGCAAGGGCTATGGATCACCGAACCGTTGGCGAGGACGACAACAAGGCTACATCACTGAGGACTTCTATGAGGCTGAGGATGACAACATGGTCTACGACGAGAACTTCGACGACACCGAGTTCGACGAGCCTTGGGATGATGCCTACTACGAGGACGACGAGTACGAGGAGCAGACCTACACCGCCAACGAGGAGGTGGAGGTCTCCGACGAGACCTATTGGGAGGCTGAACAGAACTATGAAGATGCGTTTGCAACGTATCTTGATGCCCGTCGCCAGATGGCACACTTGAAAGCCTCTCGAGGATTTTTCCCGGTTGTGGCCCTGACTGATGGAGGTGGATCTGCTGCTGGTTCCCCGATGTCACAAGGCCCAAGACCTCCAAAGGCCAAAGGCCGCGGAAAATCCAAGACCAAGTCCAAGAACAAGACCAGCACCTGGGTCAACAAGGGAGGACAGATTCCACAGCGAGCCAACGCCACACGTTGTCTCAAATGTGGCCAAGGGCGGCTCATTGCCCCCAGAACTCACCTTCGAAGTCTACGACACGGCAGAGCCCTACTTCCTCTCCTACCTCAACTTCTCCGTCGAAGAAGGCCAAGGGCAACGATGGAGCTGCTATGATGGTGCGTGACATGGCCAAACAAGGACCTCGAGGAGTACCACACCTGGGCCCTGCTGGATGGTTTGGACTTCAAGATGGAGGTGCAAGCTCAGTTGTCTGTGGTCACGATGTCCTGATGCGCATCGTGGACTACATGCGTGGTCGTGGCATCAGCCCTGACCGGTTCCTCTTCATGCCGACCAACAAGACTTTTGGTTTTGGAGGTGACGCTTCAAGACAAGCTGACTGGTCAGTCCGCTTACCAGTGTACATTGGTGGAAAGACTGGCTACATGGAATGCTTTGTGGTCGAAGGCAATACGCCGCTTCTGGTCGGAAGGCCGATCTTACAGGCCTTGAAGCTGAAGATGGACTACGACACCAACAAGATGTCGATTGGTGATGGCCCCTGGACAACCGTCACCCAAGGTGAGAAGGGAGAATTCCTCCTGAGGTTGGACGACGGAGCCGAAAACGACCCTGATGGCAACAACGTGGACTTTGACTACGTGACTGACGAGACCTTCAACGCCATCACCAACTACGAGGACCTCTCCGACTACATCGACATCCACGAGTACCTGGCCACCACCAACCGCGCTGGACCTGAGACTGCCTTCCAAATGGACGAAGACATCGACAAGATCGACCTCAACCTGTACGAGCCCGAGATTGCAGTTGGAGATGACCCCTCTGAGGTGAGAAGACCCATCACCAGCAAACTGGTGAAATCCCTGAACATGAACTTCAACAAGTTCTCCAAGCAGAGAAGAACCGTGGTGGAACAAGCCTTGATAGCCCATGAGGCTGGACGCAAGGTTTTCTGGGAAGTCTACAGTGGCAGTGCAAATCTCAGCGCTGTCATGGCTGAAGCTGGCTGGGAAACTATGAGCTTTGACTACAACACCGGCTGGGACTTCACCCGAGCTGACCACCGACGAGATTTCTTGAAGCTGCTGGACGCGACATGTCCTGAGTTTGTATGGTTGGCCCCACCTTGCACGGTCTGGTCTTCTTTGCAGAACCTCAACATCGACACCCCGGAGAAGCAGATCGCCCTCCAAGCTGACCGAGACTATGAGGAGAACACTCACCTCAAGATGTGCAAACGTGCCTTTCAGAAACAACAACGAGAAGGCCGGCATGTCGGCTTGGAACAACCAAAGAATGCTCGCAGCTGGGGAACTCCCACACTGATGGCTGTGGATGGCCATGATGCCCTCTTTGACCAATGTGAATATGGCTGCGTCCTACCAGATGAGAATGGTGACTACGTCCCCATCAAGAAGAGCACCGCTCTGCGATGCACGGACATGGACATGGCCATGGAGTTGACTGCTCCTTGCCGAGGTGGACATGATCATCTCCCCATCGAGGGTACTTCCCCAGGGATTGGATCCCGAGCTGCTGCCGCTGGACAATACCAACTTCAAATGTGTTACCACTTCAAAGAGGCCATCGAGCGGATCTTCCAGTACAAGGGCGAGGACGCTTTTGGCTTCAACGAGTCCAACGACCCCGTTGCTGAGGAGATCGAGGCCGTCGAGTTGCCGGACAACATGGATGAGAGCCTTGCGGATGAGCCTGAACAGGCACCAGCCAAAGGTGTCTTGAATCGACTGAATGATGAAGACTGGCAGAAGGCCAAAAGAACTGTGCTGCGGCTGCACCGCAACCTTGGACATCCGACGAAGCACGAGCTCATTAGGTTGCTCAAGAACAAGAACGCTTCGAGCTCCGTGATTGAAGCTGCACACAAACATGAGTGCAGTCTATGTGACCTACATCGACGACCAACAGGTGTCCCGGTCTCCAGCATGCCAAAGGACGCCCAGTTCAATCACCGAGTTCAAGCTGATACCCTGTGGGTGACGATTCCTGGACAACGTCAACAACAACCAGTGCTGATGATGTCTGACTGCACCACCCGCTTGCTGGCAGCTAGGCACTTGCGTGGTGGCGAGAAGACTGAGGAGTTCATCAAGCACTTGGAGCGTGCATGGATCCGTAATTTCGGACCAATGCGCATCCTGCAGGTGGACGAGCACAGAGCTTGGTCTTCGGATGCTATGCGACAATGGTGCACCGAGAACGGAGTACAACTCCAGATCAGCCCTGGCCAGTCCCACACCAGACTGGCGATTTTGGAACGTCGCCACCAGGTGACACGCAGAGCACTGAACCTCTTCTTGGACGGCAACCCGAGCATTGCAAGCTCGCCTGATGCGCTGATCACAGCGTTGAACTACGTGGTCCCCCAGATCAACAGAACACCAAATGTCTGTGGCTTCAGCCCTGTCCAATGGACTTTGGGATATACTCCCCACGTACCAGGTTTGCTCATGGAAGAACAGAACCTGCACAACCCAGCGACGCTGGACCCGTCAGAAGCCTTCATGGAGAAGCTCAGGCTGAAGCAGCAGGCAGTGAAGGCCACTTCAGAGGCCGACATGGACCGCCGCTTACGGCGGGCCCTTCTACGGAAGTTCATGGGCCAGCAGACGCTCTTGAACACGGGCGACCTCTGCTACTACTGGAGAGGTGCCCCTGCAGGATCGAATGCAAAGTTGAGGTGGCGTGGACCAGCCACTGTCATCATGCGGGAGGCAGGTGCATCTGGCCCCAACTCAGACATTTACTGGCTTGGACATGCTTAGGTGCTCCTTGACAGTTATAAGTAATTATAACTAAAGTTATACAAAAAGTTATGTAAAGTTATGAAAGGAAGCAAATATCAACTATTTTGTCACATTTTTGTAATTTAGAAAAATTGAAAAATACATATGTTTTTATTGTATCGAAAGCAATATTTTTTTTCATTACAGCGGTTGAGCCGCTTCGAAGTTGTTTTTTTTGCAAAATGAGCGGTTTTCACCGCTTCCATGGCTGAGGGAATGTGCAACTGGTTTTTAAACAGAACAGGCCACTGTGGGAGCGCGCCTTTTTAGGTGCTTTATGCACCTGCAATGGGTTAGTTTGCTCTTTGCAATCTCACCTTTGCAGTTTCTTTTCTTTTTACAGAGACAAAAAAGGAAACCAAAAAAAAAAAGAAACCAAAACAAAAACAAGACCCAACAAACTGCATCTGACCCCCTCCCCTTGGGGTGTGCAATTTTTTTTTTTTTGTTTTTTTGGTTTCTTGGTGTTTTGCTGTCTTGGTCCGTTGTTTCTTTTGAGGGACTGGCAAAAAAAGTGGGTGGATCTAACTCTTTGCCACTTCCCCCCCTTAGGCATTGCAAATTTGTTTGTGGTTGTTTCTGCTTGCTTTAGGTCTCTGGTTCCATTAGAAACCATGTAAAAACCAAGGAAAAACAGGTATCCTTGGGG